CACCGTTACACGATGAATCACCGTTACACGATGAATCACCGTTACACGATGAATCACCGTTACACGATGAGTCACCGTTACACGATGAATCACCGTTACACGATGAATCACCGTTACACGATGAGTCACCGTTACACGATGAATCACCGTTACACGATGAGTCACTGTTACACGATGAATCACCGTTACACGATGAATCACCGTTACACGATGAATCACCGTTACACGATGAATCACCGTTACACGATGAGTCACCGTTACACGATGAATCACCGTTACACGATGAGTCACCGTTACACGATGAATCACCGTTACACGATGAGTCACCGTTACACGATGAGTCACCGTTACACGATGAGTCACCGTTACACGATGAGTCACCGTTACACGATGAATCACCGTTACACGATGAGTCACCGTTACACGATGAGTCACCGTTACACGATGAATCACCGTTACACGATGAGTCACCGTTACACGATGAGTCACCGTTACACGATGAATCACCGTTACACGATGAATCACCGTTACACGATGAATCACCGTTACACGATGAGTCACCGTTACACGATGAGTCACCGTTACACGATGAATCACCGTTACACGATGAGTCACCGTTACACGATGAATCACCGTTACACGATGAATCACCGTTACACGATGAATCACCGTTACACGATGAATCACCGTTACACGATGAATCACCGTTACACGATGAGTCACCGTTACACGATGAGTCACCGTTACACGATGAATCACCGTTACACGATGAGTCACCGTTACACGATGAGTCACCGTTACACGATGAGTCACCGTTACACGATGAATCACCGTTACACGATGAGTCACCGTTACACGATGAATCACCGTTACACGATGAGTCACCGTTACACGATGAATCACCGTTACACGATGAGTCACCGTTACACGATGAATCACCGTTACACGATGAATCACAATTACACGATGAATCACCGTTACACGATGAGTCACCGTTACACGATGAGTCACCGTTACACGATGAGTCACCGTTACACGATGAATCACCGTTACACGATGAGTCACCGTTACACGATGAGTCACCGTTACACGATGAGTCACCGTTACACGATGAATCACCGTTACACGATGAATCACCGTTACACGATGAGTCACTGTTACACGATGAATCACCGTTACACGATGAATCACCGTTACACGATGAATCACCGTTACACGATGAATCACCGTTACACGATGAGTCACCGTTACACGATGAATCACCGTTACACGATGAGTCACCGTTACACGATGAGTCACCGTTACACGATGAGTCACCGTTACACGATGAGTCACCGTTACACGATGAGTCACCGTTACACGATGAATCACCGTTACACGATGAGTCACCGTTACACGATGAATCACCGTTACACGATGAATCACCGTTACACGATGAATCACCGTTACACGATGAATCACCGTTACACGATGAATCACCGTTACACGATGAGTCACCGTTACACGATGAATCACCGTTACACGATGAATCACCGTTACACGATGAGTCACCGTTACACGATGAATCACCGTTACACGATGAGTCACCGTTACACGATGAGTCACCGTTACACGATGAGTCACCGTTACACGATGAATCACCGTTACACGATGAATCACCGTTACACGATGAATCACCGTTACACGATGAGTCACCGTTACACGATGAATCACCGTTACACGATGAGTCACTGTTACACGATGAATCACCGTTACACGATGAATCACCGTTACACGATGAATCACCGTTACACGATGAATCACCGTTACACGATGAGTCACCGTTACACGATGAATCACCGTTACACGATGAGTCACCGTTACACGATGAATCACCGTTACACGATGAGTCACCGTTACACGATGAGTCACCGTTACACGATGAATCACCGTTACACGATGAGTCACCGTTACACGATGAGTCACCGTTACACGATGAATCACCGTTACACGATGAATCACCGTTACACGATGAGTCACCGTTACACGATGAATCACCGTTACACGATGAGTCACCGTTACACGATGAGTCACCGTTACACGATGAGTCACCGTTACACGATGAATCACCGTTACACGATGAATCACCGTTACACGATGAATCACCGTTACACGATGAATCACCGTTACACGATGAGTCACCGTTACACGATGAGTCACCGTTACACGATGAATCACCGTTACACGATGAGTCACCGTTACACGATGAATCACCGTTACACGATGAATCACCGTTACACGATGAATCACCGTTACACGATGAATCACCGTTACACGATGAATCACCGTTACACGATGAGTCACCGTTACACGATGAGTCACCGTTACACGATGAGTCACCGTTACACGATGAGTCACCGTTACACGATGAATCACCGTTACCGATGAGTCACCGTTACACGATGAATCACCGTTACACGATGAGTCACCGTTACACGATGAGTCACCGTTACACGATGAATCACCGTTACACGATGAGTCACCGTTACACGATGAGTCACCGTTACACGATGAATCACCGTTACACGATGAATCACCGTTACACGATGAGTCACCGTTACACGATGAATCACCGTTACACGATGAGTCACCGTTACACGATGAGTCACCGTTACACGATGAATCACCGTTACACGATGAGTCACCGTTACACGATGAATCACCGTTACACGATGAATCACCGTTACACGATGAATCACCGTTACACGATGAGTCACCGTTACACGATGAATCACCGTTACACGATGAGTCACCGTTACACGATGAATCACCGTTACACGATGAATCACCGTTACACGATGAATCACCGTTACACGATGAGTCACCGTTACACGATGAATCACCGTTACACGATGAGTCACCGTTACACGATGAATCACCGTTACACGATGAGTCACCGTTACACGATGAGTCACCGTTACACGATGAATCACCGTTACACGATGAGTCACCGTTACACGATGAGTCACCGTTACACGATGAATCACCGTTACACGATGAGTCACCGTTACACGATGAATCACCGTTACACGATGAATCACCGTTACACGATGAATCACCGTTACACGATGAGTCACCGTTACACGATGAGTCACCGTTACACGATGAATCACCGTTACACGATGAATCACCGTTACACGATGAGTCACCGTTACACGATGAATCACCGTTACACGATGAGTCACCGTTACACGATGAATCACCGTTACACGATGAGTCACCGTTACACAATGAGTCACCGTTACACGATGAATCACCGTTACACGATGAATCACCGTTACACGATGAGTCACCGTTACACGATGAATCACCGTTACACGATGAATCACCGTTACACGATGAATCACCGTTACACGATGAGTCACCGTTACACGATGAGTCACCGTTACACGATGAATCACCGTTACACGATGAGTCACCGTTACACGATGAGTCACCGAACACGATGAGTCACCGTTACACGATGAATCACCGTTACACGATGAATCACCGTTACACGATGAATCACCGTTACACGATGAGTCACCGTTACACGATGAATCACCGTTACACGATGAATCACCGTTACACGATGAATCACCGTTACACGATGAGTCACCGTTACACGATGAGTCACCGTTACACGATGAATCACCGTTACACGATGAGTCACCGTTACACGATGAGTCACCGAACACGATGAGTCACCGTTACACGATGAATCACCGTTACACGATGAATCACCGTTACACGATGAATCACCGTTACACGATGAGTCACCGTTACACGATGAGTCACCGTTACACGATGAGTCACCGAACACGATGAATCACCGTTACACGATGAATCACCGTTACACGATGAATCACCGTTACACGATGAATCACCGTTACACGATGAATCACCGTTACACGATGAGTCACCGTTACACGATGAGTCACCGTTACACAATGAATCACCGTTACACGATGAATCACCGTTACACGATGAGTCACCGTTACACGATGAATCACCGAACAAGAAAAATGAGATTCTGTTAAATTTATTAAAGCAAAGTAAATTATATTAACTCATAAGATACCGTAAAACATAGGCAAAACAAAAATCATAAAACAAACAAAAGTTAACACAAAAACAAAAGAAACAACACAAAACACCAGAACACAACTAAAACACATTAACCAGAAAAGCACAAACAGAAGGAAATCAGAAAAACATATAAATCAGAAAAATACAAAAACACAGAGAAAAACACAAGGAAAAACACAAAACAATATAAAACATTAAAACATAGCTAAAACACATTAACCAGAAAAATACAAAATGACAAAAACACAAAACAAGGAAAGACCACAAAAACAAACCATACCCATCAGAAAAACATTCGCATATCAGAAAAACAAACCAGAAATTAAAATAAACAACCTTGTCAAATAATCTCCAAATATTGCCCCAATTAAACGCGCGCTAATAAAAATTAAATTTCATAAAAAAAGTATTTTCACAAATGAAAAATTGAAAATATTTTAAAAACAATTAAAATCTGACAACATTTTTATTCTTTAAAAGAAAATTTAAAAAAATAAAACTATAATTTTTTAATAAACAGAAAAAAAATAAAATATAGTAATAAAAGCGCCATATTCTCTTCTCTCCCTGTCTCACACTACAAAAATTAATTGTATGAGAGAAAAAAATTTTTTTTGAGAATTTTTTTTGAGAATTTTTTTGAAAAAATTTTTTATCCAGAAAAATAAACTATTATTCAAGAATCAAAAAAATATTTTTTTTTTTTGAAAAAAAAAATTCTCAAACTTTAAAACCCCCCAAATTTTATTCCCCTTCACCTGAAAAAATTTTTTTCCCTCTCCTTTTTTTCTCTCTCATCCAACCCTCCCCTCCTCAATTTAAATTTATATATAAAATTTAACTAATTAAAAAAATTTTCATACTTATTTTTTTCTTCCTTTTTTAAATTCCTTTCAATTCTTCTTTTCCTTATCCTCATTTCCAACTTCACCTTCTCCCCCTCCTCTTCCTTGTTTTTCTAATTTAAGTTTTTCCAATTCAATTTTAATTTTTTCTTCATTTTTAATTTTTTCCATTTGATTAATTTCTAAACGTTGTCCAGAAGATGAACGTTCTTTCAAAATTTCAATATCATCCAATTTTTTTTGACATGAACGAATTTTCTTTTCAATTTCATTTAGTCCACTTGCTGATGAATTATTATTGTTGGAAACATTTTTATTTGTTGAAGTTTTTGCTCCTGTTGATGGCTTTCCTCCTCCACCACCTCCTCCTTTTTGATTAGAATTTTTTCCTTAAAAATAAAAAAATTTTTAAAATCTCTTTGGGAACTTAAAAATGAATAAAGCTTTGAATTTTGGGGGAAGTACCCCTAGGGAAAATCCTCTCCAACAGCTTAATCCATATCACAAGATTACCACTTAATTAAACTTTAACTAGTAGGGTTTTAGGTTCGGAACCAAACTTAATAACCAAGGATTTTTCAGTTCGATTCTGGATATCCAAAGATTCTCAAGGACAAACAACTTTACCTAACTAGCATAGTCTGGGACAAAGAGCTGAATTGACCCAGTATATGAAAATCATTTAACATAAGCTCACCGTGTGAATCTGATGACTCACATCTCACACTCTCATAGCTCCACAGCTCACTCACCTACTGTATAACTGGTCAAATATATACGAAAGGATCCGGGGGAATCGAAAAAGTTTAATCTGAACTCAAATAGACTCGGCCCTTCTCCCAAACCTTACAATTAAAACTAACACCTTGAGAAAAAAAAAATTTTTCTAAAATCAAAAAATATAAACCTCTCAAATGTGGAGGTACATAAACACCTTGAGAAGTTACAGCTCCTTTTGGAAGACTATCCACCAAATTATTATTGTTGCTAGTATATCCCATTCTTGAATTTATACTTTTTTGTTCTTTAGAAGGCTCTTCTATTGCAAATTTTGAATATGAATTGCTAGGCTTCCATTTAACCTTTTATTGAAAAATTTTTAAAAATTCAAAAAAAATTTAAAAAAAAACCTCCCACAATTCTTCCTTTTCAAACAAATGTTCAGCAACTTTAATCCCCTGATAAGTCCATATACGATAACCATTATCTGTTCTTAAACGAGGTGCGGTAGTTGAAGTGCTATAAAAATAATAATAAATTTTTGGAAGGAAATTCCGGTATGAAAAAGCCGAAATGCCAAAGAACTATTGACAAGGATCTTGATGCCAAAACCTCCTTACTGCAAAAAAGACCGAGATGACAAACCCCTCGAAACGCTGACAAATGTCCAAATGTTGTTCCAATAATGGAGGACGGTCCGCTAGACAAACTGTTTCCCCATTTGTTGAAACCTTACTCCCCATTATTAGAACAACATTTCGATGGGTGGCGTTACTTACTATTAGTCATTTCCACAATTAGGCATTTTATCAGCTTATGAAGGTTTGGAATTACAGATTTTTACCATTAAGGCACATTCCTCTTTTTCCTATTTTTAGAAAAAAAAAATTTCAGAATTTCTGAAAAACTCTGATTTTTCAAAAAAATTCCCACAAACAAACCAAATATGCTGTCCATCAGGTGCCCAACCAAAATGTGTAGTATGTGGAACACAAAATTGACTAATTTCTTTTCGTGTTGACAAATTCCAAAATTCCATTCTTCCAGAAGAAATATTTCCAAACCCACAAGTTACCAAAATTGTTGATTGGGGATTATAATGAATTTCATTTCGATGTCCTTCACCAATATCCCAAATTATATCACCCTTCATATTGAAAATTGTTACCTATTTTTGAAAAAAAAAAATAAAAAAATAAATTTTGAATCTAAATATCGCTCGGTGTACAAGAAACATTTTTTAAAACGAGGAAAATTTTACAGAAACTTGAGAGTATCATTAGACAGTTATCACCAAACACTGCCCAACAGGGATGTATCTTGTGACACAACGCCCATTTTCTTCCCGAGTAGCCAAAATAGGTTTGGCTACCGGGCCAAACCAGTACCCAAAGCCAAACCAATAACCAAAAAAATTAAAAATCGTATATAAAAAAGAAGGGTAGTCTAAAATCAAAGAGTGGTGTTTACATAAAATCTAGATCGCCCTTCTCCAAAAACAAACAAAACCTTTGAAGGCATAAACCCGTAACAAACACAAAATTCTTTTGCATTGGGTGCCCATTCTAAAATTACAAGAATTGTTGATTTCTTTTAAAAAATAAAAAAATTTATTTACCAACAGAATGTACTGGCCCTTGTTTATCCAAAGGTACTTGAAAACATGAACCACCATCTTTTGTCAAAATACAATAAATATGGCTTACACCATAATATGATTGATTTGATTTATCAATATCTACAGATGCTGTTACTAGTAAAGCAGAACCTTTAATAAAAAAAATTTTTTTAATTATTTGTCAAAAAGCAAAAATGCGTAGAGATAAAGAGAAAAAGTTAAAGAGAGACTTATCCCAAAGGATATAAAGAAGCAGCAGTATCATGAAGACTCACACTCCCCATAATGAATAAATCAAAATCATAAAATGAAAAGAGGAAGCACAATAAGCCTGGCTAAAAAGAAGATCCTCTACCAAGACAGAAAAAACAAAAATCCACATAAAAACATTCTCTCACATCCCAAAGAAGACTCCCTCCACCAATTCAATAAATGTATCAAATCATAAAATAAAAAACTCAAAAAAGGAATTTACAGACATTTATGAATAATGTCTGAAAATATTGAAACAATAAGTCTAAAGCAGTCCTATTGATTGGTACACATTTTAAAAATTGAATTCCTATTTGTACTCAATAACAAATAAATTTAAGAATAAAAAACAAAAAACCTTTCGTATTCCAATTCATTACACAACGATCACAATTAAAACTAGTCTTTGTATAAATTACATCCAATGAATCATTTAATGTTCTCAATTGAATTAATGCTGGTTGATTCTTAAAAGTTAAAGAGAATATAAATTTTTAAAAAAATTTAAAAAAAAAACCTTTGACGGAATAAAACATCCAATATGTGGAGATGAACCTGGACTTAAAGATAATTGAGCAATATCTTTAATTACAATCTTGTTTGAATATTTTTCTGGAAAAATAAATTTTTAAAGTTTTAATTAAATTATAAAAAGAATTTTTGTAAGTGTCAGAGCCTAGAAAAAACACAAAAAAAAACGAAAGCACGGATGTCACGAGTTAAACGAAACCCCGGACACCTTTAGACCCAATATTTGAACAAAGAAATTCTCGAAAATCCATTCTGAGATCAGACTTTTTCCTACACACCAGAGATCGCATCGACCCGATTCACGATTCCCAAAATCGGGAATTTGGTTTTCTGTCGGTGCGATCCCTGCACCCGTAAATATGAATGCTAGAGAGCCCAAATGTGGAGCCAAGACTGTCGGTTATGCCCTTAACAAAAACAAAAAATAAATTTGTAAGCAAGTTTATTTTAGTTTTAAATTTGACTTAAGTTCCCTACTAGTAACCCAAGAATCAATAAATTTCAGAGCCTTGAACTTAAGCACCAAAAAAATTAAATACCAAATTCTCCATTTTTGTAAAATAAAATTTCAGAGCCTTTAACTCTAATAGCAATAGAATCATCATCAGTAAAATGAGGCTTCCAAACAGACTGTTTATCAGCAATTAAAGTAGCCAAAAGTTTACCAGTCGAAACTTCGAAAATACGAAGATTTGGATTTGGAGTTTTTACTGTTCCGTCTGCATTCATTCTTGTTCCATAAATTACATATCTAGAAAATTGAGGAAAATTTTTAATTTTGAAGACGTAACTAACAAGGGCGTAGCTAAAGGGTCAATTTTAAGTGGTCTAAATTGGACACCTGAAATTGACCTCCCAAAATTTTTTCACTTTCTCCCATTTCGAGGACTTCAGCTCCCTGGCTACGCCCTTGGTAACTAGTAAAAATTTATAATGGAGAAAGTTAACTAACAGGGTTTGAATCGAACTTGAAACCTAATAGGAGTTAATACGACTACCGAAAATGACTTATGTAAATTGTAACTAAATGAATCTTCACTTTTCTTAAAAATGACGAACAGAGGTGGGTCGGAATTCCGATTTCCGACGTTTTTTACTTATAATTCCGGCTCTTCCAATTACCGACAACTCTGATGACAAAGACAAAAGATCCCAAAAAGAGGGGAAAATTGAAAATACGACAAATTCTCTCCCTATCATAAGCACACCAAAAAATCCTCCCTCCCTATTTTCCCCATTTAAAAACCTCAAAAAATATTTTGTAAAAAAACTTACGGCTCATAAGTAACCATATATTTGTCCTTTGGTGAGAATAGAATACAATGAGTTTTAACCAATTCAGTAGAAAAACATTCACGTCCAGTTGAAGATTCTACTAAAACTGTCCTTAAATTAAAAAAAGTTTTCGAGTTTCTAAAGAAGAAAACCTTGAAGAGTCACAATAGGCAAAATAGGCTCCATCATTGCTAAATTTAAAACAACGACAAACTGCATATTTTGGATCTCTAAAATTAAAAGAATTAGTCAAAATGTTAACTAATAGACCGTGTCCGTCAAAGATAACCAATTTTCTGTTTGGAATCAGATCAGAAATACCGAACAGAAACCCAATTGCTCACACTAAAGATCGCGCCGGGTATTGACACAGGGGTAGGTCATTTCAATATCCAGATGCAGGCCATTACTGAGCTTCCCCAGGCTTTTTTCTGACATGAGCAGAAGCCTAAGCTACCCCCGTTTTTTCCTGACATGTTTGGAATTCCCGAGATTTAAACACGGAATACAGCCCAATTCAATAAATCGACACCCTAGCTAAACAGTCATAACTACTCGCCCTCCATTAATTCAACAAAGAAAAATCAATAAAAGTAAAAAATTCTTACAATTTTTCTCCAGCCAATTCTTCAGGTTTCCCAAGTCCTCGTTTTAATGCAAAACCGGTAGATCCGCGAACTTGAAGAAAATTTAATTTTTAAATTACAAAACAAAAAAGAAACCTGCATATATTAAATCTGACATTTTAAATTTATTTACACACAAGAATAAATCTATAATCAATTAAGAAGAAAAATAAATAAAAATTTATATATTTAAAAAAATTATGTTGTGTAGAGACTACACTTTGAACATGGCAAAAAGGCTTTAAAAAGAATTAAATAAATATTTTATTTTAAAGATGAATAAGAAAAAAGGATCAAAATTCAATAAAGAAAGCCTGGACCCGTTCCTGGACTCTGGGTTTGATTCATGACCTGAACCGCATCATGGCCTGCAGTCCAGGAAAAACCCAAGAAGGTCAAAAAAGGTCTGTGCCTTGACTCTGGGTCCAGGAAAAACCCAGGCCTTGGTCCAGACCCAGTCCGATCTCTATCATCCACGGAACAAGCATAAATAGAAGCAAAGGACACTTGCTGATTAGTCCCTTGTTTCAATTTCTGATTAGTTCTAGAGCTTCTCTTATACTTATATTGTGGAAGGTACATCAATAAGCTACAAGAGCTCTTACTTAGGCATCTAAATGCCATAGTAAGGTAAGTCTTCCACCTTATCCTTACAAAAAATCGAAGGAAATTCTTCGACAAAGTCGAAAAAAAGGAAAAATTTCAGTTAGCGCGGTAATAGTCGGTTTCGTAACCCCCCTCTTTTTTCTTTCTCAAGGTATTCAAAATCGAGCTGCATCGAATGACCTCAAAATCAACGTGATTTGAATGCCGGGTTTCGGGTCGGGTTTTCGAAAACTTCTCGTGTAGTCGGGTCGAAAAAAGTCCGGGTTTCGGATATATTATATAGACCCTTCGACATTTACAAAAATTCCCTTTTTTGACCATTTTTAAATACAACGCGCTGTAGATATTTTGTTTATTTTAAGCGATTTGTTATTATGAAAAATTAAAAAGCTAGTAAGGTAAGGAGAGAAGAAAAGTAAAGGAGAGAGAGTAAAGGAGAGAGAAGAAAAGTATAGGAGAGAAGAAGAAAAAGAGAAAAGGAAATAATTAAAAAAAGGAAATCTAATTAGTGTTCTCTATACCCTTTCTATTAACCGTCTAAGAATTACTTATGCTCAAATCTTTTATTTTTTGGGAATTCTCCCACAATTTATCCATGGACCGCTTCGGCGGACTATCTACTCTAGCAGAAAGCTGGTGGGGCATGACTTCGGTCACTGTGCAGCCAGTGGACACTATTGGTAGATAGACATCAGTGGCTGTGCGTTCTGGCAGCACTATTGGTTTAGTGCGCTTCTGTGGCTGTCCAATAGTGTTTGTGCGGAGGCAGTGCGCTGGTGACCATGAGAAAAATTTTGGAGTGTCCATGTGCCGTTTTGTACATGGGACCGGCCCCTGCTTAGGGGTCATTTAATGGTTAGAAATGTTGGTTTACTCATTCGATGCAGCTTGATGAGTAGAATTACTACTTCTCAAATCTGAGAGAAATAAGGAGAGAGAAAATGGTTCTTCTGGACCATTTTTAAACTTTGAGAAAGAAAAAAGAGGGGGGTACGACGAAACAGACTATTCCCGTTAGCGCCACTTAGTTTCATTATAGATCTAATTTAAACAACATATGACAACCAAAAGTCTAAAAACATTCACACAAAACACGAAGAAACCCCGAAAAAAGAGTCGAAAAATTGAGAAAAATGTCAAAAAAATTTTCTCTTTTTCTCTCGCCTACAGTCTTTTCTTTTTCATAAAGAGACAATTCATTCCAACATTACGCCAAAGCTTCTAAATTGTGGATATTTTAAAGCTACCATATAAAAACGGTATAAGACAACTGGAGTTCTCTCACCTACCCCAACACAATTTCAATTTCTACCACTTCTTCACAACAATAAAACAATAGAATGGGGCAGACAGTTTCTCATCAATACGGAGGTATTTATGGACCCGATCCGCAAATGGTAAGAAAAAAATAATTTTTCTAAAATTTTATGTCTTTTATAGACTTATTGTCCAAAATGCGGCGAATATACCCTCACTAGAGTTACCTATGTTATGGGTCCTTTGGCATGGTGTATGGTCTTCATGTTCGCTCTTGTTAGGTATGTTCCTAAATTTGATCAAAAATAATAATTTTTTAAAGTCTGTTTATCTTCTGCTTTTTGTTTCCACTCATTTTTTTGCCGTTCTGTTTTAATTTTTGGAAGGATGCTGAACATCGTTGTGGTGTATGCAATACCTATATTGGCAAGTTTATACGTGAATACGAGGACCACAGATATGGAAGGCGAAGAACTGTTGTGGTTATTCAACCTCCTCCTCCTCAGCCTCAAGTTCAACCTGTTATAATGGCTCATGCTCCTCCAGGTCAAGCTTATACTCCGCCAACTAGTCCACCGCCGTATCCACCAGCTAGTCCGCCGCCGTATGCACGAAAACAATGAGGACGAACATTGAATATATAGAGTATATAAACATTGTTGTTGTTATGTTTTTCTCTTAAAATATTTATAAGCCTTAACTTTTTTCCGGAAATGTAATTTAATTTTGTGTTTTCCGGAAGTTTATAAAATAGCATGTTTTCCTTCTGTTTTAATGTCTATTTAAACTTCTAGAATCAGAAATTTTTATAAAACACTTCCGGAAATGTTTATATAAAAAACCGGAAAATACATGTGTTTTCTCTTAAAATATAGTATACAAACTAATGTTTTTCCGGAAATGTTTTAATTTAATTTTGTTTGTGTTTTCCGGAAAAGTTGTTAAAATAATGTTTCTTTTCCTGGATGTTTATTCAAGTTTTTCCGGAAAAAGTTTATTTCCGGAAAAATCAGAATTTTCTAAAACAATTCCGGAAATGTGTTTATATAAAACCGGAAAACACATATAAAACACACATCATACCTTCTATTAACCGTTATCTGTATTTTTGTTTCTGTATTTTTATTGAATAACATTATAATTTGTATTTTTACTTACAAGTTTAAAATACATTTCAATATTTTTAAATTAATTTATTTTCCTTTACTTCTGAAATTTGAAACTTACTATATAAAAGGGGCTAATTAAATCGAGTATTCCTCAACATAACTACAATTTCTACAACTTCCGTACATCAACAATAAATCAAAAAATGGGGCAGACAGTTTCTCATCAATACGGAGGTATTTATAGCCCGGACCCGCAAATGGTAAGAAAAAATATTTTTCAAAAATTAAAAATAATTTTTTCTTCAAGACGTATTGTCCAAAATGCGACCAATATACACTCACGAGAGTTACTTATGTTATGGGTGCATATGCAATTTGTAATGTCATCATTCTCATTCTTGCCAAGTAAGTTTGTTTTTAACTTTAAAAAGGGTACTAGTGCCCCGTGTGGGGGAAACTGCACTAATTCCATAAAAGTTTGTAAATTCAAAAAATTTCAAGTCTGATGTTCTGCTGCTTTTTGTTTCCAATCATTATTTTGCCGTTCGTTTTTGATTGTTATAAGGATGCCGAACATCGTTGTGGTGTATGCAATACCTATCTTGGCAAGTATGTACGTGAATATGAAGACTACAGATATGGATATGGAGGAAGAACTGTTGTGGTTCATCAACCTCCGATTCCTCCTCGTCGGCCTCCTCAACCTCAAGTTCAACCTGTTATACTTGCTTCTCCTCCAATTCAAACTTATACTCCGCCAACTAGTCCACCGCCGTATCCACGAAAAGAATAATAAGGACGAATATATAAATATTGTTGTTGTAGTTGTGTTTTTCTCTTAAAATATATATAAGCCTTAACGTTTTTCCGGAAATGTTTCAATTAAATTTTGTTTGTGTTTTCCGGAAAAGTTGTTAAAATAATATTTCTTTTCCTGAATGTTTATTCAAGTTTTTCCGGAAATGTGTTTTTATAACCGGAAAACACATACTTTCTATTAACTGTTATTTGTATTTTTGTTTCTGTATTTTCATTGAATAATACATATTATAACTTGTGTTTTTTACTTTAATGTTTAAAATACATTTCATTATTTTTAAATTAATTGTTTCTTTGCTTTACTTCTGAAATTTAAAAATTTACTATATAAAAGGGACTAATTAAACCGAGTATTCCTCAACATAACTACCATTATTTCAACAACAAAGCTGTACAACAACAATAACAAAACAATAGAAAATGGGGCAGACAGTTTCTCATCAATATGGAGGTATTTATAGCCCGGATCCGCAAATGGTAAGAAAAAAATATTTTTTTTTCAAAAATTAAAAATATTTTTTTTTTCTCAGACGTATTGTCCAAAATGCGACCAATATACCCTCACCAGAGTTAATTATGTTATGGGTCCCGTGGCATGGTATACGGTCATTGTGTTCACTCTTGTTAAGTATGTTCCTAAATTTAAACACAAAAAAAATATTTTTAAGTCCGTTTGTCTGCTGCATTTTCTTTCCATGCATTTTTTTGCCGTTCGTTACTAATTGTTGGAAGGATGCTCAACATCATTGTAGTGTATGCAATTTGTATCTTGGCAAATTTGTACGTCAACTGGAAAACCGTAGATATGGAGGGACAACTGTTGTGGTTCATCAACCTCCGATTCCTCCTCGTCAGCCTCCTCAACCTCAAGTTCAACCTGTTATACTTGCTTCTGCTCCTCCAATTCAAGCTTATACTCCGCCAACTAGCCCGCCGCCGTATCCGCCAACTAGTCCACCGCCGTATCCACGATAAGAATAATAAGGACGAAATATATAGTGTGTACAAACGTTGTTGTAGTTGTGTTTTTCTCTTAAAATAATATATACAAGCTCTAATGTTTTTCCGGAAATGTTGTAATTAATTTTGTGTTTTCCGGAAAGCACTATAAAATAATGTGTTTTCTTTTCCGGAATGTTTTAATTCAAGTTTTTCCGGAAAAAGTTTATTCTGAAAAAACCAGAATTTTTATAAAACACATAAATTCCGGAAATGTTTATTAAAAACCGGAAAACACATATCTTCTATTATTAATGTTTTTCCGGAATGTTTTACTTTATTTTTGTTTGTGTTTTCCGGAAAAGTTGTTAAAATAATATTTCCTTTCCTGAATGTTTTTTAAAGTTTTTCCGGAATAAGTTTATCTTTCTGAAAAATCAGAATTTTTATAAAACATTTTATAAATTCCGGAAATGTTTATTAAAAACCGGAAAACACACATTATACCTTCTATTAACTGTTATTACCAAGTATGTATTTTTGTGTGTTTTTAATTGTTTTTGTGTTTTTACTTAATAGAAAATAAGTTTTGTATTTTTTGTATTTTCTTCTGTTTTGTATTTTTTCAAGCTTAATTATTTTTCTTTGTTTATACAACATTATATATAATTCTAGCTGTATTTTTCTCTAAACATTTATTGTTAATAATGACCTATGTTCATCGTCAACGTTATGGTTATGCTCAATATTTTGGACCTAAACCACAACTTGTAAAAAATTTTTTTTTAATTTAAAATTTTTTTCTCACATTTTTAAAGGTTCATTGCCCAACTTGCAACCAAAACACAACAACTAAACTTAAATATGTTCAACTTAAATGTTTGGAGGTGGTAATGTATATTTTGTTTGCAGCTATAATGTATCTTGTTTTACCCTTTAAAAAATATTAACTTTAGTATTTTTAAAGAATTGTCTTTGGTGTTGGTAGCATTATTACATGTACAACATCTGATAGTAGGTTTTCTGAGTGTTTTATGCTTACTAGTTGTGGGTATGTTCAAAAAAATATAATAAAAATCAAAATATTTTTTTAAGGGTTCTGAGTTTATTCGTTTTTATGTCTATTTGTGTGCCTTTTTTGTTCTGTGACAAATGTAAGAATGCTGAACATTATTGTAGTGTTTGTAACACTTTTGTTGGTAAATATGTAAATGACGATACAAGGCCTGTAGTTATATTACCACCAGAATTATATAAACATGAAGTCTATCAACCTAAGAATAATAATGTTTAGAGAGAGAATACAGTAATATGTATGAGAGAGAATAGAGAATAATCAGAATAATAAAAATACAAAAATCAGAATTTATTTGTATTTTCCGGAAATGTTTTAATTCATGTTTTTCCGGAATAAGTTTATTTTTGTAAAATCAGAATTTTTATAAAACACCTTTCCGGAATTCTGTTTTAATTCAAGTTTATTTTTTGCTTATGCTTTTCCGGAAAAAGTTTATTCTTGTTTTAATGAATTAAAACACAAACTCCGGAAATTATAAAAACCGGAAAACACATTAATTGCTTCTACATAGTTTTATTATTGTGTTTTTGTTATTGTGTTTTGTATTAAATATGTTTTTATTTGTGTTTTATTTGTTTGTTGTGTTTTTATTTGTTTGTTTATAGGTTTTATAAAATACTTAAAACATTGATGTTTTTATGTTTTAAAATGTTTGTATTTTCAAGTTTAATTTTTTTTTGTTTTTCAAACAGTGTTATTTTAGCTGTATTTCTCTAAACAATTATTTGTTGTTTGTTGGTTTCAATAATGATTGTTCAATATTTTGGAAAAAAGCCACAACTTGTAAAAATTTTTTAATTAAATTAAAAAATGTTTTTTTCCATTTCAAAGGTTCATTGTCCAACTTGCAATCAAAATACAAAAACTAAACTTAAATTAGTTAATGATGAATGTTATACACCAAAATGTTTATGCTTTTCTTTAATAATTTTTGGGTCAGTTTAAATTTTATTTAAATTAAAAAAAATATTTTTTTAGCCTTTTCCACATTGTACTTGCCATCACCTCATGCTTTTACTCCACTAAAAGAGAGTGTCTTATTTCTATTTTTGTGGGGTATTTTTAAAAATTTTTAATTAAAAAAATTTTTTCCTAGATTTGCTTTTGTCTCCGCATTTGCAGTTTTTTGCGCCTATATTCTATTATGTGATTTTTGCAAAAATATTGAACATCATTGTAGTGTTTGTGACACGTATCTTGGTAGATATGAAGGTGATAGAAAGCCTGTAGTTATATTACCACCAGAATTATATAAAGATCATGTGGCGCAACCTAACAATAATTAATTAGAGGGAATACAATAATTAGGAGAGACTTTAGAGAAAAAATAAAGAAAATACAAAAATCAGAATTTATTTGTATTTTCCGGAATGTTTTGTAAAATCAGAATTAATTTTGTGTTTTCCGGAATGTTTTGTAAAATCAGAATTTATATTTATTGTGTTTTCCGGAGTGTTTTTTAAAAATCAGAATTAATTTTGTGTTTTCCGGAATGTCTTGTAAAATCAGAATTTATATTTATTGTATTTTCCGGAAATGTTTTAATCCAAGTTTTCCGGAATATGTTTATCTTTAAAAATCAGAATTTCTCTAAAACACATAATTCCGGAAATATATAAAAACCGGAAAAATACATTCATTCTTCTATTTATAATACATATAACTCTTGTTATTTTGTTGTTGTTAATGTATTTTTGTGTTTTTAATGTATTTTTTCTTGTATTTTAAATTTGTATTTTTGGATCTTTATTTTTTAATTGCTGTATTTCAAGTTTATTTTTCTTTCTTTTTTCAGACAACAAAGCACTACCTATTTTTCTCTAAACAATTATTAAAACAATGGGTAATGGTTATTCTCATAATTATGGCTACAACCCTTTTATGCCCTATGGTCCTTATTATGGTGGTTATACTCTTCCCGCTCAATTTTATGGACCTGATCCGCAACTTGTAAAATTTATTTTTTAATTTAAAAAAATTTTTTTCTTCAATTTTCAAAGGTTTATTGCCCAACCTGCAAGCAAATTCAAACAACTAAACTTGAATATGTTGCTGGAAAGGGTAGTTGGTCGTGTTGTATTGCTTCAGCAATTTTAGGGTTAATTTCAAATTTTAAATTTAATTAAAAAAAAATTTTTTTCTTAAGGGGTTTGTTCGGCTTTCTCGGTATTATATGGCTTATCGAGGCTATTAATGAGCCTGAAGACGACACAACAACAACTGCCCCCTACCCCTACCCAACAAAAACTAAAGGTTCTCGCGCAGCTCGTATAGCCTTTTACTCTACTTTTGCTAGTTTTTGGTAAGTTATAAATTAAAATTTTGCCTAAAAAAATTACTCTAGCTTTTGTACTTGCTGTTGGTGTATGTTAAGTTCATTCTGCTGTCATTGCTTTAAAGATGTTAAACATTACTGTGGTCGTTGTGATACTTATATTGGCACACATTTACGTGACCATCGAAGGCCTGTAGTTATACTACCACCAGAATGTCATAAACATCAAATAATGCCCAACCATCATAAGTAGAAAAGAAGAAAATAGTTAAGAAAATATAGTGTATAATTAATGTTGTTTTGATGTAAAATATTGTGTTTTGTGTTTTCCGGAAATGTTTTAATTGTATTTTTTCCGGAAAAAGTTTATTTTATAAAAATCAGAATTTATATTTGTGTTTTCCGGAAATGTTTTAATTGTATTTTTCCGGAAAAAGTTTATTTTATAAAAATCAGAATTTTTATAAAACACATTTCCGGAATGTTATAATTCAAGTTTATTTTTAATATGTTTTTCCGGAATATGTTTATTTTATAAAAATCAGAATTTATATGTGTTTTCCGGAAAGTTTTTAATTCATGTTTTTCCGGAATAAGTTTATTTAAAAAAGTCAGAATTTTTCTAAAACACATAAATTCCGGAAATATATAAAAACCGGAAAAACACACAACCGGAAAATACATTCATTCCTCTTTTATTCCTTCCCTTCTTCAAAACATTGTTGTTTGAAAATGTTTTGTTTGTTGTTAATGTATTTTTGTGTTTTCAATGTTTCTGTGTCTCTGTATTTTATTGAATAGAAAATTGTATGTGTTTTTTTTTTGTATTTTACTTATTTAAACGCGTGTATTTTGCGCAACTTTATTTTTAATAATGTATTTCAAGTTTATTATTTCTTTCTTTGTTTTTAGATAGCAATACTATTTCTCTCTAAACAATTATCAAAACAATGGGTAATGGTTATTCTCATAATTATGGCTACAACCCTTTTATGCCCTATGGTCCGTATTATGGTGGTTATACTCCTCATGCTCAATTTTATGGACCTGATCCGCAACAAGTTAAAGAAAAATTTTTTAATTGAAAAAAATATTTTTTTCAAAGGTTCATTGCCCAACATGCAAGCAAAATACAACAACTGAAGTTAAATTTGTTTTTGGTGGATGTACTTGGTTCTACGTCATCTTTTTTATTGCTTTTGGGTTCGTTAGTTTAAAAATTGCTATATTAATTTATTTTTTAAGCTCTTTCATGGCTTTTGGGGGAGCCATTGCATGTAGTAATAAAGATCATTCGGAATGTATTTTTTTTATTCTTTTCGCGTTAGTTGTTTAAAAATTTTTAAATTATTTTTTTAAAATTTTAGAATTGTTTTATTCTCTTGTGTGCCTGTTACTATCTTCTGTAATTGTTTTAAAAATGCAGAACATTACTGTGGTCGTTGTAATACTTTTATTGGCAAATATGAACGCTTCAGTGGAAGGCCTGTTGTTGTATTACCACCTGAATGTCATAAACATCAAATGATGCCCAACCATCATAAGTAGAACGAAGCGAATAGTTGAGAAAAATATAGTGTATAATTAGTGTTGTATTGATGTAAATTATTGTGTTTTCCGGAAAGTTTTAATTCGTGTTTTTCCGGAATGTTTATATAAAATCAGAATTTATTTTTGTGTTTTCCGGAATATGTTTATTTTATAAAAATCAGAATTTTTCTAAAATACATAAATTCCGGAAATATATAAAAACCGGAAAAACACACAACCGGAAAAACACATTAATTCCTCTTTTATTAATTCCCTTCTTCAAAACATTGTTGTAAGAAAATGTTTTGTTGTTGTTAATGTATTTTTGTGTTTTTAATGTTTCTGTATTTTATGGAATAGAAAATTGTATGTGTTTTCTTGTATTTTATTTAAACGCTTGTATTTTGCGCAACCTTATTTTTAATAATGTACTATTTCAAGTTTTTAGATAGCAATACTATTTCTCTAAACAATTATTATTGTTAATAATGGTTTATGTTCATGTTCAAACTTATGGTTATGCTCAATTTTTTGGACTTAAACCACAACTTGTAAAAATAATTTTTTTGTTCTTAAAAAATTTACCCAATTTCAAAGGTTCATTGTCCAACCTGCGACCAAAATACAAAAACTAAACTTAAATATGTTGTTAGATCGGATGCTTGGTTGAATTGTATTTGTATTGCACTTATGGGGTTAATTAATTAATTTAATTTTCAAAAAATAATTTTTCAAAGGTTTTTTACTTGCTTATTCAGTATTTATTCTCTTGTCCATTCTATTACTAGAGGTGATACTTCTCTAACCGCTATATGTTTTATTTGTCTTATTTTTGGGTTTATTTATTTAAAAATTTTATTAAAAAAATTTTTTAGGCTTTTGTTTTTCGCCTTTTCGTCAGCTCCATTTTACTGGAATCATTATAAAAATGTAGAACATTATTGTAGTGCTTGTGATACTTATATTGGCAAACATGTACGTGACATTCGAAGACCTATAGTTATATTACCACCAGAATCATATAAAAATCTACCAATCAGACAATAATTAGAGAGAGTATAATAATAAGAGAGACAATATTTTTTCCGGAACAAGTTTATTTTATAAAATCATAATTTATGTGTTTTACTTTCCGGAAATGTTTTAATTCATGTTTTCCGGAAAAAGTTTAATTCTGTAAAATCAGAATTTATATAAAACACCTTTCCGGAATGTTGTAATTCAAGTTTATTTTTAATAATGTTTTCCGGAATGTTTCTGAAAAATCAGAATTTTTATAAAACAACAAAAATTCCGGAAATATATAAAAACCGGAAAAACACATTCATTTCTTTTTACTATTGTGTTTTTGTATTAAATATTATTATTTGTATTTGTTTCTGTATTTTTGTGTTTTTTAAAATGTATTTTTGCATCTTTTTGTGTTTTTAATTGTGTTTTTCAAGTTTATTTTTCTTTCTTTGTAGATATACTACCTATTTTTCTCTAAACAATCTAAATTACATCTTTTTAATAATGGTTTATGTTCATGTTCAAACTTATGGTTATGCTCAATATTTTGGACCTAAACCACAACTTGTAATATTAATTTTTTTAATTAAATAAAAAAATTTTTTTCTTCAATTTTTAAAGGTTCACTGCCCAACTTGTAATCAAAATACAAAAACTAAACTTAAATATGTTAACGGAAGATATGCTTGGTCGGAAAGCATCGCTATAGCAATATTTGGGTTATTATTTTAACGAGTACCTAATCTAAAAATTTTTTTTATTTAAAGGCTTCTTGTTTGCATTTGTGGTATTATAATGGTTATTGTTGCTATTACTGAAACCACTAATGACGATCGTGTATATAAAGTAATCGCGTCTCTTATTGTTCTTATTTTTGGGTCTGTTGCAAAAAATTGAAATTTATTAAAAACAAATTTTTAGACTCGTTATTTGCTATTTTTCATTTATTCTATTTCATTGGGACAGTTCTAAGGATGTTGAACATTATTGTAGTGTTTGCAACAATTATGTGGGCAAATATGTACGAGACCATCAAAGGCCTATAGTGATATTACCACCAGAATTATATAAACATAAAGTATATCAACCTAAGAATAATAATGTTTAGAGACAGTATAATAATAAGAGAGACAATAGAGAATAATCAGAATAATAAAAATACAAAAATCAGAATTTATTTGTATTTTCCGGAAATGTTGTAATTTTTAAATGTTTTTCCGGAAAAAGTTTATTTTTGTAAAATCAGAATTTTTATAAAACACATAATTCCGGAAATATATAAAAACCGGAAAAACACATACATTTATTACTCCTCTATTATTGTGTTTTTGTTAGTGTGTTTTATTTGTGTTTTTACTATTGTGTTTTTAATTAAATACATTTGTATTATTTATTTGTTTCTGTATTTTAGTCGTTTCTAAAGTGTATTTTTGCAACTTTATTTTTTAATTGTGTGTGTGTTTTAAGTTTATTTTTCTTTCTTTGTTTTTAGATAGCAATACTATTTCTCTATAAACAATTATCAAAACAATGGGTAATGGTTATTCTCATAATTATGGCTACAACCCGTTCATGCCCTATGGTCCTTATTACGGTCATGGCCCAACTACCTATGCTCAATATTTTGGACCTAAACCGCAGCTTGTAAAAAATTTATTTTTTTTAAATAAAAAATTTTCCTCTCATTTTTAAAGGTTTTTTGCCCAACATGTAATCAAGATACAAAAACTAAACTTGAATTTGTTGCTGGGTTGAATTCTAAATTGAATTTTATTTTGTCTTTACTTATTGGGTTAATTTTAGACATTAATTTAATTAAAAAAAATTTTTTTAAAGGTTTGTTGCTTGCGCATTTAGTATGCTTTTTCTTGTCTTTTCTATTATTAATGGCGATACTTCTCTAATCATCTTTTTTTCTTTTTGTCTTATTTTTGGGTTTGTTTGTGAAATTTTTATTAAAAAATATTCATTTTTAGGCTTTTTATTTGTGCTTACTCGTTAACTCCATTTAATAATCGGGATATTTATAAAGATGCTAAACATTACTGTAGTGATTGTAACAATTATGTTGGTAAATATATACGAGATCCCCGCAGGCCCGTAGTTATATTGCCACCAGAATCATATAAACATAAAGTCTATCAGCCTAAGGATAATTTATTAGAGACAGTATAATAGGAAGAGAGACAACAGAGAATAATTAAGAGAAAATACAAAAATCAGAATTTATATTTATTGTGTTTTCCGGAATGTTGTAATTTATAAAATGTTTTTCCGGAAAATGTTTATTTTTGTAATATCAGAATTTTTATAAAATACATTTCCGGAATGTTTTAATTCAAGTTTATTTTTAATGATGTTTTTCCGGAAAATGTTTATTTTTAAAAAATCAGAATTTTTATAAAACAAATTCCGGAATATATAAAAACCGGAAAACACATTCACCTTTCTATTGTTGTATTTTTGTTGTGTTTTTATTATTGTGTTTTTGTATTAAATTTGTGTTTGTATTTTATTTAAAATGTATTTTTGCAACATTATTTTGTTATATTGTATTTCAAGTTTATTTTTTGTTTGTTTTTAGATAACAATACTACCTATTTCTCTCTAAACAATTATTATTATTGTCAATAATGTCTAATGCTTATTATCAACATGGTTATGGTTATGCTCAATTTTTTGGACCTGAACCACAACTTGTAAAAAAAATTTTTAATTAAATTAAAAAATTTTCTTCAATTTTCAAAGGTTTATTGCCCAACCTGCAAACAGAATAAAAAAACTAAACTTGAATTTGTTACGGATACTTATGCGTATTGTTTTATTATAGCATTTATTGGGTGAATTTTAATAATAAATTAATTTAAAAAAAATAATATTTTTTTAAAGATTTTTGATTTGTTTTTTTGGTATTTTATTGGTTATCATTGCTATTATCGATATTATTAAAGAAGGTGGTTTTGATAATCCTTTGCATGAAAGACGTTTAATCGCGTATATTATTATACTTATTATTGGGTATGTTAAAATTTATTTAAAAAAATAAATTTTTAGACTTGTCATATGCTCTCTTTCGCCACTTCCACTTTACTGTGAAGATTGTAAAAATGTAGAACATTATTGTAGTGTTTGTGACACTTATATTGGCAAACATGTACGTGACGGTCGAAGACCTATAGTTATACTACCACCAGAATTATATAAAAATCTGCCAAACAGACAATAATTAAATGGAGAGAGAGTACAATAAAATAAGAGAGACAATGGAGAATAAATAGAAGAAAATACAAAAATCAGAATTTATGTGTTTTACTTTCCGGAAATATTTTAATTCTTTTTCCGGAAAAAGTTTATTTTTGTAATATCAGAATTTCTATAAAACATATTTCCGGAAATGTTGTAATTCAAGTTTATTTTAAATAATGTTTTCCGGAATAAGTTTCTGAAAAATCAGAATTTTTATAAAACAATTTAAATTCCGGAAACATATAAAAACCGGAAAATAGGTACATTCTTTCCCTTCTATTTATTATTGTGTTTCTGTTATTGTGTTTTTAATTAAACATTATTGTGTTTCTGTATTTTCTTTTGTTTTAAAATGTATTTTTGCAACTTTATTTTTTAATTGTGTATTTTCAAGTTTGTATTTTCCGTGTTTTTAGATAACTGTATTTCTATTTCTTTCTAAACAATTATTATTATGTTCATGTCTACGAATCAGGCTATTTACGGTCCAACTACCTATGCTCAATATTTTGGACCTAAACCACAACTTGTAAAAATTAATTTTTTAACTAAACAATTTATTTTTTCAAAGGTTCATTGCCCAACCTGTAACCAAAATACAAAAACTAAACTTCAATTTGTTGCTGGGTGGAATTCTCAGTTGAATTGTATTGCGTCTTTGCTTATTGGGTAAATTTTATTTATTAAATTTAATTAAAAAAATTATTAATTTCTAAAGTTTTGTTGCTTGCACGTTCGGTATTCTTTTTCTTTATGTTCTTATTGCTAAAGGTGGTGATCCACTTATACTCATCTATTTTGTTTTTTGTCTTATTGTGGGGTTTGTTTATGGATAAAAATTTTATTAAAAAATATTTATCTTTAGGCCTCTTGCTTGTGCTTGCTCGTTAGCTCCATTTTATCAGGATGTTTATAAAGATGCTAAACATTATTGTAGTGTTTGCAACAATTATTTGGGCAAATATGTACGAAACCCTCAAAGACCTATAGTTATACTGCCACCAGAATCATATAAACATAAAGTCTATCAACCCAAGAATAATAATTTAGTAGAGACTGTATGATAATAAGAGAGACAATAGAGAATAATAAAAATACAAAAATCAGAATTTATAATTTATTGTGTTTTCCGGAATGTGTTTTTCCGGAATAAGTTTTCTAGAAAATCAGAATTTATTGTGTTTTCCGGAAATGTTTTAATTCCATTTTTTCCGGAATGTTTTGTAAAATCAGAATTTATATTTATTGTGTTTTCCGGAATGTTTTAATCCAAGTTTATTTTTAATTGTGTTTTCCGGAATGTTTCTGAAAAATCAGAATTTTTAGAAAACACAAAATAAAATTCCGGAAACACTATAAAAACCGGAAAACACATTCCTATTAATATTGTGTTTTTGTTATTGTGTTTTCGTATTAAATACATATTATTATATTTGTTTCTGTATTTTTGTGTTTTACTTGTATTTTTGCGACTTTATTTTTTGTGTTTCTGCCTTTATTTTTCTATATTTATTTTTTAATTCTAATTTAGGGGTTTTTTCCGTTTTTAAATAATTCTACCTACCTATTTCTCTATCTCTTATTGGCAATAAAATGGGTAATGGTCATTCTCAAAATTATGTTCTTCAAAATGCATCATACACTTATGGTTACATACCTAATGCTCAATTATTTGGCCCTGGCCCAAATCTGGTAAAAAATATTTATTTTTTAAAAATATTTTTTCAATTTCTAAGGTTCATTGTCCAGCATGTAACCAAAAAATGATAACAAAAGTTAACCATGTTAGTGGTAGATATACGTGGGGAATGTGTTACTTGTACATAATTATTGGGTGAGTGTGTCAACATTATTTTTCTGGAATATAAATTTATTTCTGAAAAATCAGAATTTATAAAAACACTTAAATTACTGAAATAATAAATACCAGAAATAATAGAATTCATTAATTAACCCACCAAGTAATAATTGAGAGAATATATTAAAATAAGAGACACAGAGAATAATTAGAGAAAAAATAATTAAAAATACAAAAATCAGAATTTATATTTATTGTGTTTTCCGGAATGTTGTATGTAATGTTTTTCCGGAACAAGTTTATTTTTGAAAAATCAGAATTTTTCCTTTTTAATTTCCGGATTAGGGAATGTTTTTCGGAATATATTTTTAATGTTTTCCGGAATTTTTAATGTTTTCCGGAATGTGTTTTTAATGTTTTTTCCGGAATACTTAAATTCCGGAAAATAGGTAATTCATTTTAATTAATATTTTTTAAAGGTTTTTTGTTGTTTCGACTCCACTCATCAATTGTACAAGTAAAAATGACAACGAGCTTCATAGATGTTTTATTCTTCTTCTTTTTGGGTTTTACAAAAATAAAATTTTTATTAAAAAAATTTTTTTGAGGCTTCCTTTTTGGTGTATCTCGCTTATTCCATATATGTTAAAATGTTGTAAGGATGTTGAACATTATTGTAGCCATTGTAACACTTATATTGGCAAATATTTTCGTGACGAGAAATATTCTGTAATGATACTACCAATAGGAAATCAACAACAACAACAAGATGACAATCAGAATCAACCAAACGATGATTAATTAATTAGAGAATACAATAAAATAAGAGAGACAACAGAGAATAATCAGAATAATAAAAATACAAAAATCAGAATATGTTGTATTTTCCGGAATGTTTTAATTCTTTTTCCGGAATAAGTTTATTTTAAAAAAATCAGAATTATTATAAAACACACCTTTCCGGAAATGTTTTAATTCAAGTTTATTTTTAATAATGTTTTTCCGGAAAAAGTTTAATTTTTACAAAATCAGAATTTTTATAAAACACAAATTCCGGAAACATATAAAAGCCGGAAAAACACATTAATTGCTCCCTTCTATTTTTACTATATAAACCTTGTGTTTTTGTATTAAATATTTTGTGTTTCTGTATTTTAGTTTTTATTTTAAACTGTATTTTTGCCTATGTATTTTTTAATTGTGTATTTTCCAAGTTTATTTTTCTTTTTTTTATTTTTAGATAACACTTCCTATTTCTCTCTAAACAATTATTGTTAATAATGTATATGCCTATTGTTCTTGGACCTGACCCGATTATGGTAAAAGATAGAAAATTTAAAAAAAAATTTTCCAATTTTAAAGGTTCAATGTCCAAACTGTAATCAAAATACAGCAACTAGACTTAAATATGTTAACGGTAGTTATACTTGGTGTAGTTGTATTGGGATACTAATTCTTGTGTTTGTATTTTTCTTTTAATAAATTAATATGTTTTTTAAAGTTGTTTTGTTGGTGTTGTTGAAACCTTCAGATGTGCAAAGAGTCTTAGCGACCTTATATTCTGTTCTATTTTTTTTTCTATTATTGGGTTATTTTTGTTAATTTTTTAAAAATTCTTTTTTTTCTTCAGGTTTCCAATTTGCTTTTGTTCGATTCTTCCATTCCTCTTACACATTTGTAAGGATGTTGAACATTACTGTGGTAGCTGCAACAATTATATTGGAAAATATTTTCGTGGCAATAGAAGCCCTGCAATTGTATTACCACCTCAATAACAACACCAAGTCAAACAGAATCAACCAAACAATTATTAGAGAGAATATAATAATTAGGAGAGAACAAAGATAATTAGAGAGAAAATAATAAAATACAAAAATCAGAATTTATATTTATTGTGTTTTCCGGAATGTGTTTTTCCGGAAAAAGTAGTTTTGCAAAATCAGAATTTGTGAAAAACACAAGAAAATACAAAAATCAGAATATATGTATTTTCCGGAAATGTTTTAATCCAAGTTTATTTTTAATAATGTTTTTCCGGAATAAGTTTATTTCTGAAAAATCAGAATTTTTATAAAACACACAATTCCGGAAACATATAAAAACCGGAAAAACACATTTATTACCCCTTCTATTTTTACTATAAAAACCTGTGTTTTTGTATTAAATATTTTGTGTTTCTGTATTTTAGTTTTTCTTTTAGAGTGTATTTTTACTAATTTATTTTATCATTGTGTATTTTCGTGTATTTTCCAAGTTTAATTTTCTTTTCTTTTTAGACTACTTATTTTCTCTAAACAATTATTGTTAATAATGTATACGCCTATTGTTCAATCTCTTGGACCTGACTGTCAACCGGTAAAAAAAATTTTTCCTAATCTTCAACTAAAAAAAAATTCAATTTTAAAGGTTCATTGTCCAAAATGTAATCAAAATACAATAACTAAAATTAAGTATGTTAATGGTAGTTATACTTGGTGGAGTTGTATTGGGATACTATTCTTTGGGTTTGTTTTAATTTTAATGAATAAATTAATTCATTTTTTAAAGATGTTTTATTCCTCTTTCGATATCAGTTAAATATTGTGCAATAACTCTTTTAGACCTTATGATATGTTATGGTTTTTGGGTGGTTCTTGTCGGGTTTTTGCTTAAAATAATTTTTTAAAAATTCTTTTTTTTTTCTTCAGGTTTCCAATTTGCTTCTGTTCGGTTATTCCATTCGTCTTAAATATTTGTAAGGATGTTAAACATTACTGTGGTAGTTGCGATAGTTATATTGGAAAATATTATCGCGGCAATAGGAACCCTGCAATTGTATTACCACCTCAACAATAACAACACCAAGTCAGTCAAAATCAACCAAACAATAATTAGAGAGAGAATAAATAATTAGGAGAGACAATAGAAATAATTAGAGATAAATAATAAAATACAAAAATCAGAATTTATATTTATTGTGTTTTCCGGAAGTGTTTTTCCGGAAAAAGTTTATTTTAGTAAAACCAGAATTTTTATAAAACACAATATAAATTCCGGAAATATACAAAAATTCCGGAAAAACACATTTATTCACCCTTATAAAAATTTTGTGTTTTGTTGTAATTAAATGTTTTCGTTGTATTTTCCGGAGAAAGTTTATTTCTCTAAAATCAGAACTTTTATAAAACACATAAATTCCGGAAATATATAAAAACCGGAAAAACACATTTATTTCCCTTCCATTTAATAAGACTTTGTAAATGTGTTGTTAATGTATTTTTGTGTTTTTAATTCTGTGTATTTTATTGAATATAAAATTGTGTATTGTATTTTTCTTGTATTTTAATTTTAAGCGTGTTTTTGTATTTTAGTTTTTAAATGTATTTTTACAACTTATTTTTTAATTGTTTATTTTCAAGTTTATTTTTCCCCCTTTGTTTTTAGAAACAATACATACTACCTATTTTTCTCTAAACAATTATAATTACTGTCAACAATGTCTAATAATATTTATGTTTATCAACCAAGCTATGGTTATGCTCAATTTTTTGGACCTAAACCGCAACTTGTAAAAAATTTATTTTCTAATTAAAAAAATTTTTTCCTCATTTTTTAAAGGTTTATTGTCCAAGATGCAAACAAAATCAAACAACTAAACTTGAATTTGTTACTGGAAAGGGTAGTTGGTCGTGTTGTATTCTTACAGCAATTTTTGGGTTAATTTCAAATATGAATTTAATTAAAAAAATTTTTTAAAGGTGTTTGTTCGGCTTTCTTGGTATGATATATCTTATCGAGGCTATTATTGAGCCTGAAAATACTAGAGGTTCTCGTGCAGCTCGTATAGTCTTTGCTTGCATTTTTATCAGTGTTGGGTTTGTTATACAAAAATTGACTGTTAAAATTTTTTTTTCACTAGCCTTTGTATTTGCTGTTTTGCCCCTATTTCATTTAATAGTGATAGTTATATGGATGTTGAACATTATTGTAATATTTGTGATACTTATATTGGCAAATATGAACGTAACAGTCGCAGACCAATAGTTATATTACCACCAGAATTATATAAAAATCTACCAACCCAAGAATAATTAATTAGAGAGAGAGTACAATAAGATAAGAGAGACAATAGAGAATAATTAGAGAGAAAATACAAAAATCAAAATTTATTTTTATTGTATTTTCCGGAAATGTTTTAATGTTTTCCGGAAAAAGTTTATTTTAAAAAAACCAGAATTTATGTGTTTTACTTTCCGGAAATGTTTTAATTGTATTTTTTCCGGAATAAGTTTATTTTAAAAATCAGAATTTCTATAAAACACCTTTCCGGAAATGTTATAATTCAAGTTTATTTTTAATAATGTTTTCCGGAACAAGTTTCTGAAAAATCAGAATTTTTAGAAAACACAACATAAACAATTCCGGAAACACTATAAAAACCAGAAGACATTCAATTTTTGTTTGTTTGTGTTTTGTATTAATTAATATATACATGTGTTTCTGTATTTTTGTGTTTTTTAGAATGTATTTTTGCTACTTTATTTTTTAATTGTGTTTCGAGTTTATTTTTCTTTCTCTACTTTTAGATAACAATACTATTTTTCTCTAAACAATTATTATTGTTAATAATGGTTTATGTTCATGTTCAAACTTATGGTTATGCTCAATATTTTGGACCTAAACCGCAACTTGTAAAAATTCTTTTTTCTAATTAAAAAATTTTTTACTCCCATTTTTAAAGGTTCATTGCCCTACTTGTAACCAAAATACAAAAACTAAACTTAAATATGTTACTGGAAATCGAAATTGGTTTTGGTGTATTATGATAGCAATGTTTTGGTTAATTTCAAATATTTAATTAAAAAAACAATTTTTTTCTAAAGGCTTATCCCTTGCATATATATTATCTTTTTTATTATCATCTCTATTCGACGTGGTTCTGGTTTAGCGGAATCTTTTCTTTGTCTGGTTGTTAGGTTTATTTTGTAAACTTTAAATTATTAAAAAAATTTCTAGTGTTTCTATTTGCGGTTGTCTTATGCCTATTCCATTTTACTGTGACTGTCTTATGGATGCAGAACATTATTGTAGTGTTTGTGACACTTATATTGGCAAATATGTTCAAGACAGTCGAAGGCCTATAGTTATACTACCACCAGAATTATATAAAAATCTGCCAAACAGACAATGATTAAATGAAGAGAGAGTACAATAAAATAAGAGAGACAATAAAAAATAATTAGAAGAAAATACAAAAATCAGAATTTATATGTATTTTATTGTATTTTCCGGAATGTTTTCAAGTTTTTCCGGAAAAAGTTTATTTTTGTAAAATCAGAATTTTTATAAAACACAACATAAACAATTCCGGAAATATAAAAAAACCGGAAAAACATTCATTCTTTTATTGTGTTTTACCGTGTTTTTACAATTGTGTTTTTGTATTAAATATTATTATAGGTGTTTTTGTGTTTGTGTTTTAAAATGTATTTTTGCAACTTTATTTTTTAATTGTTGTATTTCAAGTTTATTTTTCTTTTTTTCTCTATTTTTAGATAACAATACTATTTCTCTCTAAACAATTATTATTGTTCATAATGTTTGGTCATCCATTGTATGATTTGTTGTCCGGTCCAAGTCATGCCCAATATTTTGGATCTAACCCACAACGCGTAAAATTTTTCTAAAATTTAATTTAATCTTTCCCCTATTTTTTATAGGTCTATTGTCCAACCTGCAACGAAATTACAAAAACTAAACTTGAATATGTTAATAATGCAAAAACTAAATGTTGTAGTTTTCTTATTGCATTTTGGGGGTTAAAAAAATTTTTTTTATTTTTTAATTGAAAAAGAATTTTTTTAAAGGTTTTCGATTTTAACTACTACGTTGGCAATGATTAAAGTTAGTGCTAGAAGTTCTGAATCTCTGTTTTTTTCTCTTTTCTTTCTCGCTATAGGGTATGTTTCATATAAAAAATTGAAAAAAAAATAAATTTTCTAGGCTTCTATTTTGTTGTCTGGCGCTTATTCCAATTTATTGTGACCATTGTAAGGATGCTAGGCATTATTGTAATGTTTGTGATACTTATATTGGCAAATATTTTCATGACAGTCAAAGACCTGTAGTTATTATACCACCAGAATTATATCAACAAAGAGCTAATCAACAAAACAATTAGAGAGAGAATACAATAAAATGAGAGAGACAATAGAGAATAATTAGAGAGAATAAAATACAAAAATCAGAATTTATATTGTGTTTTCCGGAATGTGTTTTTGTGTGTTTTTGTTTTTTCCGGAAATGTTTTATTTAATGTTTAATGTGTTTTCCGGAGTGTTGTGTTTTTCCATGTTTTTCCGGAAAAAGTTTATTTCTTAAAAATCAGAACTTATAAAATACACAATTCCGGAAATGTAAAAATTCCGGAAAACACAATTATTCCCTCTTATAAAAATTTTGTGTTTTGTTGTAATTAAATGTTTTTATTGTAATAAGTTTATTTTTAAAAAATCAGAATTTTTATAAAACAAATTCCGGCGTTGTATTTTAGCCGGTATCTAGTTCGAAATTACTCCCCTTATTTTCTGAAAATAATCTTTTTTTTGAAAAACAAAAAAAACAGACATGTACTTTTGTATTTTTCATTTATTTAAACTTAAAAAGTAAGAAATGAATTTTGTTTAATTAGGAAAAAAATTTTAAAGAAAAGCGTGTGCCTGTGTGTGTGTGGCATTTAAGCATGTCTTTAGTAAAATTTGTATTTTTTAATTATTCACACTATCTTAAAGCAAAACTGATAAAATAAAATTTTTCTCTCAAAAAATAATTATTATTATTTTTATTATGCCTAATAAAATGAATTATGTTCAGCCAAGTTATGGGGGTAATAATGTTCAATATTTTGGACCTAAACCACAACTTGTAAAATTAATTTTCCTAAATTAAAAAAATTTTCTCCCCTCATTTTTAAAGGTTTATTGCCCTATTTGTATCCAAAATACAAAAACTAAAATTAAATTTGTTGTTGCTCGGCAAGTTTGGATGATGGCAATGCTTGGGTTAATACTTTAATATTAAATTTTAAAAAAATAAATTTTTTTTCCTTAAAGAATTATTATTTGCTTGATGAGTATTATAGGAGCATTTATTAGTTTTATTATTATTTTTTTTATTAATAATAAAAAAGGTTACAAACTTACTGAAAATACAATTAATTTAATTTTACCAATTGTTTTTGTTACTTTAGGGTTTGTTTAAAAATTTTAATTAAAAAATTTAAAAAAATTTATTATTTTCCCCGTAGATTTGTTATTTGCGTTCTGTCGCGTATTCCACTTTATTTTCAATGTTTAAAGGATGCAAAACATCACTGCTCTGTTTGCACCACTTTTATTGGCAAATATATACGAGACAAACAAAGGCCTATAGTTATATTACCACCAGAATCGTATAAAAATCTACCAAATTAGCAAATTAGAGAGAGAGAGAGTACAGTAAAATGGGAGAGACAGTAAAGAATAATCAGAATAATGGAAAATACAAAAATCAGAATTTATATTTGTTGTGTTTTCCGGAATGTTGTAATTTATGTTTGTTGTGTTTTCCGGAAAAAGTTTATTCATTGTAAAAACACAATTTTTATAAAACACTTTCCGGAAATATATAAAAATTCCGGAAAACACATTTATTCCCTCTTATAAAAATTTTGTGTTTTGTTGTAATTAAATGTTTTAATTGTATTTTCCGGAAATGTTTTAATTCGTTTATTTTTAATAATGTTTTTCCGGAATAAGTTTATTTCTTTAAAAAATCAGAATTTTTATAAAACAAATTCCGGCGTTGTACTGTTCAAAATGGCCAACAACCATATATAAAACAATGTGATTTTTAGGATCGAGAATTCATTTTTAGGGGAAGAGTTTATTTTTATTTTTTTGGGAGGGGGGGGGGGGGGTATGTATTTTCTGAAAATAATCTTTTTTGAAAAACAAAAAATAATTTAAAAAAATATTTAAAAAACAGATGTGTGTGGCATGTAAAATACGTCTTTAGTGTAAATTTTGTATTTTTTAATAATTCACGCTATCGTGTAAAACAAAACTTATAAAATAATTTTTCTCTCAAAAAACAATTATTATTATTCTTATATTTATTATTCTTAATAAAATTCTTAATAAAAAATAATAGAAAAGAGATGTGCGTGTGGAATTTAAGACCAAATTATGTTCAACCAAGTTATGTGGGGAATGTTCAATATTTTGGATCTAAACCACAACTTGTAAAATTAATTTTTTTCAATTAAAAAAATTTCCTCCCATTTTCAAAGGTTTATTGCCCTACTTGTAACCAAAATACAAAAACTAAACTTAAATTTGTTACTGAAACTCGGGCAGGTTGGATTATAGCATTGCTTGGGTTTAAATTTTAATTTTAAATTTAAAATAAAATTTTCTTCAAAGATTTATTATTTGCTCGCTGGGTATTATAGCATTTTTCAGTTTTGCTATTAGAAATATTAAAAAAGGTTTGGGTATTATTGATAGTAATATTGGTTTAATTTTACCAATTGTTTTTGTTACTTCTGGGTTTGTTATAAAAATTTTTTTATTAAAAAAAATTTTTCCCCGTAGACTTGTTATTTGCGTTCTGTCGTGTATTCCACTTTATTGTAGCTGTTTTATGGATGCAGAACATTACTGCTCTGTTTGCAACACTTTTATGGGCAAATATATACGAGATAAACGAAGGCCTATAGTTATATTACCACCAGAATCGTATAAAAATCTACCAATCCAACAAATAATTAATTAAAGAGAGAGAGACTACAGTAAAATGAGAGAGACAGTAAAGAATAATCAGAATAATGGAAAATACAAAAATCAGAATGTTGTGTTTTCCGGAAATGTTGTGTTTATGTTGTGTTTTCCGGAATATTTTGTAAAAACAGAATTTTTATAAAACACTTTCCGGAAATATAAAAGATTCCGGAAAAACAACACATTTATTCCCTCTTGTAAAAATTTTGTGTTTTGTTGTAATTAAATGTTTTTGTTGTGTTTTCCGGAAAAGTTGTTGTGTTTATAAAATCAGGAGAGTAACAGTAAACATTTTTGTGTTTTCCGGAAATGTAGTAACAAACATTATAAATGAGTTTAAGTTTTGTCTTTTCCGGAAAATTAAAAGAAAATACAAATCAGAAGATATTTACAATTGTATTTTTAGTTTATCTAACCCCGATAAAATAGGAAATCAATTATTTGTTTTTATCTAAGAAAAAATATTTATAAAAAAAGATGTGTGATATCTAAGTACGTTTTTAGCGAATTATGTATTTTTCTCGTACATTTCCTGTTGTCGTAAAAAGACTGATAAAAGAATAAAATAAAAAAATCCTTTCCCCATATTTCCCCTATTTTTATATTTTTAATATTTTATTCTCGCATTTATATTTATTAATTTCTGACATCATTTTTTATTAAAGGAAAATTTTAAATTTAGTTTTCCAAACATGTATTTAATATACATATTTATATTTAAAAAAGTGTGTTTTTATTTTATAAACATGTTTTCCGGAAAAAGTTGTATTTACATTATTGTATTTTCCGGAAACAATCTATTCAAAAAATGTATTTTTATTTTGAACGTGTTTTCCGGAAAAGTATTCTACATGTGTTATTGTATTTTCCGGAAAATTTATTTAAAAATGTGTTTTTCTCACAAACTTGTTTTCCGGAAAGGTTTTGTATTTTACCTATTTTATTGTATTTTCCGGAAACAATTTATTTAAAAAATGTATTTTTCTCACAAATTTGTTTTCCGGAAAAGTTTTGTGTTTCAATTGTTTTATTGTATTTTCCGGAAATGTTTACAGTTAACTGGTTCTGTTATATAACCGGAAAGTTTTGTATATAATAAAATACACATTTTATAAATATATGTTTTCCGGAAAAACTTTGTATTTTATTTCAATGTATTTTGTGTTTTAAATTAAATTCTGGTCACATTTTAATTTATGAAACTTTATTAAAACACAACTTTTAACAATTCTTTACAACAATTAATCAGAATTAATTAATTGACACACACACGTTTTTAAAGTCATTTCTGATTTTTGATTCATTTTAAACTTTAATGTTTTATGTTTGTTTAAAAACTTAATTGAATCTTCTTCTATTTATAGAAAAAACATACTTTTTGGAGTTGAGAACAAACTCTAAACAATAAAAAAATATTTAAAACCCCTTCTACATATTATTTTCTATCCTTCCCCAAAAATATATAAAAAAATAAATTTTCTAAAAAAAATCTAAAAAAATTCTAAAAAATTCTTAACTAAAAAAATTCTCCTCACTTCATAATACAAAATTTATAAAAAAAATTTTTTCTATTTTACTTAATATAAAATATAAATGTTCGTTAAATCTCTCCCCCACTCTATCTTAATTTAATTCTCACATCATAAAAAAAAATAAAAAAATTTTTTTATAACACTATAGGGGATTTATCTCCCAAATTCTCTCTAACACCCCCACAAATTCTCAACCAACAAAGATTTGAATAAATTAAAAATATTAAAAAAACACGAGATTGGAGGAGGCTGACATGAATTTAAATAAAAATAGTAAAATGATGTGTGATATTAAAAGAAAAATATTATTTATTAGTTGTTATCATTTCAGAATTATTACTTGATATGTATTATAGTATATAAATAATAATATTTATTTTTTTAATTTAATTTAATAAATCAGAATTATACAAATTGTAATTACAAATTGTAAAAACATGTTCTTTAAATATTCTGATGTTTAAATTAAAAAATTCTGATTTTTTAAATTCTGATTTTTTTTTAATTCTGATTTATTTAAAAATTCTGATTTCTTATTTAAATTCTGATTTCTTATTTAAATTCTGATTTTTTTGAAAATTCTGATTTTCCTTAAATTCCGATATTTAATTAAATTCTGATCTCTTTTTAATTCTGATTTTAAATAAATTCTGATTTTTTAGATTTTTTAAAATTCTGCTTTTTCTCTAAATTCTGATTTTTTAATCGAATTACAATTACATACAAATTCTGATATAAATTTTAAAAAATTCTGAGCCTCTTCAATTACAAAATTACAAATTCTGATTTTTAATATACTATCAGAATTACAATTTAAATAAAAATACACACAAACACAATTTCAAAAATACACAAAATTCTGATTTTCCCAATAAATCCCAACCAGAAATTTTAATTTTTTACAATCATAAATCAAAACCCTATGACCCCAATTTTATAATTTAATTGATAAGAACAAAACTACCAAAAAATTTTTTATATTTTTATATGTGTGTGTTTAATATTTACTCAGAAAAATCAATTTGCAATATTTTATTTTACACAGTTTAGTTCTCATTTTTAATAAATTTTCTGTCAAAAAAAATTTTTTTTCATCAAAAAAAATTTTTTCCCTTTTAAAAATTAAATTTTAACACCCCCTTTTTTCAGATAAATACAGATTCTTTTTTCTTAATATTTAAATCGGTGTCATTCACCTTTAACGAATTATTCAACTTGGCGTCGTTGCGCATATTTTTACTTTTATTGCTTGACAATCTGGACGAGAACGGATAGTCAAAACTTTTATACCCGAAAGGGATAAAAAATAACAACCAAAAAACAACAAGATAATCCTAGCCATTGAAAACAAAAACTACTAAAAAATTTGGTAAGACAAGCTTAACTAAAGCATAGTTCTTGTGGTTGTGGCTTGATAACTTTGGAATCAATTTTTCTTTTTGAATGGTACTTATATCATTCGAAAGAGGATTAAATTTCCTATAAAATAGGATTTAGATCAAAATTTTGTGTCGACTTACAAAAAAGTTGAGGCCAAAAACCCCCTTATAAAAAATTACAGCAAAAAATCGCACACAACTTTATTGCTCAACAACCCAAAAATCTGAAAAACCCCTGGTTTATAGTAAATTTAATTCTCTATCGAATGATATCAAAACCGTTTCAAACAGTTTATTCGATTGAAAGTTATTAGGTCTGGAATGAGACAACCCCTCACATGCATATACTTCAACTTAAGCTTAATTCTCAAATTAAAAGCAGAAAAAATTTTTTATTAGAGAATTCTAAGGTAGAATTTATGACAAATTTAATTCTCTATCGAATGATACCAAAACTGTTTCAAGAAATTTATCCAATCAAAAGTTATCGGGTCTGGAATTAGACGACCCCTCCAACACATTTCCCCTTGCTTAAATAATTCCCTTAATTAAAAACAGAACAAAAAAATTCTGATTTCTGAAAATGGTATCAGAAACAACATTTGAACAAATTTCTACTTCATCAACTTTCCTTTCTTCAATGGCATCACTTCTTCCGTTGTTATTTATTAGCGCTCTTCTTTTTACTGTTTCAATTCCAATAGGCTTTATTTTACACAAAATAATGAGACAAGTTTATAACAAAAGATTTGAACAAAACATGAAAAAACACAATTTGTTGGGGAAAAACACAAATGTTTTGGAAAACACGAAAAAATACAATTCGTTGGGGAGAAACACAAATGTTTTGAACAATGTTTTGGAAAACACGAAAAAACACAAGTTGTTCGGGAAAAATACAAATGTTTTGGAAAAACATCATTTGTTTGGGAGAGACAATGTTTTGGAAAAAGAAAAACAAGAACAACTGAAAACCAAACATCAAGAACAACAACAACGAGCACAACAATGTTTGGATAAACACAAGAAAAGTATTGGAAGTTTGGAGGAATGGATTTAAAGAGGAAAGAAACAGCGAGAAAAAGAGATGAAGCGCTGAACACATAATCCAAAAAAATTTTTCGTCTAGAAAATAATAATCTAAAAAATTTTTTATTAACTAGAAAATGAATAAATAAATATATTCTTTATTTTATTTTAAATACAAATTAATAAAAAAATTTTTTCGAAAAAATATATTTGCCAAAATTTTGTAGAGGTAGTTGTGTCAACCTCGAAGAAAATACTCCCAACATATAGCTCTCCTCTATGCTTTTATTTTAAATTCTGGCTTCTCCATGATGCTTCCATAAAAATTGCATGATCATCTTATGAATTCTAGTTGAGAATAAAAACAATAAAAAATCCTAATACAAAAGTCTCTTTTAACTAGAGTTGGACGAGATCAAGATTTTTTTAAATCAGTGAACGAGGATCACTGAAGCTGAAAAGCCGAGATCGAGGCCTCCCCCTCATCCAGTAGTTAATTAACCAACTTCAAACGATTATGTTTACGAGGAAGGGTGAGTAAATTCGAGATTCTGACTGTATTTTAAAATAAAAATTTTTATTTTTAATATTCGAAATGAGGCTAAAAACACTAATAAAAATTTCCTAATCTTATAAAATTTTTCTAAGTCAGCTGAAATTCCCTATAACCCTTAAACAAAACCCCTAAAAATAGCCTCTAATTTACCCCTAAAATAAACAATAAAAAAACAACAATAGAGCAGAAAAATATTTATTCTTTTTTTAATCGAAAAAATAAGCGAAAAAATTATATTAAATTAATTGCCGAAAAAATTGCCGAAAATTATATATTTGCCGAAAATGTTGTGTATCCAAAAAAGTTATCCGAAAAAAGTTTGCCTGAAAATGTTTAAATTTTTGTATTTTTAATCAGAATTACATAAAAACATTATACAAACATTACACAAACATCAGAAACACAACAGAAACACAACAAAAACACAACAAAAACACAAACATCAGAAACACAACAAAAACACAAACAAAACATTAGAAACACAACAAACACAACAACAAAACATAAAAACAAACAAACAAAACATTCAAAAACATAAAAACTTCTCTTTATTTCTTTTTTTAAAACACAAAAACATTTTCTAAAACATGATTCCCAAACTTTATTAAAAACAAAAACACAAAACAAACACTAACCTAAACAAATTACCCAACACAACTTAATACTCCGAACAAACACATTGTATGTTTTTACTCGAAATTACGCGTTCGTTTTTAACTCGTCATTACCCTCTTCCTTCGACACTTTGAGACCTTTTAAATTTTATAAGGTACCAAAAAAATTTTTTTAATTATTACTCCATCCTATATTGTATAGTAACTCTAATAAAAGCGCTTTTTCAACACCAAATTTTTAATTTTTTTAAATTTATCTCTCGTTATTACTCTATATACACAATAAATAGGCCTTTAAAACCGAACATACTCCTTTTTAAACGCGAAAAAAATAGAAAAAACTGTGCACAGCTTTCGGAAAAAATTTTTTTTGAATTTAAAAGATAACGTAGAGCAAAAAATTATTTAAAAAAAAATAAGAGATATGGAAAAAAATTAATCAAATTATGAACGCGTTAATATTAGAGAGTCTATGTGGCCAAAATTTTGAATAAAATATGCTTTTGTAAATATTGAAGGTTGAAAAAAAAAGCTCGAATTTAATAAATTTTGAATGAGGGAATATTCTGTAAGCTCTCGCAAAGACACAAAAAAAATATTCTAAATTGTCACGCGTGGTTAAGTCGGTAGTGGTGTTAAGTACAAAGAAAAGAGAGGTTACGGGTTCGAATCCTGTCACGGAAAAACTTTTTTGTTTTTAACTTGATAAATGTACTCTTTTTATTAAATAATTTTAATTAAAATAAAAATTTAAAAAATATATATACCACAATTTTTATCCCAGAAATTATAAAAAAAAAAATTTTATATTTATAAATAAACGCGCAAATATTTTTTGATAATTATTTTTTATAAAAATGGAATTAAATTTTAAAAAAGGTTCTTTTGTTGGTAAAAAAAAATAAATAAATAAAGATTTTTAAAAGACACTTTAAATCCCTCAAGGTAAAAAATTTTCTTTCTAAAGAAACTGGTTAAAATAATGTGGCAAATACCAATTTTCGAACAGAAAAAGCCAGGAAAAACACCTTTAAATTAAAAAAAAATCTTTTAATAAATTTAAAATATATTTTACTCGTTCCGCACGCTCCCGCAGAGACAAAAAAAAATTTAAAAAGTCCATGTGGTTAAGTTGGTAGTGTTGTAATCTATGAGTGTGAGAGAGGTCGCGAGTTCGAATCCGAACGTGGTAAAAGCTTATTAAAAAATATTTTTAAAGAAAACTAAGGATAAAATACGAAAAAATTTTTTAACGTTAAAAGCAAAAAAAATTGACCAAATTTACCTAAAAGTTAGAATCTTGCTGCGCACAACCCTATGTAACCTTTAACACCATTTTAGATTTAAATATGGCGAATATAAATTCGTGATGGCAAAATAATTGAATAGAAACCCCAAAATGAAGGATTCTTTTTCCAAATAAAATCGGAGACAGACAAAGAAAACTTTAACGAAAAATTGTCCCATGTGGTTAAGTCGGTAGTGTTGCAGTCTACAAGAGAGAGAGGTCGCGGGTTCGAATCCAAACGTGGTAAAACGGTTTTTTTCCTATTAAAAAAATAATTTAAAATAATTTTAAAGAAAATAAAGGAAAAAGAAAAAATTATTTTCGATGTTAAAATTAAATAAATTACCTAAGGGTTAAAATATTGCTGCACAAAATATATAATTATTTTAATCTTCCCTCATTATGAACAAATTAATTTAGGATAGAAACAAGGATAAAAAAAACCAGAAGGTATACATATCAGAGATATAAATTAGCCAGAAAAAATAATATTGAAGGATTCCTTCCAGATAAACGGATAATCCAGGATATGATTTTTTGACAAATTTAAGCAATCAAAAAATTCTTCTTGTTACCCATCAAAAAATTTTTTTATTTTTTTAACCTCCAAAGAAGTGTTGTAAATATTTTAATAAAAATATTTTATCCATCCAAAAAATAAAAAATTAGCCAAAATAAAACATCCAATTATTGAATAAAAAACCAGAAGGGAGATAAAACAGTTAGAATTAACAAGATATATTGGGCCATTTAACCAAGCACAAAAACCATAATTGTAAAATATATTTTAAAATTCTAGCCAGAGATTTGATTAAAAAATAAATGATGAAAATAAAAAGCTGAAGAAGATAAAGCTGAATTTTGAATTTGTTAAAAATATATAGCTTGATTAACCAAAAAAGGAAAGAATTAAAAATTGAGTGTTTTGCTTTGGATTTTAAAAATTTAAAAAAAAAATAAGTCCCCTATTAGTTAATTGAACAAAAAAACACACACAAAAATACCAAAAAGCACCAACGCAAGATTAAAATTAAAAAAAAAATAAAAAATTATTTTAATTAAAAAAAGGGGAACAAATCCTTCAAAAGAACGCCAAGTTTGATAAAAGTTTGCCTTTGTAATTTTTTAGTTAACTTGGATAAATTTTAGTATGTATTATTATTCGAGTAAAAAGTTGTGTAAGGCCGAATCCAGTCACGTAAAAAAATATTTTTCCGGAAAATTTGTTTAATAATTTTGTATAAATTTTTAAATTTAGAAGACGCGTAAAAAAGAGATGAAAGTTCGAATCCCTCATAGGTAAAACATTAAATTTTCTTCTTAGATGTGATTTTAATGTTCAAAAAATTATTTGAATTGATTGTAAATTTTCTTTCATTTTTTTCAATTGTGTTTTAATATTCGAAAGAGATTTTCGAATTGGTTGCAATTTTTGGAATAGGATTTTAAATTTTTTGTGATTTGTGTAGTTAAGTTGGTTAAACGCGAAGTAAAAAAAGTAGGTGGTGGGTTTGGAAAGTAAGTTTTTTTGTTAAATTGTCGCTTTTAAATAATGTTTTTGAAGATTCAGAAAAATAATTTTAATTAATTGAGCAAGTAGGGTCAGAAAATATGAAGTTTGCTTTCCCTCGAAAATTATGGTTAAGTTGGTAAATTTTAAAAAATAAGGTTGCAGGTTCGAACCCAACTTGGAATAAAAATAAAATTTTGTAAGATACGTTGTCTATTAACATTTTTTGAATATTAAAAATTGTTTTTATTGTAAAATAATTTTTTGTTCTTTTTTAAAATCAATTATAAAACCCAAGATTAACCATATAAATAGGTAGAAATTTTCGAGAACTCACTAAAAGAATTATTTGGAAAAATATGAATATTCCTACCAATAATAACACTCGCATATATTTAAATTATTAACCTTTTACACAAGAATATTGTAAAATAATATTTGTAAGAGACATTCTCAAACTTGATTCTCGCTTTTTATAACACTTGAGATTTTTTCAAATTTTAAAAGCACGCGTTGACTAAACCATACATAAAACAGAATCTCTCCCCCTTCTTTTTTAAATTGACAATATTCTATTAAGATTTTTATGCATTAACTTCTCATTAAATTACTACACAATTGTTGTTAAATTTTTTAATTAAATTTTGATTTTAAAATGGAAATATATCTCCTCCTCCGCCATCAATCAAAACAAGACTTATTTTTTTTTAATTAAAAATATGCCAATTATTTAAGCAACTACTCGTCTAACATTTTTTTCTCTTGTTAACATGGACCAATTTTTTCGGTAAAAAACCTAAAATGAATAAAAAAAACCCCTCTCCTCTCCTTCCCTATATATTAATTAAAATTAATAAAATAGCACAAAATATATAGGATAAATCTCCCTCTCAAAAGTAGTTAGTAGAAAAATAATTAAATTTGGATTTGAAATAATGAATTTGGATTTAATAATTGAATTTGGCAAATAATAGATGCTTAGGTATAAGCGTTGTTCTTAGCAAACAAATATTGTATTAGTTATCTCTTTTGGCAAAATAGCAAATTTTAGTAGACAACCAGTTAAAAAATATTATAATCGCGCTCTTCTTCATTTCAAAAATTTGGAAATCTCTCTCGCTTCTTTTGAATTCTTATTCGCAAAGATTATGATAATGATAATAATACACATCATTGTTTTTATATACACATGATCAAGAATACAAATACGCGTTTCAATATAAATATAGGTAGTTAGTTATATCTCCTTCACTCTTTCCCTTGGATCGCTTCTTTAGGGTTAAAAAATCTCATACCAAAAAAGAAATTGAATTATAATTTTTTAGCCAAAAGCTTTTATTATTATTATTGTTGTTATTATTGTTAAATATCATGATTAATCCAAAAGATAATATTTTTTTTCAAAAATCTTCTATATATAAATTAATCCTAATCAAGCTTCAAAATTTTGAATTCCTTTTCTTATCCAAAAAAATTTTCAAATCCTCTTGAAACATTCGAAAATGTCCATAATAATTTCAAAACCCCACCAGATAAACCATACTGTTTTAGGTATAATATTAGAAACTAATTGACACATTATTTGAAGTAAAATTTTGGTAACATTTAGACACAAAAATATTTATTGGGTTGAAGAATAGGCTGAATACCAGGAACGCGCTCTCTAAAGGCAGGAAGAAAACTCCTCAGACTAAATTTTATTTTTTTCATTTTAAATTAAAATACCTTTACAACAAGAAAAATAGGTAGACCTAAAATTTAGATAACCCCAAAAGATATAACCCTCCCTTTAAAACAATTATTTTGAATTTAACCTGGGCACATCAAAATAAAGTCCCAAAAAACTCATATAAGCAAGACCAGTTTTGCCAGTATGTTTTTTACAGACGCGGATTCTTGTAAAAAATCTAAAAATAAACCCCCAGCCCTCCCCATTTGAACGTAAAAATGTAGAAAATACATTGAAAGACAAACAAGCCTATCAGTGATATAAAACAATGGTAGAAAAGAGTAATTTTGAAACATCTAAAATAGGTATACAATCAACAAAAACTAACCCATCCTAAATGAGGATAAATTGAGAGATTCAAATTGGCTTCACAAATTCAGATTGTGTAGTAAAGCAAGCTTTATCCCTTCCAATTAAACAGAAATTGGTAAGGAGATATACAACAGATTGTGATTTGGATAGATAATTTTGAAGCATATCTAAATATATCATCAAGGAACCGCCCCGTCCCATAGTAATATTTTAAAAATACAAAAACCGCCACATATTCATTGGGCTTCATAAGAGAATGATATCGCGAATTCAACTATTGAACACCATTTCTTCTTATCATTGTAACACACGTATTATCCCTTGTAGTAGTTAAATAACGAAAGATTGATCTCGATTCCTTATACAAACATGTAGTTTTGAAATACACCTAAATTTATCATCAAGGAACCAAACCCATTCCCAATAAGAATAAAAATACAATGACAATTTGAAATGAATTGAATTTGAAAATGAAGACACGCAAAGGAGATTGATCTGGATTTCTTATACAGGTAAAAGTAGTTTTGAAACACACATCTAAATTCATCATTAGGGAACTAATCAAATACCGCGCAAGGAATGAAAAATCCATTAGGCTTTGTAAAAGAATGATCCGCGATCTCTTCTTAATGTCGCACACATTTTATAGCTTCACGTTAGAACGTATAGTAGTGGTAGGTAGATAAATACACGCAAATGAGATTGATTTGGATTTCTTAACAACTAAGTAGTTTTGATACACATCTAAATTTAGCATCAAAGAACCAGCCCCAACCCATTAAGGGTAAATATTTTTAAAAAATACAATGACCAAACATTCATTGAATTCAAAAACGGCCTTTTACATATCTTCATTGTGTAACTCTATTCCATCTTATCAAATGTATGGTAACGCAAAGAAGATTGATTTGGATTTCTCTCATCTAAAAATATCATCAAACACCCAATCCCGATGAGTTAAAATATTAAAAAAATACAACGACAGCCACCCACTAATCTCCATTGACTTTGAGAATGAATTTGGCATTTATTTAGTTTCTGCTATTATTGCAACACATGGCCTTATCCCTTCTTGACAGACGTAAAATAGACAAAGGATTGAGTTGGATTTTAGTATTTCTTATAGCTTTTGGATTTCTTCATTTATTTTAACACGGTAGCGAACACGCGCATGTCACATTGTTGGGTAAAAGCAAAAAAGCATCTATAGCAGTGTAGTAGAAAGAACCTTTTCCCTTTCACTCTCTATAAAATCACATGTTATTTAAAATAAAACAGGCCGCTAGTCGAGAATTTGGTCGAGAGTATTGAGTGTTAAATAGAGTGGTGGTTGCGAGCATGAAGAAAAGAATTGTTGAGAGAAAAGAATAAAATGGCAATAATAGAGTCATGGAAGTCATGCATTAAAAGAAAAATGGCAGCCATTAAAACAGAATATTATTTGTGAAATCGGAGCACACCAAAAAATATTTTGAAGAAAAAAACTGGTATTAAGGAGTGTAGATTTGTGTTGAAGATAATTTAAAATTTTAAAAGATTCTGGTGTTGGTTAACAAAAGACACAAAACTCTCATAACGGTGGTGGAATGTATTAATTATATTTACAATTAGTAGAAGGTTGTTTTACAACATTTTAACAAATACCCACCCATTTAAAGGAAAAATAAATATATTCACTAAAAAAATATTAAGAAATATTTAAAAAAAATTTTAAAAAATAAGAACGCGAACAGAACCCGACAACAAAATAATTTAAAAAATATTTTAAAAATTTGTAAAAAGGCTAAAATTAAATATAAAAATGTTTAAAGAATGACTTGCTATGAAGCGCTTGGGGGGCTATTTAAAGACAATTTTTATGGGCGGAGTTAGTGTGGGCTGGTTGCTTGTATGAGGAAAGAAGCGAGACGCGCGCTCACACGACCAGAAAAATTGAGAAATTTCTAGAAAAAAATTAGAGAAATAAAAGAAAAATAGTGTGCATTTAAGGAGAATTAATGAAGCAGTCAGTCGTTATTGACAGCTGTCATATGTGTATACAACACAACAGCAGCCATTAAAGAAGAGCAGGCAATAGCGTTTAACTGACAGCCTTGCAGCCAGCCGGTAAGGAAGCAAGACAGCAAAGAATAGTGGGGTGAGTGTGTATGAGGAAATAAGCGGGCGTTATTGACAGCCACTGTTGTATAGCCGGAAGGCAAGCAAAGAATGGTGGGGTGAGTGTTAGTGAGTGAAGGAGCCATTAAAGCAAGCTATGTCATTTAAATGCCAGCCGTTGTAGTAAGAAGCAAAGAATATTGGGGTGGTGTGTATATGAAGAAATATATAAGCAGGCGTTATTGACAGCCGTTGTTGTATAGTCAGTCGGTAAAGCAGGCAAGCAAGCAAGAAATGTTTGGATGGGTGTGTGTTAGTGAGTGGAGGGATGTGAAAAGAAAATTTTGAAATATATTGTTGTTGTTGACAAAAACTTAAAAAATGAATAAACATAAAAATAAAAATGATAGTCATATGATTCTCCTTATTTTTAGAATTTAATAATAAACAAAAATAGAATTTGGAGGATTTCATCATATGGCAAAAAAGAAGTAAATATAAATGGAATTTCAATAAAATTTGTTGAAATCCTCACGAAAATTTGTTTAGAGGGAGAGGGGGATGGGGGACAAACATTAAGAAAATTCAAAAAATTTATTACAAAAGAAGAAAAAAAAATTATAAAACTTCATAAAAATATACCCAATTACAGAAAGATTTAACTAAACAAAATACCCCAAAAAACTAATTTCAGATTCAGAAAAATATACATTTTTTTACCCCAAATCCCATTACTCCCCCCTCTCCCCTCAATCAAAAACCCCCAATCCCACTCATAGATACTCTTTCCAATCAACATCTTATTTAAAAAATCCCTTCAAAATCTTTAAAAAAACCTCCAAAAATTCACAGTAAAATACTTTTTTTTAATACTCTAAAAACCTGATGGTCTATTTACAGCTGTCAGCGTCGTCAAACACACACGAACACCGGCTGTCAGTTAGAATGTTTAAAAAGAGAAATTGATTGAGAAATACGGGTGCGTTGCCACGTATATTGAGAGAAAAAAAATTTTACATTGAGAAATACAGAGTAAAAGAAGAAAAAAAATGTAAAATAGAGAAGCATATGATTTTTAAAAATTCAATAATTGAAAATAAAAAAAATTTTTAAAGGTTTTTTTGGGAGTTTTTAAAAATGAATTTAAAAAAAAAATAAATTTTTGAAAATTTTTTCCCAAATTTCCCTTCCACACCAATCTTTTCTCTTGGTGTTTTATAATTTTTTAGACAATCCCCACAACTTCCCTTTATCCCTCTCCAAATTATCCCCCCCCCCCCCCACCCCCCCCCCAAACAATTTTACCCCCATTTTTAAATGTTTTAAAACCGGATATATACTACTAATTAATTAACTCCTCTCTCCACTTACATAAAGGTTCGAAAAAATTTGTTTTTAAATAGAATTTTGTGTATTTTATTATGTTATATATCAACAGAAAATAACCGAAAAGAAATTTTTTAAATTTTTTTAATTATTTAATTTAAAATAAAAACACCGTATTCCATTCAAAGTACATCAGAAGCTAGCCTCTTTTCAACTTGTTCCAACACTTCTTTACGATAATCATCAAATTCTCCATCAATTTGATAAACATTTTCATCTTCAACAATCCATAAACGACAATTTGTTGCTCTAATTAATCTTTCGTCGTGTGTAACCATTAATACACCTCCACCAAATGTTTATATACCATCTGCTAATGCTTGGATTGACTCAATATCCAAATTGTTTGTTGGTTCATCCTTTAAAAAAAATTTTTTTTTAAATGTTTTTAATATATGTTTTGCTCCTTATTAGAAGAAAAAATCCTTCCGTTTATGACCCAAAATTTTCAAAATGGTCCTAGGTTTAACCCAAAAATCACTGATTATTGATTCGAGGTCAATAACAATAAGCCCATAAGAACCAGGAGTAATTTATTTTGAAGAACTTATCAGTGAGCCCATAAGAATCGAAGAACTCTTTATAAAGATGACAACAAGGTTCTGATTTGGATCCAGGAATCAATGACTCGATCAATTAACACGAGGTTGGTATAAGGTTTGAATCTAGGGGTCATTAACCTCGATCGATGACTCGATCATATAGATTTGGGATTTGTATAATTTAGAGATCATATCCAAACATGCTCTCACTCGGTTCCTTATTTTAGTAAACCCAAAATCACTCAAAAACTCCTTCTTAAAAGTGACAGCTTATCCCAACACACATCCAATTACATAGAGTTAACCCCCAGATAAAATTCCTTATATAAAATTAAATAAATCTATACCAAAATTAAAATATCTGGCGCTGTTAAAGACAATTCAGCTAAAGCAACACGACTTTTTTGACCACCAGATAAATTTTTAATTTTTACATTGTGTGCTTGCGATATTAATCCAACCATTCCCAAATTTTTTCTGGCGCTCTAGAGAAAATGAAAAAGATTATTAAAATTTTAAATAATATTTTGTTTATTATTTAAAATGCTATCATGCCTTTAAGACGGAATAAGAAAAAGGATCAAAGAAAAAAAACACACAAATTTCCCTATTCATCCACAATTTATAACACAATAAAAACATAGAAATCATTCAAAAAAGAATTCCCCAAAACCCTCTCAAGCATCCTACCTAGGATACTTCTCTCTTTACCTTCTCCTAAAAATAAGATAGAAACTCATCTCAATGATCCTTCTTTCAAAAAGGATTAATCGAATGGAAAAACCGGAATCACACCTTTTTCGACCCCAAAAAGGCACAAAAAAAAACACCCAGCAAACTTATAGAATTACCACAAACCCCTCTAACAATAAAAGCAAAAAAAAAACTTCAACAAACCTGATGATCAATATTATATTTAACCATCAAATATTCAACAGGAGTTTGTTCACCATTTAATGCTTCATTAGAATGTTGATCAAACCACCCAATTCTAAGTTGTCTATGTTTGACTAATTCACCTGTAGTCTTTAAAAAAACTTTAAAATTTAAAAAAAAAATTCAAAAATAAACCGGAGCAATTTTTCCACTCAACAATTTTAGCAAAGTAGATTTTCCAACACCATTAGGTCCAACTATTACAATTCTAGAATCCATATCAATACCAAAATTGACATTTTTGAATAATTGTTTAGCGTTTCCATAACCAAATGAGACATCTATAAATTTAAAAATCATTCAGAATAGTTTGAACAATTAATTTCCCCAAGCGGAGTCGAACCCACGACCCCTTAACCAACGGCGCAGTAATTGCCGAAAAATTCTATAAAGTTTAGACTAACAAAAAAGGAGTTAGACAAAGTGTCAGCACATGCTTTTTAACTAAAAACAACTTTCAGAATATCTAGAAAAAATAATTTCCCCAAGCGGGGTCGAACTCATGACCCCTTAAAAATCCACTAAACCCATAGGTGTTTAAAATGTCGAAAAGTTGAGAATATTTTAAAAGATTTTCATTTAAAAAATTCAAAAATGTTTCACTTTTTTAAACTTAAAAAATCTTTAAATGAATCAAACTAAAATATAAACCATGTAATCCCAAAACAGGTGGAGCCAATTTTGTAGTACCAGGAAAAACAAATTTAACAGAATATTCTTTAATTTTTTGTAATAGTTCGGGTGGAGGAGCATCTTCTGAAGAAAAATAAAAAAATTTGAAAAATTTTTTAAAAATCCCAAAAAAATTCAAAAAATTCCCCCTCCCAAACTAACCTTCATCCCCCATAGTTGCTGAACCTCTTTCACTCTTTTTTCCACCAGCTTTTTGTTGTTTTGCATTCATTCTTCCTTTAATTTCTTCTTCTGCCTGTTTTCCACTTTTTCCACCCTTTTTTAATGCATGTAATTGTTTTTGTTGATTTTCGTAAGCCTTCAAATGTTCTCTCAATTTTTGTTCATACATTTTTCGAAATGAAGCTGAAAAAATTGTAAAAATAAATTTAAAAAATCAGAATTTTAAATGAACATAAAATATACCTAAAATCAATGTTCATTTAAAATTCTGATTTTTAATAAAATTAAAATCAGAATTTTAACTGAACATGGAATATATTCCAAGTTTATTTAAAATCAGAATTATACAAATTATAAAATCATAATTTAAAACCAGAATTTAAAATAAAACTTGGAATAATTCAAGTTTTATTTTTAGAATCAGAATTCAAAATAAAATCAGAATTTCAACTGAACATTGAAAATGTTTCAAGTTTATTTTTAAAATCAGAATTTTTAATAAACCAAAACCAGAATTTTAAACAAACATGGAATATTTTTAAGTTTATTTTAGAATCAGAATTCAAAATAAAATCAGAATTTCAAATGAACATTTCAAGTTAAGTTTATTTTTAAAATCAGAATTTAAAATAAAACCAGAATTTTAAACAAACATTGAATAAATTTCATGTTTATTTAAAAATCAGAATTAAATTAAATTCAAAACTTAACTATAATTTCCCTTGTAATAAAAAAGTTTTTGACTATCCAAATGAATAATATCAGTACAAATGTTGTCAAGGAAAGATTGATCGTGAGAAACAATTAATAATGTTTTCTTCCAATTTTGAAGATAACTAAAAAAAATTTTTTAAAAATTTAAAAAAAAATTTCTGGGCATTATGTCGTTTTTTTCAACTTCTGAACGTTTCGAGGATGTGGGCATTTTGTCCAAAAAAATTTTTCAAAAAATTTTTCAAAAATTCCAAAAAAAATTCACAAACTTGTCAAGCCAAATAACAGCATTTAAATCCAAATGGTTAGTAGGTTCATCCAATAATAAAAGTGTTGGTTCCAAAAATAAAGCTCTAGCCAAAGATATTCTCATTCTCCAACCACCAGAAAAATCTTTGACAGCTTTTTCTTGCATTTCTTTACTAAATCCTAGCCCAGCCAATATTCTTCTAGCTCTAGATTCAGCAGAACTTGCCCCAATATTTTTTAATTCATTCGAAACTTGCTGTAATTCTTCTGTAACATTTGTATCACCCAATTCTAATTTTGATAGTAATTCAGCTTCTTTTGTTATTAATTCCATTCGAATTTTGTCTGAGCGTAAAACTGTTTCAATTGCTGAAGTTTCGTCAGCTTCGATTTCTGAAAATATTTCAAAAATAATTTTCTTAAACCTAAAAATTTTTTTTATTTTTAGCGAATTTAAAAAAATTCGAATCAAAATAGGATTCAAATCAAAAATATTCGAACCAAAAAAGTTTTTGAAGAATCCGAATCCGAACCTACACCCTCGTCTTTCTTCTCATTATATTATGGATTTTACACCACTTAACCACAAATGTCTAGTTTCCAATTATGAGAAAACCGAACTCTGACGGATATGCCAGCACGTCACGTACTTTCAAGGTTTCAAAATTTCACTAGAACAGCGGGTAATAGTGTCGTTTCCAGGCCCCATTTTTTCTCCCCAATTTTTTACCCTATGTTTGTACGGAATGGTCAAATTTTCCCCTTTCTTTCATCAAATTTGCCTTTCCATATTTTGCCTAAAAACAATCAAAAAGCTTGGTGTTTCTCTTGGTGTTTCTCTCAACGCCCCCAATCATCATACATCTTTCTTTGATGGTTGTCTGCCTCTTTTATATTTTCGTCTCACAACAACAGTCTTTCATTTTTATTAATTGGGAAAATGATTCTTCTCATTACTTTAATACTTTTTAAATATCACAAATTAATCTTTTTGATTGTTTTTAGGCAAAATATGGAAAGGCAAATTTGATGAAAGAAAGGAGAAAATTTGACCATTCCGTACAAACATAGGGTAAAAAATTGGGGAGAAAAAATGGGGCCTGGAAACGACACTATTACCGAACAGCGTTTAGAGAAAGGTCGTTCCTAAACTATTCTCTCCCATTCAAAATCCTTTAAGATTTCAAGTCTATTAATTGAAAATGCCAAGCGGATCTTCCCCTCCCCCAATTAAAAAAATAAATTCCAAACAAACCTTGTTCACAATACAGAATATCAATATTTGGAGGAATAGCCAGTTTTCTAGCAGCAATATGTTTCAAAAGTGTAGTTTTACCCATTCCATTGGGCCCAACCAATCCATAACGTCTACCCATTGCAACAGTTAAACAAGCTTTGTTGAACAATTGCCTTCCATCGGCAGAAATATCAAAATTTTCAACCTTGAAAAGTTTTTAGAATTAAATCCTTTCGAAAAAACCTTTATATCAACAGCAGTTTCCATTAAATTTAATTGAGCATCAGTTTTGACTTGTTGTGAAACTGTAAATTGATCACCTACTTCTGCACCAGAGCCTATTCCACCTTTAAAAATTTTTTTTGAAAATCTAAATGGATTTTTATTAGAGGTTGATATGTTCTGGGCAAGTTGTTTGGACACGATTTTCAACGTAAAAGCCATTACAGACATCTAGAAAAATTAATTCCCTCAAGCGGAGTCGAACCCACGACCATCAACTTCATTAAACAACAGTTCGTTTATTGCCAAAAATTTTATTGAGATGCGGATTAATCAAAAAATTAAGGTTATACAATTTATCTAAACACGATATTCGTATCACAAAACTTTTCTGAATGCTTTAAAAAATTAATTTCCTCAAGCGGGGTCGAACCCACGATCCATCAAAACCACTAAACACTGAGGCGGAAATGACGCAAAGGTTAGGAAATATCAAAATAGAAGTTGGCAAGCCTCACGACCCCTCAAGGGTACCCTCCCTTTGATTAAACCTTTCAAATTTTATGAAAAAACCTTTTTTCACTGGAGACTTTTGTTCCTCCTCATTTAAATTATGCAGCTTTGATCCCATCGCCTGCAAACCTTTTTCATATTCATTACGTTTCTGTTGTTTTTTGAGCTCTTTTCTTGATGGTTTCTTTGATTTTGAAGCATCTACAAAACCAAAAATTTTAAAAAATTTACAAAAAAGTAAACCTTCTCCGTTGGTTGCATCCAATTTTTGAGTTTCCTCCTCGGCAGACATTTAAAAATAAAATTTTGAAGGAATTGAAAGAAAGAGTAGCGGTGTCTTGAAATAATAAGCTTTGGGTTAAACAAAAATCTAAAAAATAAAAAAAAAAGTTTTTTTTAATTATTTGAAGTACACAAAAGCAGTCATAAAAACCACCAAAAAAGGAAGATAGATTTTTGTTGGGACAAAATTTAAAGAAAAATAAATCGAGTAACAATAAAATAGAAACAAAAAAATCAGAATTAAAAAAGAGATTCGAACATTCAATTCAAAGCGGAAATTAAAACGTTCTACAGTCAGTTAAAAAGAGGCTTGAAATGCTGCAATAATTTTATTGATTGCAACAGAGAACAATTAATTTTTTAATGAATGTCTCTGATATGTAAACAAAAAAAAGAATTGCAGAGTGTAGAGCAAAAAATCAATACAAAAAGGACTGAAAAATCAATAATGAACTTTACAAAAACAAAGAACACTTCAAGGTTCATTTGATAGTCACAAAAATAAAAAAAATTTACATAAAAATGAATCTCATGTTCATACTCAAATGACCCCACGAAGAAAATTACTTTTTCTCTCTACCTGTAGTCTTTCTAAATTGGGACGAATTGTCATTTTTCGTAAACAGAATGCCAAATTTAAATTTTAAGGAAAAAAGTGGCATGACCCCATCAGCATAAGATTTTGTCAACCCAAAAAATAGCCCTTAAAAATCAGAAACCTATACAAAAAACCTGAAAAACTTTTTCCATTACCAATTCCATCCACCACCACAACTCCATATCCACTCCACCACCATCCATTCCACCAGCCACTTCACCTTTTTTTTCGCTGAAAAACATATTTAAAAAAATGAACAAAAATGAAAACAAAGACAAAGGACAACAAGAAAGAGGAAATAAGGCCCGCGTGCGCATTTTTAGCAAATTTTTGATTTTTTAATCAAAAAAATTTTTTACCTGGCCAGAAAACCATAAGGCCAGCCACCATGAAGAGCATGTTGAAGAGCACCACCATGAAGAGCATGTTGAAGAACACCACCATGAAGAGCACGGATGTTGAAGGGCACGTAGACACAACTAAATATAAATAAATTTTTTTCGGTTTTAAAAAAAAAACAAAAAAAACAGCCGTACTGTTGAGCAGCCACCACCACCATCAGCAGCAAAATTTAAAATAAAATTAAAAAATTTAATTTTTTTATTTTAAAAATTTTTAAAAAATTAAAACCAGCCACTCAACCACAAATCCATCCAAAAGCATGTTGACCACCACCACCAAACAACCAAGAGCATGTTGACCACCACCACCATCCACCACACGCAAAAAAATTTATAAAAATAATAAAAAAATTTATTTTTTATTTTATTAATTTTAAAAATTAAAAACCAGCCACCATCCATTGGAACCAGCCAGGCCATCCATCCACAGCAGCACAAGAAAAAAATATGAAAATAAAAAAAAATATTTTGGTATTTAAATTAAATATAAAAAAGAAAAAAGAAAAAAAACCACCGAATCATCGGCGGCTCCATGTAGCCATGTAGAGCACCCACCATCTTCAGGCCATGAGAGCAGCATCAGGCCATGTAGAGCAGCAACAGGCCTTCAAATTTAAAAAAATCAATTTTTTTACAATTAACAAATTTAAACGAAAAGAAAACAAAATTTTAACCAGGCCAAGCGTTCTGCACGTTGACTGGAGGCTTGCACCTTTAAATTTATGAAAATTAAAATTTTTCAAAAAATTTGAAATTTTTTATTTTTTTTTTTTAATTTTTAGCGTGCGCAGCAGGGGAAAACGAATAAATAACGAATAAAACAGATGAAAAATAAAAAAACAGATGAAAAAAAGAAAAAAAACAAAAAAACACGAAAAAAACCGGCATAAACACTCCCGAGATCTCGAGATAAAAAGATAAGAAAAATGAAGCCAAAATTAAGCCTCAAAAAATTTGAGTGAAAATTGCTCGCAAAATCAAATTGGAAATTTCAAAGTGGTGAATGTCAAAGTGTCAACTATTTATAATTCGTTCAAAACACATACTCAAGTAACAGAAAAATTTTCTTAAGTTTTCGGGAAGTTTTCTGTTTCATTTTTTTGTTATTTTTCTGATAAGCTGTAACCTAGTTTTCGGTTAACCTTCGACTCTGAGACCTTAGGAGGCTTAACTTTCCTGCTTTTCAACCAAATCAATAATGACTAATCAATTATTCTTTTTGTAGATCGAATGACTGATTCAACTCATTCAGCGTCTACTTTACCTTCTACCTCTCAACATGACTTTGAGGATGTTGAAAAACCTATGGAAATTGAATCTATCTGCCCTAACTGTCATGAAAATGGAATTACAAAGATTATTTCTATCAACATTCCTTTCTATCGACAAGTTATTGTTATGTCCTTCGCTTGTGAACATTGTGGACTTCAAAACAATAATTTACAATCAGGAGAACAGGCTCAGGTTTCTAATTTATTTACTTTTCATGTTTAATCACATGCCGGAACCTGGGAGTAGGGAACGACATATCAACGTTTTCTTAAGAAAAAAAAGTTGATTTAATAATATCAACAATTATTCGCGAACAACTTTTTTTTAAATACATAACGCCAGAACAACGTTAATATCAACGTTTTGCGCCAAACAACTGCGAATCAACGTTTTTGTATCTTTTTTTCTCTGCTCTGCCATTATATTTCTCTTCTTTTTTTCTGTTAATTTTCGGTCGAGTAGTCTCTCCACCTGTGTTGAGGTATTTTTGCGAACCTCTCAAAATGTCCAACAAAGTAAAAATTCGCAATTTGTCGAACTAAATTTAAAAAGTGAAAAATCTCACCTGAACCTAAATTCTTCATGTACAAATTTAAAAATATCTTGCAAAACATTTACAAAAGCCTAAAAATTTACAAAAGAAAAAATTTCTTAAACAAAAAATTTTAAAACGATAAAATTTTAATCAAAAAAGTTATAAAAAGCCATTGTCAATTTTCACTTATTACTACAAAATCTACAACACCAAATACTACAACACCAAAAATTATAAAAAAGTTGAGAAATGACACCAAATCGTGACACCAAATGTTAGAATCAAAAAGACTGTTCGAAGAAAAGAGAATTGAGCTTGATCGTGAAAAGGAACTCCTCAAAAATTCGAGACTGTTGGAGTGATTCGAGACTGTTGGAGTGAAATTCCAACAGAACGTCCAAGAATAGATCAAGTCAGAACAATGTTAAAACAAATGGTTAGGGACGGGAGTCAAAATTTAATGGATTATGTTTTTGGAATGTTAGAGCAATATGCAAGTTCTTTAAAACAAGAAGTTGAAGAAAGAACTAGAGAATTAGTTGAAGAAAAAAGAAAAAGTGATATTCTTTTATATAGAATGCTTCCAAAACAAGTTGCCGATAAATTAAAATTGGGGGAATTTGTTGAACCAGAACAATTTAGTGCAGCAACAATATTCTTTTCTGATGTCGTTTCATCTACAACATTAGCTAGTAAATGTTCTCCTTTACAAGTAATTAAAATATTCGAAATAAATAAATTATGAATTAAAAAGGTTGTAAACACACACCTTTCACCATTTCTAAGCATTTTTTTAGCAGTTTCTTCTTCTTCTACTTCTTGTGAACGCATATTTTCTCGTTTTTCTCCTTTAGTATATGATTATAAACGAAATCGTTTTGATCCGCATACTATTTCCACACTTATTTCATGGTTAGGGACGGGAGTTTTTTATTTAACAAAATTTTTTATTTAATAAAAATGCGAAATAAGATCTCAACTTTTTTTTTTTGTTATTTCATTACAATCATTATTTAAAGATGAATAAAATTTTGTTGTTTTATACTTTTTCAATTTTAATAAAAAAATTCCTACTCGTAAAATTCTTTCAAATTCCAAAGGAGAGACTACTCGACCGAAAATTAACAGAAAAAAAGAAGAGAAATATAATGGCAGAGCAGAGAAAAAAAGATACAAAAACGTTGATTCGCAGTTGTTTGGCGCAAAACGTTGATATTAACGTTGTTCTGGCGTTATGTATTTAAAAAAAAGTTGTTCGCGAATAATTGTTGATATTCGCCGCGAATCAACGAAAACGTTGATTTGTCGTTCACTACCTGGGAGGTAGCCATTCCAAAAGCTTTTCTTTCTGACTTGAGGAGATTTTGGGAATGCTGATTGACTGTGTTTGCTTTCTGCGGGTCAGCCAGTTTCTAGGAGGGAAGGAAACCTCTTGTAGCCTGCCGGGACCTTTTGTATTGTCTTTCTTTGTTTCAGCCATTTCCAGGAAGTCACCTTTGCTAGGCTTCCTAGAGCTCTAGATGGCTTTTCTACCAGTCAGCTAGTTCCAGAAAGTCATTTTTTGGAGTAGCTTTCTGACAGTCTTTCAATTCCGCAAAACCAACCTTTGCTGGCTCCTTGGAACTATCCTTATCATTATTTTTCAGGAATATGGAACAGAGATAGTTTTAAAAGTAAAGAATGCTGCCGATTTGAATAGAACCGTTGTGAGGTCTGAATATGGAATATTTGAAATCCCCGAGCTTGAACTTACAATACCTCCAAAATCATCCTCTGGAGGTTTCTTTTATTTTTAACAATTTTTAAAAATTTTATTTTAGCCCTAACAACAGTTGAGGGAGTGCTTCAATCAGTTAAACAAGATCTGGACGAAACCCAGCCTTTACGGAAACAAATGGATGCTGCTATGGCCGATAAAATTGATCAATTTTTGGAGAAACTTGACAAATTTCTTTCTTTGGAAAATTCGTGGACGCTGGTAAGAGTTTATTTTTAAAGAGATTTTAGGAGAAAAGGTAGATTTGAAACAGTATTGTGGTAAAGGTTGACCTTACTGACTCCTAGAAATAAGCTCTAACAACAGTTGAGGGATTATTTCGTTCGTTTGATTGCCTAGCAGAACAAGCAGAAAATGAATTTTAGATTTTAAGTTGTTTTATAAACCGAATTTGGCCTGGCCACCCACTGGGACACAAACCTTAGAATATCAAAAAAGTTCTTCCTTGATATTTTCTGCGGACCAGTAAATTTAACCTTCTTTTTAACCATTTAGTTTTTGAGAAACTTGAAGCATTTTTATGCTTCAGATTTCGTTTTACATTTAGTCCGACTTACTAAAATTTAAAAAATTTAAAACCTTTCTAAAATTTTTTATTAAAGAAACTTCGCGACCCATCAGGAAATTGTTTTATTCAAAATCCAAATCCTTTCCATGTTGACCCTCATTGTATTACCAGCCATTATTGCCGTTCTATTGATGAAGAAAAATTGTTGGGATTTTTGGATGACGACCAAATAATTGAGTTGAAACAAAAAATTGATCCGGCAGAACAAGCAGAAAATGAATGGAAATCTTACCAGGATGTGAAAAATGAAATTATGCATTTTATGGGTCCGTGTCAGTCTTGTGGAGCTATTTGTGAAACTAGAATGAAACCAACAGGTTTTTACTATTTTAATTAGAACTTTATGGAAATCAGAAACGTTAAAGATGGAAATTAGGATTTAATAACTTTTGATTTTTCCTAGAAAAGACCAAAAATAGCTGTCGATGTTTTTAAGTTTTGCCTAACAAGGAGAGAAAGGGCACGTTCTCTAGAAAAAAGGCATCTAGAGAGGGCACATTTTCTATCGAATGAGCCCGTCTCGACCGTTTTTAGGTCGGACACCTCGCAACCTCTCCTTGTAGTGAAATCGTGTAAGCAGTTCGAGTGGAAGTTCTGAATGATGCTTTCGAATTTTCGTTTTCGGGCTATTTCAGTTTATTTGGATTTAGAATTAGGTTAGATTCGTGGTGGAACTTGTGTTAAGGATTCGTTTCATTTGGGTTTCCATCACCAGTAAATCTTTACTTTTACTCCCAGAATCCCATATAAACTTAATGCCCTGTTTTAATCAAATATTGCTTTTTACCTTGGGCATTATTCTATGTGCAGGGCTTTAACAAAAATGCAAGACTAGTAAAGGCATAATTTTAATTGTGAAAAAATTGTGTCAGAAATGTCTTGACATTAACAAAAAAAAATATTTTGAGATTTTTTAAAAAACTTTTCTTTCAGATATTCCATACTTCCAAACAGTAATAATAATGTCAACAGATTGTGATCGTTGTGGATTTAAATCGAATGATATAAAAAGTGGTGGAGTAACACAAGATAAAGGAATTTGTCTGTCGCTTAGGATAAAAGAGGTTTTTTTCTTGAAAAAAAATTTTTTTTGAATTTTTCTTCAAATTTTAAGCCAGTAGACTTAAAACGTGATTTACTCAAGTCAGACACTTGTTCTGTTCATATACCCGAAATTGACACTGAAGTTGGTGCTGGAATTCTTTGTGGAAGATTTACAACAGTTGAGGGTCTATTAATTGCTATTTGTGAACAACTTGAACGTCAGGCACCATTTTTTGTTGGTGATAGTTGTACTGAAGAGGAAAAGAAAAAATTTGTTGAATTAATTGAAAGAATGAAAAAATTTGTTAAAATGGAAGAAGAATGTACGCTTGTGTTGGATGATCCTTCTGGGAATAGTTATATACAGGTTTGGGTTGAATTGATATTTTTGGGGGTTTTGTAGGTTTTTGAAGAGAACCAAAGAAACATTTTAGGTTTTCTAGAGTGAATCCAAGAAAATTTCAGGAAGGGCCCAGGAAGCTTTTCAGGAATGATTCTTTTTCAGGGACAATTCAAGACAAAGACATTGAGGACCCAAGTAACCTTCCAGGGAGCAATTAACCTTCCAGCGAAATCTCTTCTCTGAGGAAAACCCAGGAACTCCTCTAGAGAGGGTTGGTCCTCTTTCTGTTGAGAACCCGATTTCAGGGAGACCCCTCCTTCCATTGAAGACCCAAGTAAGCTTCCAGTGAGATCTCTCATCTGAAAAAAACCCCAATAACCCTTCCAGAGAGAGTCTTCCTTACGGGGAGAAAAAGTCTTCCAGAGTGGTCTTTCCTTCCCGGAAGAACTTTCCTTCATAGGAAAAGAACCCTTCCATGAGAACTCAAAACACATTCCAGGAAGAATCAAAAACATAAATCTTTTTTAAATTAAAAAAATTTTTTTCTTTTAAGAGTCTTACAGCCCCTCTCAACGATGAAAGACTGGATAAAGAATTTTATACTAGAACTTTTGAACAAGATGATGATCTTGGATTGAATGATATGAGAGTAGATAATTATGAAAATCTTGGGGTAATTGAAGAGGATGATAAGGAAGAGGAGGAGGAAATTGATGGGGGAAAGGATGAAGAGGATCATAATAAAAATTAATTTTTGTTTGTTAAATTAATAAATTTTATTTTAATTATAATTTTGGATTATTTTTTTTGAAGGAGTTTTAAATTCTCTGACAATTTTTCTACTTAAAAATTCAAAAAAAATTTTTTTCTAATTAATTAATTTTCTTTTTTTTTAGAACTATAATTTTTTAACTGAATTGATCGTAAAATTTATTTTGGAAGAATCAGTATGAATGAGGCTACTTCAACCGGTGATAACAACCAGAACTTGAGGTTTTTTTAAGTTTATTTTTTGAAACCTTTATTAATTTTAATAAATTTATCAGCGTGATCAACAGTTCAAATGATAGTGTTGAGTCTTCGGATTTGTCGAGGTTTTTTAAGTTTATTTTTTTACCTTTTATTTTTCTTTAATTAGCGTGATCGTCAGTTCAAAGGATGGTGGTGAGTCTTGGAATTTGTCTTTTTGATTTAATGTTTCAATATTTAAGCTTCTACTGGTGCGGAATCTCCAAACTATGCAGAATTGATAGAAAGATTGACTCGTCAATTGCGTATCCTGGAGAGCGAAAATCTGGAAATTATAGAATCATTCCCTCAACGCACTCGATCCGTATTTTTTTTATTTCATTAGAAAATGCAAAAAAAAATTTTTTTTAGGTCACTGGAAAATTGGAGGAACATAAAGAAAAATATAGAAGAGCAGTTGACCAAATGGAGGAGCTTATCAAGCAATGCCAACATTTTAAAGTTGATGCGAATGAAAGAGCTCAAGAGAGTGAAAAACAGCTGTATGAATTGAGGACAATTGCTGATGCTCTTGAAAATGAGAATACCATGGTTTTTTAAATACTTTTGACTAAAAATTAATTGGTTTTTTTTGTTTAAGCTGAGGGATCGACTCAGAAATAAGGATGTTATCATTCGACAACTTCAGCAGAACGTTTCAACAGAACGTTCAAAATGTACAAATATTAGAGCAGAAAGAGATCGGTTAAAAGCTGAGCTTAGTCGAGAGGTCTATTTAAAGAATGAGTGTTTGGCAAGTAATTTGGACAAAAAATTACGACAAGCTAACAAGAAAATTGGAGAAATGCGGAAAGAAAACAAACGTTGGATTAGATTTGGAAAAATTTACGATGATGTGTCTTTATTTAATAATTCTGAAGGTTTTTTTTAGTTTGAGTTAAATGTTGGGAGGATTGTTAATTTCTTTTTGATCATCCTTGGCTATGCTCTAGGTACCTTGTGTGCGTAGAAACTTTTTCCCCAAGCTTTTGCCAAGATTGCTTTCCTTGTCACCTTTCTTCTTTCTCCTCGTCTATAGAAACAATTAAGCTTCTCAGGCTTATAAGATCTTTAAAAAATTTGTGGTTATTCAATTTTTTTTAATTTGTAATACTCGAACTCCTCTAGCTGAAATCTACAATAAGAATATTGAAAAAGAAGGCAATCATTTTGATGGTTTTAATAATATCCAACAAAAGAAGTCGTCTTTATCATTCTTTATTCCTCTTGATGAGAATTTTCGTTTAAACGATAGAAAGGTTTTGATTTTAGTTTTATTTAATTTTTGACTAAAAACAAGGGAGACTCACCGCTCCAAAAGTCTAAAACTTTGAAATAACTTTTTGAAATCGGGGTCAGGGCCAAAAAATCAAAGATTGTTAATAGGTTATCGACCATGTTCTAACTCAAATTTTATATTCGTATCCTCGATTAATTTTACTTTTTTAAGGCTCAAGTTTTCAGAGAACGTTCTGAACAACGCTGTCGTGCAATTGAAGAAGCTTCTCGCAAACGAGTATTTTTTTTAAATCAATTCTAAAATTTATTTAATTTTTAAGGCAATAATAGTAGCTAATCGACGTGCTGTAGCATCTGACATTTTAAAAGGAAAGCGTCAATTAGGTTTTTAAAAAAATTTTTTTTTTTTGAAATTTTTTAAATTTTAAATAGATGATGAAGCAAAAAGAATTCTTTTAAAAAATACTTCTTCAATTTGTGCATTCCCTAATTTATTGCGTCAAATGCGTGCTGCTTCAAAACGGTTTTTAAAAAAAAATTTTTTTCTTAAAAATTTTTTCATTTTTTCTAAAGAAAATTCATGGAATCTCCACTTCGTCGTAAATTGGAAAATGAAAGGCAAAAACAAATTTATCAGGATATAAATAAAATACTTGCTCATGCTGGTGCTGGTGCTATTATCCGTTGAAGTGTCTTTATTCTGAAGTATATATACCAATACCAAACTCCGTTGAAAGTTTGGTCAACTGATTTTTCAAAAGTATAATTTATTTTTTTTTTATAAAACCTGAAGCAAAAATATATATTAACTAGGGTTGCCGTTTTCGAGTCGGGCCGACGTTCGAGTCATTTCTTTCGGGCCTCAGTTTTTTCGACCCGACCGAGTCTTTTTCGGGCCGGCAAGTCTTTTTCGGGCCAAAATTCGATGCCCGACTCGATCTTTCGGACCGGATCGTGCCGGCAACCCTAACATTAACTGTGTATAATTTCATAGACTATAGAATTTACCCCAAATTTTTTTTGTTTGTATAATTTTTTGAATTTTACTTAAAGACATTTAAAGATAAAATTTAATTTGATTTAATTTTATATTTTTGTGTGTTTTTTTGAAAGGAGTTTTAAATTCTCTGACAATTTTTTTTACTTAAAAAAATTTTTTTAATCAATTTATTTTTAGAACTATACATTTTAACATTAATTCAATTGAAAAATTTTTTTTTGAAAAAATCAATGAATGAAGCTACTTCAACAGGGGATGATAATAACCAGAACTTGAGGTTTGTCAAGTTTATTTTTTTTTGAACCTTTATTAATTTTAATAAATTTGTCAGCGTGATCAACAGTTCAAAGGATAGTGGTGAGTGTCTTACAAGGGAAACTTCCAAACCGCCAGTAAAAATTTTCGAATTAAAATTATATCTTCGTGTAGAGCGTGGTCGATAACCTATGGCCAATTTTTGGCTTTTTTGGCTCCGACCCCCAAATCGAAAATTATTGGTGTTCAAAGTTTTTGAATTTTGGAGCGGTTGGAAGTTTCCCTTGTAAACTTTATAGTTTTTTTTGACTGTTAATGTTTGTTAATATTTTTCTAAGCTTCTACTAGCGCAGAATCATCAAACTATGCAGAATTGATAGAAAGTTTGACGCGTCAATTGCGTATATTGGAAAGCGAAAATTTGGAATTCAGAAGGTCAATCCCTCATCTGAAGGATTACAAAGGAGAAGACTGCACTAAATTCGTAAATATTTTTGTTAAGGATTTGAATTAAAAATTCTCAAATTTTTTTAGGTCACTGGAAAATTAAACGAATTGGAGGAACATAAAGGAAAATATAGAAGAGCAGTTGACCGAATGGCTGAGCTTAACAAACAATTTCAACATTTTAAAGTTGATGCAAATGAAAAAGCTCAAAAGAGTGAAAAGCAGCTTTATGACTTGAGGACAATTGCTGATGCTCTTGAAAATGAGAATATCATGGTTATTTTTTTATATAAGACATTTGGGGTTAGGACACTAATCAAGGTCCTCCAACAGTCAAGGGGAAGACATCTTTGATTAATTAATGTTTATAAAAACAATCAGACACCCTGACTAACCATAGGTCCTCTTGCAGTCAAGGGAAAGACATCTCTGACTAATTAAATTCCTCGGACAGTCAAGGGGAGATCTCGTCAAGGATCTCTGACAATCAGTGGGAAGCAGACCTGGGCGAAACTCAAAATTTTTTTCTGACGAAACGAAACGAAACAAAATTTTTTAAAAATCGTTTCGTTAACGAAACGAAACGAAACAACCAAAATCTTACGAAACGAAACGAAACAAAACGAAACATTTTAATATTCAAAAAATTTTCAAAACTGCATTTATTTCGAAATTATTCGACCTCAAATACGTTATTAGTCGACTATGACTTATAAATGATTTAGTTATTGGTTTATTTACAACAATTGTGTCCCATAAGCCAGGCCCGTAGCAAGGAAAATTTTCGGGGAAGGGGGGGGGGGGTCAATCATTTTCGAAGCCAAATTTTTGGCGACGCTTTTTTTTAAATAAAATTGAATATTTTTCAAGTAAAATTTTATTTTAAGCGCCGCAGACGAAAAATTTTAAAATTTTGAAAGGCCGTAGGCCAAAAAATTCACCATCTTGCTCCATTGCCTACCCAAATTGTCTCCATATCTCCATTTCGAGAGGAAGGCGATATAAGCTAGTGCTTCGCCGGAAGTTCCGGTTCCAGTATTTCCGCAACTCGCAATCCGCAATTTTTAAATTATGATGCGAGTCCGGTAATAGAATTTGTCGTCGATTAAGTAATATGTATATGTGGATTAGGGAGTGGAGTATAAACGGATTTGTAGTATATAAGTAATTGCTATCTTCCTTTTTCAGCGCCGCAGGCGAAAATTTTGACAATTTGGGAAAGCCAAGAAGCCGAAATTCTTTTTTTTTCAGCGCCGCAGGCGAAAATTTTTTAAATTTTCAATAAAAGATGGTAAATTTTATAGATTTTGGCCTTAGTTTAGGCTTAAAAAATTGTTTCGTTTCGTTGAAAAATCACAGGTGTTTCGTAACGAAACGAAACGAAACAAATTTAAAAGTGTTTCGTAACGAAACGAGACGAAACAGTAAAAATCATACGAAACATACGAAACAACGAAACGAAACGAAACGTTTCGCCCACGTCTGGTGGGAAGGCTCCTTTGCACTATTCAAAGATCCAAATACTCCTATTTAATTGTTTTGGAGGATCACGGAGAAACCTTTTTGTTTGATCAAAGCCCTCAGACATTCAATAATAGGATACTTTCAATCTAAAAAATTTTTTTAAGTTGAGGGATTGGCTCAAAAACAAGGATATCATCATTCGACAACTTCAGAAGAGTGCTTTCTCATCTACTGAAAATTTAAATCGATCAGCGGAAGAAGGACCAAGTCATCTTACAAACAATAATAAGAAGGTTTTCTTTTCTCTTTTTTTAGTAGCGGCGTTGTAATACCAAACGCCTAAAGACCAAACCCCTCGAAAACTTCCAAAATACCAAAACTTGAAGGACAAACATAATATGTAGGTATCCTCCAAGCACGTGAAGAGGTTGTTTTAACAAAGGTGCTGGTTGCCGCCAGACCTGGGCGAAACTCAAAATTTTTTTCTGACGAAACGAAACGAAACAAAATTTTTTAAAAATCGTTTCGTTAACGAAACGAAACGAAACAACCAAAATCTTACGAAACGAAACGAAACAAAACGAAACATTTTAATATTCAAAAAATTTTCAAAACTGCATTTATTTCGAAATTATTCGACCTCAAATACGTTATTAGTCGACTATGACTTATAAATGATTTAGTTATTGGTTTATTTACAACAATTGTGTCCCATAAGCCAGGCCCGTAGCAAGGAAAATTTTCGGGGAAGGGGGGGGGGGGTCAATCATTTTCGAAGCCAAATTTTTGGCGACGCTTTTTTTTAAATAAAATTGAATATTTTTCAAGTAAAATTTTATTTTAAGCGCCGCAGACGAAAAATTTTAAAATTTTGAAAGGCCGTAGGCCAAAAAATTCACCATCTTGCTCCATTGCCTACCCAAATTGTCTCCATATCTCCATTTCGAGAGGAAGGCGATATAAGCTAGTGCTTCGCCGGAAGTTCCGGTTCCAGTATTTCCGCAACTCGCAATCCGCAATTTTTAAATTATGATGCGAGTCCGGTAATAGAATTTGTCGTCGATTAAGTAATATGTATATGTGGATTAGGGAGTGGAGTATAAACGGATTTGTAGTATATAAGTAATTGCTATCTTCCTTTTTCAGCGCCGCAGGCGAAAATTTTGACAATTTGGGAAAGCCAAGAAGCCGAAATTCTTTTTTTTTCAGCGCCGCAGGCGAAAATTTTTTAAATTTTCAATAAAAGATGGTAAATTTTATAGATTTTGGCCTTAGTTTAGGCTTAAAAAATTGTTTCGTTTCGTTGAAAAATCACAGGTGTTTCGTAACGAAACGAAACGAAACAAATTTAAAAGTGTTTCGTAACGAAACGAGACGAAACAGTAAAAATCATACGAAACATACGAAACAACGAAACGAAACGAAACGTTTCGCCCACGTCTGGTTGCCGCCCTGTTATCATGAAATATTGTCTTTTACATTAGGCATTATTTAATGCGCAGGGCTATAACAAAAATGCAAGGCTAGTAAAGGCATAATTTTAATTTTGAAAAAATTGTGCCAGAAATGTCTTAACATTTAACAAAAAATTTCCATAAAAAATTTTTTTTTGAAAAATTAAAAAAAATTTTTTTCAGTCATGTCCAAAATGTACAAACATTAAAGAAGAAAATGACCGGTTAAAAATCCAACTTAATCGTGAAATTTCTTTAATGAATGAATGTTTGGAAAGTAAAGCTGATTTGGACAAAAAGCTTCTAGAAGCTCGTAAAACAATTGAAGAACTGCGACGTAAACAACTTGTTCTTTGTAATGATATAATTGAAAAGGGACAAAATGACAGACGGGCTGCTCTTCTTAATAATAATCCTCAAGGTTTTTTTACTACTTTAAATTTTTATTGCGTCTCGCCATTAACTTCAAGTGTTTTTTTTTCTCTTACGAGTCTTTGTCTCAAGATTGGGGTTCTCTTATCACATAACTAGCGTACTTGCCTGCCCGATTCTAGAAAATGTTGAATTTCCTTGTTTTGGGCCGGGAATTTCGTATTCCCCAAATCTTGAATTCATTTTTATTTCGACAGGTTCCTGATGCACACACACGGTCCTAGTCTAAAAAATACTAATTAAACATTTACTTCTGTAGCTTAAAAATTTTGAAATTCTTTTTCCAATTTTTTAACTCCAATTTTTTCCAGTTCCTCTTCTTTTTGAAACTCCACAAATTCGTAATGATTTAATCAACAATGAAAGGAATGGAAAAAGGCGACAAAGAATGGCTAACAGTATTGCTAGATCAGCAACAATTTGTATTCGAACACCTTTTGTTGAAAACAACAACAACAATAATAATAATAAAAATATTGAAAATCAAAACAAGGTTATCAGTAAAGTTCGTGAAAAGAATTTTGATGGTTTCAACAATATTCAACAAAAGAAGTCTTCTTTATCATTCTTTATTCCTCTTGATGAGAATTTTCATTTGAACGATAGAAAGGTTTTGTTTTATTTTTTAAACTAGAAATGTGGGAGAGACTCGACCTCTCCAAAAGTCATAGGTCTTTTGGAATTGAAGAAAAAGAACTTTTTTGAAAAAAAAACTTTAAAGACCTATAACTTTTGAAATTGGGGTCAGGGCTAAAAAAGCCAAGAATTGGAAATAGGTTGTCAACTAGATATCGGGCTGGGCCTGGATCAAGGCCTGGGTTTTTCCTGTACCCAGAGTTTAGGTCCAGGCATTTTTTACCTTCCTGGTTTTTTTGGACTACAGGCCTAGGATCCGGCCCAGGTCAATAAATCAAACCCCAGTGTCCACAGGCCCAAATTCTACTTTGGATTTTTTTTGATGCTTATATTTTTGGCAAATTTCATATAATTTTTTTCTGACTTTTTTGCTTCAGTCTTCTCCTGAATTTCGTCATTTTTGAATATTCCTTTTTTTAATTTTTATTTCGTTTTTATTTCTGTTTTTATTTCGGCACATTCTTGTTATTTACTAATATTTTTGACTAATTTTATTTTATCATTTTTAATTTCTTTTTTTTAAGGCTCAAATTCTCGGAGAGCGTTCTGAACAACGTTGCCGTGCAATTGAAGAAGCTTCTCGCAAACGAGTTAAATTTTAAAATTAATTTTAAAATTTAATTTTTTTTAAAGGCAATAATAGCAGCTAATCGACGTGCTGTAGCATCTGACATTTTAACAGGAAAGCGTCAATTAGGTTTTTTTTTAAAGGAAAATTTTTTTCGAAAATTTTTTTAATTTTTTAACAGATGATGAAGCAAAAAGAATTCTTTCAAACGATTCTTCTTCAATTTGTGCATTCCCTAATTTGTTGCGTCAAATGCGTGCTGCTTCAAGACGGTTTTTTTCAATTTTAGAAAGTTTTAATTAAAAAAAATTTTTTTTAAAGAAAATTTGAGGAGTCCCCACACCGCCAAAAATTAGAAAAGGAAAGGCAAAAACAAATGTATCAAGGTATAAATCGTATAATTGCTCATGCTGGTTCTGGTTCTAAAAAATCCGTTAAAGTGGCTACAATCCGTTGAAGTGTCTTTATTCTGAAGTATATATAATTTATTTTTTTTTAAACTTGAAGCAAACAAATATATTTACTAACTGTGCATATTTTATAGACTATATTTTACTTACAAACTTTTTTAGATGTATTTTTATGTATTTTACTTAAGACATTTAAATAAACTTGAATTAAAAATAAAATACAAATAAACAAACTTGAAATACAAAAACCAGAATTTTTTAGATAATATAAAATCAGAATTATGCATGTTTTAATTAAATTCTGGTAAAGTTTAAAAACTTCGGAAAATACAAAAACCAGAATTTTTTCCGGAAAGTTCTGATTTTTAAAAACATTCATGTTTTATTTAAATTCTGATTTTAAAAATAACAAGCAAAATTTTTGTTAGTTTAAAAACACAAACAAAATAAACTTGAAATACAAAACATTAATAAAAACATTCAACTTATATAAACACTAAAAACTTGAAACATTTAAATTGCTGTCTATTAAAACTTTTTTACACAACTTGTTTTGTAAAAAAGTTTTTTCCGGTCCATTTGCTTCATATTTTCAATAAATGAGGTAATTGCGGGATTTGAGTAATAATAATCCGCATCATAACATTTTTTTGAAATTGGGCAGATTTTTTGAAAATAATAAAAATAATAAAATGTGTCTCCCCCTCTGCTCAAATGAATTATATTTTTAACTAAAATGAAAACAATTTTACCTTCTGATATTTGGATAGCAGATTTATTATTTTTACGTTCAAATCGTTCTTTAATTTATACAGAAAATGGGTAAGGGTTTTTATTAATTTAATTTTAAATTGAGAATTTTAAAAAAATTAGGCAACCTTTAATTACTGTTAGGCCGCTGGAATTGAATCAATTTTATGAGCAACTTTGTGGTTATTTGGGCTGGCTTCTGATTTATTTGGCTGCTATTATTTTAAACTTTTTGTTGCTTATTCTCTCACTTTTTGGAAAAAGACAAATACGACATAAAAATAAGTTTTATTTTTATTTGTATTTTTAATGTTGTGTTTTTGTTCTGATTTTGTTTTTAAAAATTCAGAATTTATTTAAAACATCAATGTTTTGTTTTTCTGCAAGTAAATCAGAAGTTTCTTAGCTTTTTCGGAAAAATACATTTAAATCAGAATTTATTTAAAACTTGTTATTCTGATTTTATATTTTAGAAATTCTGATTTTTGTATTTTATGTTTATTTTCTGTATTTTTTCAAGTTTGTTTTTGTGTTTCATGTTTATGTGTTTCTTGCTTTTGTATTTTTCAAGTTTACTTATTTTTTTTCAGATAGGTCACAATTTCTCATTGGCAATTTAGCTGTCTGCAACATTTGTTTAGCGTTGGGATTATTTGTTTATACATTTTTAATTGATGTTTATTACCATGTAGATTCGTTCGACACACTTTTACTTATTAATGGTGGCCAAGCTTCTTCAAAACTGCCTCGGTTTGCTAAGGAAATTTGGATTGTTGCTAAAGTTGGTTAAATTATTAAACATTGTCCGGAAAATTAAAAATTTGTTTTACTAATTTTCCGGAATAATTAAATAAGTCAAAACATTGTTTTAAACATTTTCCGGAAAATACATAAACCAGAATTTTATTTTAATAACTTTCCGGAAAAACACATGAATCAGAATTTATTTTAAACAATTTCCTGAATGTTTTAAACTTTTCCGGAAAACATTAAATAAACTTTAAACATTTAAACTATTCCGGAAAAACATAGTTAATTGTTTTTCCGGAATTTAAATCAGAATATTATTTAAACATTTTCCGGAAAGTTTTGTAAAAACCAGAATAATTGTATTACTTGTTTGTGTTTTTTGTGTTTTATTTGTATTTCTTTGTATTTTTTCAGTTTTTATTCCATACAGAATTTGTAGAACAATTCTTCACTGTGCAACAACTTATTATTTTACTCGCAGCAATTTATTGTTATTTTACAATTTTCTTCAATTGCAACAACAATTATTATTATTTTTCAAATTATTATGCTTCCTTCAATATTGTAGCTGTTGTTGCTCCTTATTTATTTTCTTTTGTATTGCTTGACAAGAATGTTTTGCAGCAATGGTTTTGTTTGACTAAAAATGCTGCTAATGTTGTCAGGTGGGTTGGAGAAAATTTTTATAATTTTTTGCTTCGGGTTTTTGCTTCAACTTTTTTTTGTTTCAATTTTTTTTGTTTTAAATCTTTATTTCTTGCTTCAGTATTTATTTTTTGCTACAACTTTGTTTTTGCTTCAGCTTTGTCTTTCCTTTTTGTTTCTTCATATTTTGCTTCAATAAGTTTCAATTTAGCTTTAATTCTTGCTTCAGTTTTCTGCTTTGTGTGTTGCTTCATGTTTTGTTTCAGTTTTATTTTTTACTCTTGCTTCAACTTTTGTCTAATTTTCAATTTAGTTTCTTCATTTTTAGAAATATGTATAATTTTTTAAAATAATTTTTAAATCATTAGACTTGCTTCACTATTTTTCTCAATGCTAATCTCACTTGTATTCTCAACCAGCAGTTTATTCACAATTTCAAAACAACAACAAGAAATTAAACAAAATTTTGGAAAAAATTATTTTTCTGATCTTTATTCTTTTATTTTCATATTTTTTATTATAATTTGGATTGATTTTATTTCAAAAATTGGAATATTTATTGAATTACTTTATGTTAATTTTTCTGTTCGAATTGTACTTGGAGAAGGTGATGATGCCGAGGATTTTAATTTTAAAATTGAAACATTTCTTGTTAAATTGTTTGAGGTTGGGGGAATATTCTTGGTGAAACATGCTTCAAACGCCTTTTGAAATCTGCTTCAGATTTTTTTTAAAAATGTTTCAGATTTTTTGAAGCATGCTTCAAATAATTTTCTGGCTGCTTGAAACATGCTTATGATTTTTTTTAAAAATGTTTCAGGTTTTCTGAAACATGCTTCAAGTTAAAAAAATGCTTAAGATTTTCTGAAACATGCTTCAGTTTTTTTCAAAATATGTTTCAGATTTTTTGAAGCATGCTTAAATTAATTTTCTCGTTCCTCCCGAATTTATTTTTCAAATTTTATTAATTTCTTTAAAGCTTTCTCATTGGTTATTACAACTTTCACCTCTATTACAATCATTATTTTGTCTTTTTGGTGTTTCATTTTATCGTTTACAACTTTGCTCAATTTTACAAAAATTTTTCTTTTGTTTTTGTTGTTGTTGTCAACATTCTAAACTTGATTATTCTTCTGAAACTTTGCGTTCAATTCTTGCTGAACAAACAAAAAAGCGTCAAATGAATAGAGGAAAGAATTGAAAAAAAAATATTTTTTAATTTAAATTGTTTAATATTTTTTGAAGCATAAAAAAGTAAAGTTGAAGCAAAAATAAAAGTTGGAGTGAAATTCTGAAGCAAAAAACTAAGCAATAAACACGAAAAATCAGAATGTTTTATAAAACTTTCCGGAAAAATCAGAAATGTTTTTACAACAATTTGTGTTTTTGTGGAAATGTGTTTTTTTATAATTCTGATGTTTTTCCGGAATGTTTTTAAAAAATTCCGGAAAAATATTATAATTTTTTAAAAACATTCTGATGTTTTCCGGAATGTTTTAAAAACATTCTGATTTTTTATTTCTGTTGCTTCTGTGTTTTAATAAAAACACAGTCCAACTTGTTCTGATTTTAAATGTTTTTGTGTGTTTTTAAGTGTTTCGTTTAATTTGTAAGCGAGGAAATATTTTTACAGCGTGTTTTATTTTTATTTTTTAATTTTAAAAATTGTAAATCAGTCCAATATTTTTTGTATTTTGTACAATTTTGTGCAACTCTTTTTTATTTTTTTGAAATATTAAAAAAACGTTTTTGTGGTTTGGGAAAGTAAGGAAAATTGAGCTAATTTAAAGCATGTTTGTATGTGTGTTTTAAAAGTTATTAAAACACAAAAATCAGAAATTCTGAAAGAAATTCTGAAATTTTATTTTATTAGTAAGGGGAAAAAGAAGATAAAAAATATAAAAAAATTTTTTTTAAATGTTCATCGACCACCCAAATAAAAACAAAAACAATGGACATATAGGGAAATAAACAAAAACAAAAAATACCCTCAAGGCAGTTAGTTCCTTTTTTGTTTAATCCGATGAGTGACTAATTTTTAATTTAATTATTTACCAAAAATAAATGTGGTAGTTGTACTTTGGTTTGGTAAAAATAAAAAAATTTAATTAGGACATGAAGCAAATTTTATAAAAATTTTAAATTTAATATAAAGTAAGAATATTTTGCTAAAAAATATTTTTAATCATTTTTCAAAAATATTTCACCAAAAATCAATGAAAAATTTTTTTACAATTTGTAAGGACAAAATGTTGTGTTTGTTGTTTTTGTTGTTGTTGTTGTTGTTGTTTATGTTTGTATTTTTCCTATAAAATGTTTTAAAAATATTTGGTATAAGTTACCTATTAAACACAAAAAACAGAGAGGTTTACAAACTTTCCGGAAAACACAAAAAACCAGAACAGTTTTAAAATGTTTAAAAGAAAAAGTTTGAGCTTTATGTTTGGTTGTTCTTGTGTTTGTGTTTTTCCTATAAAATATTATTTTAAAAACACGTTGTTTCATTTAAAGTTTTCCGGAATTTCTAATTTTTGTATTTTCAGGAAAGTTGTAAAACTTGTTTGGGTTGTGTTTGTGTTTTCCTATGTTTTTCTATATGTTTGTGTTTTTCTTATAATTTTTTAAAACACGTTGTTTTATTCAAAGTTTTCCGGAATTTCTGGTTTTTGTGTTTTTCGGAAGTATGACTAAAAACATTACAGTTTTGTGTTTTGTTGTTGTTTCCAAGTTGGTGTTTTTGTATTAAAATAATTTTCAGAATAAAATCCAAACATGTTATTAATTAAGTTTTGATTAAAAAATAAAAAGTTGTTGTTGTTTTGTTTGTAATAAGTGAATAAGCGTTTTGCAAAGAAAATTTCATATAATTCAGCTGGGAATGAGGGGTCGTGAATATTAATGCTTATTGACATTGTTTTCTTGTATTTTTTTTATTTTACATATTTAAAAAATGAGGAAATTTTTTAAATTTTAATTTTTTTGGAAAATTTTTTTTTAATTTTTGGGGAGAAAGTTGCTTCGGTTTCTAGGCGTTTAAGGGAAAATGAAACTTTTTTTGGTTACCTTTTTTAATTAAAATTTTAAAATTTCCTATTTTTTTAATCACGAGGAGAAATTGGAAAAAATATAAGAGAAATTGAAAAAAATTTTTTTAGATTAATTTTTTTAATTTTAAAACGGAAATTAATGAATGGGAGCAAAATTAAATTTTTTTTGGAGTTTAAAAATGTAGAAAAAAATTTTTTTTTAATTGTTTTAAAATTAAATTTGTGAATAAAATATAAATTGAGAACAAAAATAACGGGTGATTAATTTTTTTAAATTTAGTTAGAAGGGGAGAGAGAGGGGAGTAAATATCGCCGCAAGGCAGATGTTCTCTATTTTTCTTTTGTTTTGTGTGTTTCTTTTAAAATATTTTAATTGTTTTGTTGAATTGAAATCTAATTTGTTTGGACGTGTTTTCAAAATTTAATTTTTAATTTAAAAAAGTTTGTGGAGAGAAAAGGGAATGTTTTTCAGTTTTTAAATGTTTTCCGGAATGTTTTTAGAAAATTTTTGTGTTTTTCCGGAAAAGAGAGAGAAAGAAAAAAGAATGTTTTTAAATGTTTTCCGGAATGTTTTTATAAAATTCTGAATTTGTGTTTTTCTGAAATGTTTTTGGGAAGGGTTATGTATGTTTTTGTAAATCAAAACATTCTGATTTTTTGTGTTTCTGTTTGTGTTTTTGTTTGGCGCTAATTTATGTGTATTTTTTCGAAGAGTTGTAAAAATCAGAATAAAACTTATTTCTTTCCGGAAAGATATGTTTTGTGTTTTTTGTTTTGTGTTTTATTTTAAGTTGTTTTAAGTTGTGTTTTCCGGAATGTGTTTAGAAGGAGTAAAAATGTTTTTCCGTAAGGTGTTTTATTCTGATTTGTTTATTTTTGTAATTAAAATGTTTTGTGTGCTAGAAACTTTTGTATTTTCTCGCTTTATAAACACTGTATTTTTACATTTTTTAAAACACAACATTTTTAAAGTGATATTAAAACATACCACGCGAGTTTTCTTTTTTTGTATTTATGTGTTTGTCAATTGTGAAAAGGGGGAGGGGGTTGTGACCAAAAATGTGTCGCTTTAAATAGCAAATATTAAAAAAAATATTAATTTGTTTATAGTATATTAGTTCAACTTGTCTCTCGTTTTGTTCTGCGCGAAAAAATTATTTTTATTATTTTTAGTTGCAGCATTAAAATTTTCTGTGATTTTTTCTTTGATTTTCTGCTTCTTTCTCTATTAAATTAAAAATTAATAAAAAATAATAAGAAATAAATTAATAAATGTCTCTAATTAAAGAAACTAAAAATAAATTTTATTTTTATTTTTCTCGGCGTGATTTGCCCTTTGAATAAAATAATATTTTTTTATAAGCAGGATTCTGCTCTGCATTTTTCTCGTCAAAAATTTTTCTTTTTTTTTCTTTAATTTTTACCTTTTTTAATTTTTTTTTGTATAAAATGCATGCGCGCATTAATGTGATAAATTAGAGAAAATAAAAGAGTGGGGAGGGGGTTTGTGTTAAATACCAAAAAATATTAGTTTAAGGTGTCTATAAAAATTAAAATAAAAAATATTTGTTTATGAGATATGTTTAAAAAAGGTGTGAGAATTTATTTGTGTGTGGTCATTTGTGTTTTGTGTATTTCATTTTAAATAATTATGATGTTTTCCGGAATGTTTTTAAAACACTTATAAATTTGTGTTTTATTTTAAATGTTTTACAAATAAAGTTTTGTGTTTTTGTTTGTTGTTTTTCTGGTTTGTGTTTTCCGGAATGTTTTGTGTTTTTGTATTTTTTGTTTGTTGTTGTTCTGGTTTATATGTTTTCCGGAATGTTTTGTGTTTTATATGTTTTCCGGGATGTTTTGTGTTTTATATGTTTTCCGGAATGTTTTGTGTTTTATATATTTTCCAAATGTTTTGTGTTTTATATGTTTTCCGGAATGTTTTGTGTTTTATATGTTTTCCGGAATGTTTTGTGTTTTATTAATGCTTTAGAAAATTATGTTTTCCGGAATGTTTCTAAAAACTTGTTTTTTAAGTTTTATTCTGGTTTATGTTTTTCCGGAAAGTTGTGTTTGTTTTGTTTTGATGTTTTGTTGTGTTTTGTATTTTTCCGGAATGTTGTTTCCTAATTGTTTTTGTATTTTTCCAGAATGTTTTGCTGAAATTATTTGTTCTGTTATTCTTCTGTTTTTGTTTAAATGACCTTAGAATCTCGATGACCTCAAAACTATTTGGGAAAGGACAAAAGCATTCCCGTTAAAAAAATTAAAAATTTATGTACATTCCATTCTCCGTTTTATTAAACTTTATTATATTAATTTTGAGTTTTGTTTGTGTGTGGTAATTAAAATAATTATTTTAAGAAATAGGAAAAAATGTTGAAAAAATTTTTATTTTTTGGTATGCGAAGAATTTTTATTTTTAAAAAATTTTATTTTTTTTTAATTAAAAAAATATTATTTTAAATCATTTTAATAATTAATTAATTCTGATATTTTTAATTAGTTGTTGTAAATTATTTCTGGAAATGTTATGTTTTTATTCTGCTATTTAATTCTGGTTTGTGTTTTTTCCTGTGTTTGTGTTTGTTTGTGTTTTTGTTTGTTTTACTTTTATGTTTTTCCGGAAGATTGTATTTTTATTCTGATGTGTTTTTGGTGAAGTTGTGTTTTTATTCTGCTATTTAATTCTGGTTTGTGTTTCTTCTATGTTTGTGTTTGTTGTTTTGTTTTAATGTTGTGTTTTTCCGGAAGATTGTGTTTTTGTGTTTTTATTCTGATGTGTTTTTTAAAATTATTTTATGTATTTTTTGTAGTTCTAAATTGTATTCTGATTTGTATTTTCCTTCCGGAACTGTTTGTGTTTTTTCGGATTGTGTTTTATTTTTTTCCGGAAGGTTCTGAGGTTGCGTTTTATATTAGTTTTAAAAACATGTTTTACATGTTTTTCTGACAAATACAAAAACATGTTTTCCGGAAGCAAAAACATTATTGTATGTTGTAGTTGTTGCAATAACGTTATGCTTTTCGAGACGGGAGGTGCTGAGATGTTTAAGGTTCGAATCCTTTAGTGGGGTTAATTAATTTAATTTTGTTATATTCTTCATAAATTTCCAAATTAAATTTAAAAAAAATTATTTTTCAATTAAAAAATTTTTTTGCTTCTAATTGCCCTCGTATTCTTCACTAAAATATTTTTATAACTTGAAACAGACGCCCACTACTACCACCAAAACCTTCTTTTTGTTACTCACTTCCGTCTCAATCTCCATCCAATTCACCCTTTTATTTTTATTTATTTTTTCCCTCAATTTATTTGTTAGGAAAGGCCAAACACACACAACAAATCTGTTTTTGGCCAACTGCTTTCTCAATAAATCGATGGCAAATATTTATTTTTCTTTTTACTTCTTTGATTAGGCTAAAAACTTTGTAAAGAAAAGATTGCAATGAAAATTGCAACTATTTAATTAAGCCTTTGATTTGTTTTCCGGAATGCCCACAAAATACAAATTTTTATTCCCTTAAATCCGGAAAACACACTCAATATTTTCCATCTTTCCGGAAAATACAAGAAAAAGTTCTATTATGTTTTCCGGAAAATACCGAACAAATTTTGTTTATGAAAAATACATTTCTCTAAAATACATGTTTTCCGGAAAAATTAACATGTAAAATACATGTTTAAGTGTTATAAGTTTTCCGGAAAACTAAGCAATGTTTGTTGTTAGAAACACAAACAAAGTGTTTCTAAAACATCATTTTCCGGAAAAAACAATCAGGAATGTTTCTAAAATACAAAAACAAGTTTTAAATTAAATCTAAGTTTCCGGAAAAAAATACAGAAACATTTTCCGGAATGTTCACACAAAATACAAATTCTGAAACTTTGTATTTCACACAAAGTTGTTCCTTTCCCATATGACTTGTATTTTATTTTTTTAAATTTAACACATTCTTTTAAAAAATTTTTTCTTTTTAAAAATACATGCAAAAAGCAAACACCTTTTTTTCACCAATCTTTTTTTTTCTCGCCAAAAAATATTTCCACCTTGTTACTATTTTACTATTATTTTAATACACATATCCTTTTCCTTAAGCACATTCCTTTCTCTCCTGCCAAAAAAATTTTTTTTCTTTTTATTTATCCAATCCATTTTAAAAAAAAGCCAATTGTGCTCCTTAATCTCCTTGTTTAACTAAAATAGTGTATAGTTAAAAATGTGTCTGTTATATATTTTTCTTTTGCAAATCAAAGTAGATCACTACGCTTTTTTCTGTTATAAATGTATTTTATTGTGACCAAGAAATGTATTTTTTCAGAAATTAAAAAAAACACAGTAAAATACAAGAAATCAGAATTTTGTGTTTTTATTACAAATCAGAATTTCGGAATTAGAATTTTTCAACCAGAATTTTAAAAATCAGAATTTCTAAAAATCAGAATTTTTCAGAATCAGAATTTGTAAAAATCAGAATTTTTAAAACCAGAATTTTATAAATCAGAATTTTTAAAATCAGGACTTTTGCGAATATTTTACAATTTAAAATCAAAATTTACAAAATAAAATAAATCAGAACTGAAGCATCTTTTTATAAATTAGGTTTTCAAGCGTCCACTACCAGTCATTTGAGTATTTCTTAATTTTTTAATTTTTTCTGATTTTTTAAAAATTAAAAATTTTTTTTAATTTTCAGATTAGTCATTTAATTAATTAATTTTTTTTAATTATTTTATTCTTCCTCTTCTTAAAATGTTTCATAATAGCGAACAACACCCTTTACATAAATATACTTATCAAATACCTGGTCAAGAAAAAGTTTATCCAATAACTAGTGATCAAATAAATTATCAACAACAACAACAAAATAAAGATTATAATATAGATAATACTTATGTTAATGGAACAAGTAGTAGTGGAGGTGGTGGAGGAGGTTAGAATTTTTTCTAATTTTTTTTTCAGAATTTTTGATTTTTCGGAATTATCTTCAGAATTTTTTAAATTCTGATTTGTCGACCAGAATTTTTTCTGATTTTTTCATCAGAACTAATTTCAGAATTTTTCAGAATTCTGATTTTTCTGACCAGAATTTCTCATTTTTTTTACCAGAATTTTTTTCAGAATTTTTCTGATTTTTTTACCAGAATTCTGATTTTTTCTGAATTTATTTCTGATTTTTTAAAAATAGGAGGAATACAACAACAACAAAAATACCAACAAAATTATCACACTAATGGAGGAGGAATATTAGAAAATCAACAAGAAGAAAATTTATTAAATCAACAATTTGATCAACAAATAAAATTGGATGATTTTATTTGTGTAAGATGTAATGATGGATTTATACCTTCCGAAACTGTTGTTAATTCTGGTGGGCAATTTTGGCATGCTGAATGTTTTGTGTAAGTTGTGTTTTTGTTGTGTTTTTGTTTAAATATTGTGTTTTTTGTGTTTTTGTTGTTTTGAACATGTTTATTTTAAATTCTGATTTTATCTGAACATGTTTATTTTAAATTCTGATTTTATTTGAACATGTTTATTTTAAATTCTGATTTTATCTGAACGAGTTTATTTTAAATTCTGATTTTATTTGAACATGTTCATTTTAAATTCTGATTTTATCTGAACATGTTTATTTTAAATTCTGATTTTATTTGAACATGTTCATTTTAAATTCTGATTTTATCTGAACATGTTTATTTTAAATTCTGATTTTATCTGAACGAGTTTATTTTAAATTCTGATTTTATTTGAACATGTTCATTTTAAATTCTGATTTTATCTGAACATGTTTATTTTAAATTCTGATTTTATCTGAACGAGTTTATTTTAAATTCTGATTTTATCTGAACGAGTTTATTTTAAATTCTGATTTTATTTGAACATGTTCATTTTAAATTCTGATTTTATCTGAACATGTTTATTTTAAATTCTGATTTTATTTGAACATGTTTATTTTAAATTCTGATTTTATCTGAACGAGTTTATTTTAAATTCTGATTTTATTTGAACATGTTTATTTTAAATTCTGATTTTATCTGAACATGTTTATTTTAAATTCTGATTTTATTTGAACATGTTTATTTTAAATTCTGATTTTATCTGAACGAGTTTATTTTAAATTCTGATTTTATTTGAACATGTTCATTTTAAATTCTGATTTTATTTGAACATGTTTATTTTAAATTCTGATTTTATCTGAACGAGTTTATTTTAAATTCTGATTTTATTCTTCTTTTAAGATGTGCTCAATGTTTTCAACCATTCCAGGATGGAATATATTTTGAATTTGAAGGACGTAAATATTGTGAACATGATTTTCATGTTTTATATTCTCCTTGCTGTAGTAAATGTAGTAAGTTTTTTTAAATTTTTTAGTGGGTTTTTAACGAAAATTTATTTTCGATTTTTGCGGACAAAATTTGCGGATTTTCGAAAATATTTGAAAAATTTTTCAAAAATTTTTTCAGACGCAACCCTCAAAATTTGGTCAATAATTAATATTTTTTATTAAGATGAATTCATTATTGGCCGAGTAATTAAAGCAATGAACGCAAACTGGCATCCACACTGTTTTACTTGTGAAATGTGCAATAAACAATTGGCTGATGTTGGGTTTCTACGTAATGCTGGAAGGTTTTATTTATTTTTTTACAAATTAAATAGGCTGTTAATATTTCTAAGAATTTTTTTTAATTTTTGAAAAAAAATTTTTTTTGGTTAAGTGGTAGCGTTTTATGGTTTTGAGTGGTTGATGGTTGTGGGTTCGATTTCTATTGCTTTCAGTCATTTTTCTGCTTGAAATGATTTTGCCAAATATCTATTTTAGACATTTTTAACGACTTTTCGGCACTTAAAAATATTTTTAAGAAATTTTCTAATGATTTTTGAAAAAAAATTTTGTTCTTTGGTTAAGTGGTAGTGTTTTTGATTTTAGGTTGTAGGTTCGACTTCTTTTCCGTCCTTTCATTTTTCTGTTTGAAATAATTTTGCGAAATATTTATTTTAGGCATTCTTAGAGACTTTTGGCATCTAAAAATATTTTTAAAAAATTTCTATAGATTTTTGAAAAAAATTTTTTCCTTGGTTAAGTGGTAGTGTTTTTGGTTTTAGGTTGTAGGTTCGACCCCCGTTGCTTCCTATCATTTTTCTGTTTGAAATAATTTTGCCAAATATTTTTTTAAACATTTTTAAAGACTTTTTGGCACTTAAAAATATTTTTAAGAAATTTTTTATGATTTTTTAAAGAATATTTTTCTTTAGTTAAGTGGTAGTGTTTTTCTTTCTAGGTTGTAGGTTCAATCCCTGTTGCTTCCTATCATTTTTCTGTTTGAAATAATTTCGCCAAATATTTTTTTAAACATTTTAAAAGACTTTTTGTCACTTAAAAATTTTTTTTAATTTTTTAAAAATCATTTTCTTCATTTTTTTAAAGAGCATTATGCCGTGAATGCAATGAAATTGAAAAAGCTGCTGGACAAGGAAAATATGTTTGTCACAAATGTCGTTCAATAATAGAAGATGGACGTCATATAAAATTTAGAGGAGATTCTTTCCATCCTTATCATTTTAATTGTAAAAGATGTGATGTTGAATTAACTGATGATGCTAGAGAAATTGGGGGTGCTTTGTATTGTTTAAGATGTCATGATTTGGTAAGTTCGGGGGATTTTTTTGATTTTTTTGAGTGAAATTGAAGGGTTTGTGTACTTATTAAAATGATTTTAAATATAGAAATATTTCTTAAGGAAAAATTTTTTAAAGTTTTTTGCGGACAAAACTTGCGGATTTTTGAAAAATAAGGGATTTTTTTGAAAATAAAATTTTTTTATAATTTTTTTGGTAAAATCGAAGGGGTTTGGGTACCTATTAAATTAATTTTCAAATAGAGAAATATTTCTTAACAAAAAAATTTTTAAAAAATTTTTTGCGGACAAAACTTGCGGATCTTTGAAAATATTAGAGAGCATTTTTCTTTTTTTCCGATTTTTGAGTTTTTAACGATTTAAAAAATTATTTTATTAAAAAAAATTAAATTTTAGATGGGAATTCCAATTTGTGGTGCATGTCATCGTCCAGTTGAAGAACGTGTAGTTACTGCTTTAGGAAAACAATGGCATGTTGAGGTTTATTTTTTAATTAATTTTCTTTAAAATTAATTTTATTTTAAAGCACTTTGTCTGTGCTGTATGTGAAAAACCTTTTCTTGGTCATAAACATTATGAACGTAAAGGACTTGCTTATTGTGAACAACACTTTCATTTGGTTTTTTTTATTTTTTTTTAATTTTTGAGGAAAAGAAAATTCGGAAATTTCAGAACAAAATTTCAAAATTCCACAAAAAAATAGTTCAGAAAAAGAGACACTAGACCCTGCAAAATTAGTAAAATTTAGATCAGAATTTCGAGTCGAAAAAAATTCAATGGGTTTAGGGTAATTCTCCAGAAGTACAAAAATCAGAAAAAATTCTGATTTTTAAAATAATATTTTTTTGCTGATTTTTGTACCTCTGGAAGGGTTACCCTAAACCCACAGACTTTTTTCGGCTCGAAATTCTGATCTGATTTTTTTCTCATGTCAACCCCCAAGCCATTTTCCCGAGGGTATTATATTAATTTGGATTTTTATTATTTTTATAATCAGAATTAAATTAGAAAAATCAGAAAAAATTCAGAATTTTATTTAATTAATTTATTTAATTCAAATTTAAAATTTAATTTAAAAATTAGCTTTATGGCCATATATGCTTCAAATGTGGAAATCCTTGTGGTGGAGAAGTATTTCAAGCTTTGGGTAAAACTTGGTGTGTAAAATGTTTTTCATGTTCACTTTGTGACAAAAAAATGGATCAAAAGTAAGGGAAAATATTTTTAATTTTTTTTTATTTTTTAAATTTTAGAACAAAATTCTTTGAATTTGATATGAAACCAGTATGCAAAAAATGTTATGAAAAATTCCCGAATGAATTAAAAAAGCGTATAAGCGATAATTTGAAAGAAAGGGAAGCAGATACATTACGTAGGAGATCGGGTAAAAGTTGAAACATTTATTTAAATAAAAAATAAACTTGAAGCAAAAAACTTGAAACAAACTGAAATTTTAAACCTGAAACAAAAACTTGAAGCAAATTAAAAAAAACTTGAAGCAAACTCTAAAAAATAAACTTGAAACAATTACAATTTGTAAAAAATACAAACTTTACAAATTGTACTTTTACAAATTGTAAATAAAAACTTGAAATTAGACTATAAAATAAACTTGAAGCAAGTCCATCAACAACACACCATCAAAAACAGAAAATGAAATCAAAATCACCAGAAACAAAATAATAAAAGAAAAACACAAAAATCAGAATAAATGTGAAAGAAAACACATATTATAATTAAAAACTTTGTTAAAAACACAGCTTTAATATTCTAATTACTACTTAATATTGCCTTATGTTGAGAGAAGAGAAAAAAATCAGAATTTAAAATGAACAATTGTTTTTCCGGAAAAAACATGTTTATTTAATTTTCCGGAAAACACTAAAAACATGTTTTACAACAAGGAAAACACATTTCCGAAAAACACACAAAACACACAAACATTGTTTGTCGGAAAACATTGAAAAACATGTTTTACAACTAAAAAAACACATTTTCGAAAAACACTTTTTATATTGTTTTTCCGGAAAAGCATGTTTATTTAATCTTCCGAAAAACACTTAAAAACATGTTTTACAGCGAGAAAAACACAAATCAGAATTAAATGTTTATATAAGTTTATTTTCTGATTTTTATATTTTGTAGAAAATGTGTTTTTCACTTTGGGAAAAATACAAAACTTGCCATTACTCCTAAAAAAGTGCCTAAAAATGTTTCCCTTAAATTCTGTACCCATAATTTTTATATTAATTTTTATCTAACATTTTCCGTCCCTATATATCTTGCAATAATAATAAACTATATCCATTTTTATTGAATAAATTTGAATTAAAAAAATTTTTTTTTAAGGTTTTGGGTGAAATACAAGGTGTTTACTTCTCAATTTACCTTTCTTGGCATTTACCATTTTTAAAAGTTATCATTTTAACGTTTTTCTAGTTGTTTACACTTTTATTTTTTCTTTTCCTTTCTCTCATTTAAACATATTTTGCCAATCTCATGTTTTGCCAAAAAAGGCTAAAAAACGACGTTTTGTCAATAAGGTAGTGTTGACAAAATGTCGTTTTTTACCCTTATTGGCAGAATGTCGTTTTTTTAGTTTTATGGGCAAAATGTCGTTTTTTAGTTTTATGGGCAAAATGTCGTTTTTTAGTTTTATGGGCAAAATGTCGTTTTTTAGCCTTTTTGGCAACATATGGGGAGAGCTCTGCCCTTTTTCAATTACCCGTTTTCTCTTTTTGTTAGGCAAGGTAATTATTTTATTCTTTGATTTTTTAATTGGTCCTTTTGTTATACATTTTTGCGCGTATTAATCATCATGCTTTTAATTTTCTTATTTTTACAGGAGAAAATTTTTTAGTAAAAAAAATGTCAGAAACAGCACTAATTGATGAAGCATTAAATGAAGTTTTTGTTGAAACCGATTTAATTGGATTTCAATCTTTATTTGTATTTGATAAGCAATTGACTAGACTTGAACATTTTTATGATGTAACTGATGAAGAATTGAAGGTTTTCTTTTGAATTTTTAATTTTTAAAATTTTTTGGTGATGTTTAATTCTAAATCCCGCTCCCATTCTTTCCTTCCCATCCTCAAATACTTGAAAATGGTCTGCTTCAACTTCACGATCTCCATATGCCTAGTAATCGATTTATTTTGATCCCATATGGAAATAGAGGAGGTTGAGGAAGTCTGACCATTTTGAGTCTTTTTAGAAGTGAAAAATAGGGAATGGGTGGGAAATTGAATATTATCAAAATATTTATTTTTTTCAAGTCTTATGGATTGTCTGAACCAGCTATTCGTCGTCTTAGACAAGCTATTGTTAAAAAATCTAAGAAGCAATCGAAAACTTTATTTGGAGGTGGAGGAAAGAAGAATGTTAAATTGATCCAAGTTAAGAGGGAGAAGACGGTTAATTCTTGTAATAAAAGTTTGAATGAAGGAGGCTTTGAATTTAACAATACACAACCATTCTTAATATCAGAAAATGAGGTTTAATTTTTTAAATGATTTTGGGTTTTTTAAAAGGGGTTGGGGTTTTCGAGGCTTGGGAAGGGTTCTGTCTCTTATTTGTTTCGTCTGTAGCCAATGAGTTATCCAAGCCAGATTTTTTTAGTTTTTTAGGAGTGAGGGGAACGAGTCTGGTAGACTAACTTAAGTGTCTGGGTATGAGTTTAACACGAGATGAGGTTTTGGTTTTTATTGAGTGATTATTGGGTTTTGGGGATGGGAAGTTCTGTCTCTTATTTGTTTTGTCAGCAGCCTCAAGAGTTATCCAAGCCAAATTTTTTAGTCTTTTTAGGAAGTGAGGGGACGAGTCTGGTTGACTGAGTATCTGTTTGTGAGTTTAATACGGGAAACATATAAAGTACCTGACCTGGACTTTTATTGCTTGGAGTACTCCTGACCCTGACTTATTGTTAGAAGTCCAATAGCCCCATGAGTTATCTAACATAAGCCAGATTTTTTTAGTCTTGTTAGGAGGGAGGGACGAGTCTGGTAGACTGATAGCTGAGTTTCTGGGTCTGAGTTTACTGCGGGGAACTTATAGACTACCCGACCTGGACATTGCCTGGAAGATCCCTGACTCTAACGAAGTTTCAAGTTTATTATTTTTAATTCTTAAAGAGATTTTTTTATATTTTCCTCAGATTTCTTTATACGAAACATTGGGAGAAGGCAACTTTTCTATTGTCAAACGAGCAATATGGAATCGTTCAGACAACAATTCATCAAAAATTGAGTGTGCAGTCAAAATTCTACATAACAACATGACAGAAATATTTAGAAAAGATTTATTGGCAGAAATTACAAATATGCAAAAATTACGCCATCAAAATTTGGTTCAACTTTTTGGGGTAGTTTTTGGTGAAAATACATTGATGGTATTAGAATATTGTCAAGGAGGGTCTTTATTAGACAGATTAAAGAATTGTGGAAATGGAAAATTTGCTGATAAAATTAGACCTTTAATTACAACTTTACACAATTATACACAACAAATAGTTAATGGAATGGCTTATTTGGAGTCTAGAAGGTGTGTACATAGAGATTTGGCTGCTAGAAATGTGTTGTTGGCGCATGATGAACAGGTTTGGGGTTTCTGAAAATTTTTATAGATGGGGCAGTGTTTTCCCGTTCTGACTGGTTCCAAGATCGTGGTACTTCTAAATCATTGGAACAGCCTGGAACATTCGGAACTTATTTAATCGACCGTTACTACACTTTGATTTTTAAATCAGTAAGGGAGTAAGGAGTACTGTCGAAACCTTAAGAATTAACTAACAGACCAAGACTTAAAAATGAACTGTTCTATTTATGGGCTTGGCAAACGGAGAATTTGTGCATTTTTTTAATATAACTGAAGACGCCCCCCCCCTCCCCTCTGGTAAATTTCTAAACAATTTTTTTTTCTTTTTGCAGATTGTTAAAATTTGTGATTTTGGTTTGGCTCGTGCATTAAGCGAAAATGAACGTTTATATGTTATGAATGAATTAAAAAAAGTTCCATTTTCTTGGTTTGTTCTTTCAAATTTTTTTTTCAAATTTATTCATAAAAAGGTGTCCACCAGAATCTTTAAGATATCGACAATTTTCACATAAATCGGGTATTTTTTTTTGAAAAATTTTTTAAATCTTCAAGAAATTTTTTAAAGATGTCTGGGCATTTGGAGTTACAATGTGGGAATTATATACATTTTGTGAAGAGCCGTGGGCTGGTTGTAGAGCTGCTGAGGTTTTTTTTTTTGAAAATTTCAAAAAAAAATTATTTGCGGACAAAAAATTTTTTGCGGATTTTCTGCAAAAAAAAATTTTTTTTTGCGAACAAAAAAAATTTTGCGGACAAAAAATTTGCAGATTTTCCGCAAAAGATTAAATTATCAAAAAAAAATTTAATTTTAAGGTTCTCCAATTAATCGAATCAGGTCAACGTCTTAAACAACCAGAATATTGTCCTCCACAAATTTATGAAATTATGAAAATGTGTTGGTATAATGAACCTGAACAAAGACCTAAATTTGTTCATTTGAGGAAAATGTTGTTGGATGTTTGTTGTTTTTAATATATTAAAAATTAGAGAAAAATACAAAACAAAACACATGTTTTTAAAAATCAGAATTATTGAGCAAAACATGTTTGTGTGTTTATGTAGAAATGGAAAAAACACATAAAATCAGAAATAATAGGAAAAACACATAAAATCAGAATTAATAGGAAAAACAGTGAAATCAGAATTAATTAAATAAACTTGAAATCAGAATTAATAAGAAAAAATTCTGGTCAAGTTTTATTACCAGAATTAATAAAGAGAAGTGTTTATCGAAAACACAAATAAAAATCAGAATTAAGTTTGTAAAAATACGAACCAGAATTAATAATTAAAAATAAACTTGTTTTTCAGAATAAGTTTATTTTTGAATTGTAAAACATTGTAGAAACATGTTTGTTAAAACATGAATTGTAAAAACATTTAACAAAAATACAAACATTTCACAAAAACATGTTTGTAAAAACATATAAAAACATTTAAAAACACGAATTTTTAAAACATTTAAGAAAAACATGTAAAAATATCATAAAAACATGTTCGTTAAAACATTTATCAAAAACATTGTAAAAACATTTTAATTAATTCTGATTTTTTTTTGTTTTAGATTAAATTTACACACGTTGTTTGTCGTCAATCTTATACCAACAATAATATTAACAATTCTTTATCAACTTCAACACCTCAATTAAATAATGATGAAATTAATTTTGCTAAAAAAGCAACATTTTTAAATATTTCTCAAGGGGATCAATTTTGTTTAATTTGTGAAAAAAATTTAAATTTTTATTTTGGACAAAATTTAAAAACTAGACAATTTGGGCAATTTCCGAAATTAATTTGTTGTGTTGTAAATAATGAAGGAGGAAATGAGGAAAATACAAAAATTAATAATTCTTCAAATAAAACAACAATAACAAATAATATTAATAATACAACAACAATAAAATTAAAAGAAGCAAAAAGAGGGGAAATTTCTTTTCCTGTTGTTGGTAAGGGTTAATTTTTGAATTTTTTTTATTTTAAATTTTTCCTAAAAACTGGGTTTTATTTTTGGAGATTGTAATGAAAAAAATTTTTTTACGGGATTATTTAATTGTTGGGCAATATGTCCAATTTTTCTAAATTTTTTTACTGATGGGATCAAATGTCTTATTTTCCGCAAATTCTGTCCACAAAAAAAAATTTTTTCAATTAAAAAAAATTTTTTTTACGGGACACAATGTTCATTTAATTGTTGTTGGGCAATGTGTTCTATTTTATAAAAATTTTTATTAATGGGATAAAATGTCTTATTTTCCGCAAATTCTGTCCGCAAAAAATTTTTTGTCCGCAAAATTTTTTTACATTTTAAAAAAAATTTTTTTTTAGGTTCATTTATTCATACTGGTCATGGTGATTTAGATGAGCGTCAATGTTGGGGTCATGTAGACCATATTGACCAAATATATTTACAAAATCCAATAATTGGTGCATCTACAACAAATATTAATGCAAACCAACAACCTCCAATAATTGTGCCATCATTATTAAATTTACAAAATTGTGTTAAAAATAATAGTAAAAGTTTTACAAATTTGAATGAAGGTTTGTGTCTATTTTTTTGTTTAAATTTTTTAATTTTGCGGAAAGTCAGCAAAAAATTTTATTTGTCCGCAAAATTTTTTTCTGTCCGCATTTTTGGAAATTTTATGAGAAAGATTGATAATTTTGGGAAGAAGGTACCAAGGGCAGCGTAGGGTGCTTGAGTTGAAGCTGTATCCTCCTAGCCATTTTTGGTTTTTTGTTGTACACAAATTGTAACCCTTCCTGAAATCTGACTCATTTATGTGCTGTTACAAAATAATTTTGCGGATTAAAAAAATCTTTTGGATTTTTAAATTTAATATAAATTTTTATTTAATTTTTTTAAAGCAAAATCTCAGCAGGAAAATGAAAATAATAAAATATACCATAGAACAATAACAACAACAAAAATAAATGAAAAACCAACATCAATCTTTGATGTTGACCTTTTTGATCCTTTCACTACTAAAAATAATAAAAATGAAGAAAATGGAAATGGAATTCTTCGAAAAAATTCATTACCAACAATTGGGGCAATTAAACAGGAGCAACAAAAACCGTCATTAAATTCTATATTTTTGAGACCTCCTCCAACTAGTAAAAATAATGGGCTGTCAAATGGTGCAAATACATCTACAACATCTTCAACTAGTATTTCTTTTAAATTTTTAATAAAAAAAAATTTTTTCCTGGTTTGGTATTTGCGGACAAAATGTAGCTGTAAAGTCAAAAAGTAAGATTGTCGGTTCTGAACCGGATCGAAGAACTGAAGGTTTTTTAGTTCGGTTTAGGACATCCGAAAAATTTCCAGGAACCGACAACCCTAGTCAAAAGCCCTTCAAAAATTGATAAAATGCCTTACGGTGGAAATGTCGTTTTTTTAATACCTAATAAATACTAAAAATTTTTTTTGTTTATCTATTTCAAAAATTTTTTTTGTGTTTTTGACACATCGCCAAATTAATTGTGTGTCCGCAAGAAAATTTTGTTCGCAAATTTTTTTTTAATTTTTTCAAATATTTTTTTAAGAATATGATTATTCAATGTCAATTCCTCGTCCAAATCGAATTTCGCCAACTAACAGGTTTTTTAATTTTTGATTAAAAATAATTTTATTATTTATTTTTAGTTTAACCCCTCCAGATTTGAGTAAAGAAAATTTAACAAAAAATGTAGATCAACAAAAAATCTCAAAAATTGAGGATATTCCTCTTAAACCAACAAATACAAATTTACTGTTGGACTTATCAAAAGAACAATTTGTTAATTTAAATTTGAATAATTTTCTTCCTCAACAACAACAAGCATCAACACAAAGACCAAAATCTGCACATTTTCTTTTTGATGAACTAAAACAAGGATTACAACAACAACAACAACATTTAAATGCTTCAATAAAACAACCTTATTCTTTGATAGATGATCCTTTTACGGTATACTAGTATTTTTATTTATGAAGAAAAATTTAAAAATTTTTCTGAAAGTTGCGGACGAAAATTTTTGCGGACAATTTAAGTTAAAATATAATCGATTGGTAATGGAAATGTTTTTAACTTTGTAAAATGGGGTGACCCTAATGTACCGCAGCGCTGTAACTTTGTTCAGAATTGCTGAATCTGTTACGTTCTGGTATGGTTCGATTCAGCTCGTCGACGCATAGAACCATACCAGGGTGTCCCGGATTCGATAGTTCTGAATAAAACTACGCTTGCGGTAACTTGGCCTGCTCCCGTCGGGTGTGGGTTACCATTTTTATTGATAATTTCTATTTGGGTTTTGTTTAAAAAATTATATTTACAGTTTGTCCGCAAAAGTTGTCCGCAAATAATTTTTTTTAATTTTTAAAAATTTTTTTAATAAAATTCTTTTTTTATAGGTAAAAGACGATATAAAAACTTTATTAAATACAAAATTGCCATATCGTGAGATACACAAATCTTGTAATGGTGGTTTTAGCAGTAATACTAGTAATGTAGCTATTGTACATCCTATTCAACAACAACAACCAATTTTAGTTAATAATGCGTTAATTTTTGATATTAATAATTCAGCAAAATTACAACAAGGAGAACAGTTAATCTCAAAAAATGATGGAGGGGGAAGTTATTTTGATGAAAATTTTGAAAAAAATTTTTGTCCGCAAAATTTGTCCGCAAATAATTTTTGTCCGCAAAATTTGTCCGCAAATTCTTTTATTTTACCAACTCAACAAAATGAACAACAAAAATCGTCTTCCTCTTTATCTTTTATTAATTCAAATACTTATGGCCATCCAAATGATATTCCAAAATTATTAAATCCAATAAAAATACCTCATCAACTACAGCAACATCAAGAACCAACATCTACTACAAGAAATATTCAACAAAAAATACCTCATCATCAAATAGTTGATTTAAGTGAATTAGATACTGATGCTTTATTAAAACAAGTTAAAGATGCTGTAGATTTTGCTAGGTTTATTTTTTTTGTTTAATAGAAAAAAATTTTTTGCGGACAAAAGTTGTCCGCAAAAATTTTTGCGGACAAAAAAAATTTTTTTTGCGGACAAATAAATTAAAAAATTTCTTTTTTTACAGCCTAGAACAATGTCGCCAACAACTTTGGCGTAATCAATTTGATGCTGAAAGGGCAATACAACAATTAAAAATTGATAAGCTTTTAGAAATGGGTCTAGCTACAGATAGAGAATTGGCTGCATCCGCTTTAGATTGTGAACAGTGGAATGTCAATGCTGCGGCTAATCGGCTATGTTCATCTTAAAATGTTGCATGTTTTTAAATAATGTTTTTACCTCCCAAACAAACAAAAATACAAAAACTTAAAACTTTGTGTTTTAGCATAATTATATAAAATACAAAAACACAAACACATATTCTGATTTTCATTGTTTTCCACAGATGTATGTTTTTCCGGAAAACACAAAAACTTGCTAAATTTAATTTGTAAAACATAACAAAAACACAAACATTTCTCAACAAAAACACATTTTTTAACAAAAACACAAACATTGTTTTTCATGTTTTCCGGAAATTTTATGTTTTGTATTTTTCTGTGTTTTTCTGATGTTTTATTCTGATATTCTGATTTTTATTATTTTCCAGATATTATTTTCAACAAATTCCGGTTTTGTATGTTTTCCGGAAAACTTTAAACATTTTAATAAACTTGTCTTTTTTCCAAGTTTTCCGGAAAATACACAATTTTTTCTTGTTCTGTTTTAAAATACTTTATTAACCTTTGCATTTTTCCCTATCATTTCTCCACTTGAATTTTCATCAAAAAATCTTTCGCGCATTTTAAATTTTAGGATATTATATAATATTTGCCATTTTAAAAAATTGTATCTCATTTTGATTAGAAAATAATTTTTTTCTTTGTTTATAATTTTTTGACAATGAGAAAAAATTTTCTGAAACATTTTTTTAAGTTTTTTTGATTTTTTTATTAAGAATATTTCTAATTAAATAAGAATATTTTTTTATATTTTATTAAAAAAAAATTAATTTTAGAATTTTTTTCAACCAGAAAATAGGAGAGAAAGAATGAATGGTGAAGGTACAAGTAGCAGCAACAAAAGCAACAACAACAACAATTCTTCTTCAAGAAAAAAACGTTTTAAACAATTAATTCAATGTAGAAGTTGTAATTGTTTTGTATTAGCAAAGGATATTGATAAACATTCAAAATTAAATAATGAAGCTACTACAACAGCAACAAATTTATCAGAATCTTGTATAGTGGAAACTCCTAAATTATTGGTACAGAAACGAGTAAACAAGGTGAATAAAACTTTAAACAAATGTTTGGATGTTTTTCCAGAAAGTTGGGAATGTTTCTGATTATGAAATTTTTAGGTTGTTTTATAAACATGTGTTTTCCGGAAAAGTTGGAATGTTTTTGTTTATTTTCTGGGCTGTTCAAAACATGTGTTTTCCGAAATGTTGGTGGGGAATATTTCTGATTTTTATGTGTTTTTGTGTGTTTTTGATTGTTAAATATTCGAAATGTTTTTCCGGAAAGTTTTGTTTAATTAGTAGTGTTTTTCCGGAATTATTAAATTCTGTGTTTTCCGGAAAGTTTGAAATTTTTATTTGTTTTCCGGAAAGTTTCTGATTTTATAAATAAAAGTTGTAATATTCTGAAAAATTTTACACAAGGTTTAGCAAAATACAACAAGGAGTAAACGTCCTTCATCAACCGGAACTTTTAATTGTAATAATTCTGATGGTTTTATTTCTACCCAAATAGCGTTAATTGAACCAAACAATGGAATGGCTCTTGAATTACATTCTTTAAAAGATGAAGCAGATTGGGAAAAAAATTTTCCTATGGAATTGTATGGATGGCTACGAAGGCATTCTGCTTTGGTTAATCCTGGTTGGATGAGAAAATATTTTTTTTGAAAAATAAAAAAAATTTTTTAATTTTAGAAATGCTTTCTGCAATCTCCGCACTTGCTAGAACTGCTTTTGCTATAATTTCGGAGGAGAATGAAATACCTTTTGCTGTTGATATTGTTATACTTTGGCCTTGTATTGAGGTAAAACTTTTAAAGTTGTGTTTTTTTGTTCCGGAAAGTTTAGAAATTGATTTATTTTCCGGAATGTTATTTTTATTTTGTGTTTTCCGGAAAATGTTTTTATTAAAATTTATTTTTGTGTTTTCCGGAAACTACAAGTTAATTCTACTTTCCGGAAACACATTAATTTGTTTTCCGGAATGTTTTATTTTATGTGTGTTTTCCGGAAAGCTTTTTTAACTAAAATTAAATAAATATTCTGATTTTTCAGATCCCTTTAATGCAAATTGCCTTCCCTCCAACATTTCAACAAACATTAGATTCTTCACTTATTCGTTTACAATTAATTAAATCATTTGGACAACCTTTACAAAATATTTTATTAAAGCCTGATTTATCAAAAAATGAAATAAAATTACAAGAATGGTCAAAATTGTCAAAACTTGAATTTTTTGTACATTTTGTAAAATGTTATTTTGGAAATGCTTTAATTTTTAAAAATTTGAATTCGACACAGATTGAATATTATGGACGCAAATTAAATTTTAAAATTTATTCTGAAGAGGAAGAAGATGATGTTGAAGGGAATATTGAAAGAAAAATGGAATCATTATGCAAAATTGAAGGTTTATTTAATTAATTATTAATTAAATTAAGAGAGAAGGGGGGATGCTTGAGGACGTCATCAGTATTTTCCGCAGCGAAATCCTCAACTAGCAATTTTAATTTTAAAATCCGCAATCCGTAAGTCAAAAAAACAAGCAATTTTACGAAATTGCGTTCACCCTTGCCTCCACTACGCTCTCTATTTTATAAAAAAAATAAAGTGACCATTAAAAGTAAGAAGAGTAAGTAAGAGAATTATTCTTCCCGGCATCTATTGCTCTAATAACTTGGTTTCACTACGTTCAGAGGTGGGGAGATGTTGGGATGCTACTGGCCTGGGATGAGGTCAACTACTATAAGGAACTCTAAGGGCGGCGATTTACTTTCTTTTTAAATTAGGGGGCCTAGACGGTACTAAAAATTTTTTTACTTGAAACCAGATGAAAACGGAGAGAGCAATATTATAAAGTATTACCCAAAAGTTTGTAAAATTTCTCATTCTTGCAAATTCAAAATTGATTGGAGTGAAGTACTACAATTGGAAATAAACAAAGATGAGAAGAAAAATCAAATTGAGGAGGATGATCCTGACAGTTTATTATAAAAATTATAAAGGTTTCTTGTTTAATTATTTTTATTAATATCAAGAAGGAGGGGGTTCAACTTGGGGTTTCTGCCAGGGAAGGGTCATGTTACCTCTCAACTCTGACCTTTTTTTCGACTCGAAACCCTGACATTTTTACTAATCTGGTGATTCCAGGTTTCAAATAAGGTGGGGTTTTCATAGGACTTCAATCTCAAATGTGCTTTAACAATAACCGAGAACTTTGTATTGGAATTGTTTTGATTATTGGCGAGATTAAAAAGTCTTTTAAAAGAATTTCCACACAATCTTCCTCTTTCGAAATCTGACCATCTTGGAGAATTAAGGAGGTTATTTAAATATTTTTTTTAATTTAAGGTGCCCGAAGAAGAAGATACCAAATGTATGAGTACTTTTAAGTTTTTGTTAATTTTTTAATAACTTTATTTTGTAAACATTTTTTACAAAAAAAAGGTAAACATTTTGTGCAAAAAACATTTTGGCCAAGGTTTTTTTTCTTTCATACTAGCAAAAAATAATAATTCTTATAGGTATAAAGAGCCAAAAATTTAAAAAATAATAATTTGGTTATTTTAAATTAAAAAAATTTTTGTTTGGTCTTTTGGTCGACCATCCCCTTTCCCTTCCCTTTGTATATTCAGCTAAATAAATAACCAATTATTATTATTTTTTCTTAAAAATTAATTGTAGTTTAGAAAAACAAATAAGAAGTCAATAATAATAAAAACAAAAAAAAATACGAGAGTAAAGGAATATATATTTTCGTTATTCCCCTCAATTAGCACAGTTTTAATACAAAAATTCGTCTTTATATAATTAATAAATGTCCCACAAAAACATTTACACCCAAAAACATTAATTTCAAAAAAAAAAATGAAGAAAGCAAGAAGCAGAATTTAGGTAGTTTTATATTTTAGAAAATATATGGTTAAAAAATAATATTTTTTAAAAATTGTTGTGTTACTTCCTTTTTTTTGGAAAATTTTGGAAGGTGTCTTAAATTCGAAAAAAATTGTTTTATAACGCCAAAAATGGATGAGCGTTAAAAAGATACCCCAAAAATAACCAGAAAAATAATTGGTTTTTACGGGCCAGGAAACCGAATTTTGGATTTCACATTCATGCTGGCCTGGAATAATCCGGGAATCGCGAAAAGATCCTGAGTTGGGATCCAGACTTTGGAAAATTCGGCCGGAGTCCGGTGCCAGTCACTAATAAATACACAACATTTTTTAGAAAATATTATTTTTTCAACCAATTTAGATGTGTCAAAAAACAAAGAAAAAATTAATTTAAAAAATATATAGTATAAACCTTTTTTACTTCTTCCCGTTTACATCCTCCTCTTTTTTGAGTTAAATTTTTATATATATTACACAATTTCTTCTTTTTACTTCCCCACACATAATCAACGAGAAGCTGACCGCGAATTTTTGCGTTGCTTCTGTTCTGAATTTTCATGTTTATTATGTTGGTGATCTTCACGAATGGATGAGACCTTTGAAAGAAAATTTAATTAAAGAAAATTTTTCAAAAAGAAACCTCTCCTTCAATAAATGCTCTAAGGCGTTCAAGATATGCTGCATGCATTTCAACGTCATTATGACCTGCACCAGAAACCCAGAGAGGTTCAACCTGAAAGAAAAGGTTTATTTTTAATTATGAGAAAAAAACACACAAGTTTTCCGGAATTTTAAGAGAAACACAAGTTTCTAAATATTCTGAGTTTGTGTTTTTCCGGAATGTTTTAGAAACATGTTTTCCGGAAGGTTTGTGCAAAATTGTTGTTCCTATGTTATAGTGGTGAACGTTTCAAATGTGTTTTCCGGAATGTTTTAGAAAAAACACAATTTTTGTATTTTGTTTTTCCTGAATTTTTGCACTTATTCTGATTTTCGTGTTTTTAGTTTTATTTTTAGTTTTCCGGAATTTCTGATTTTTTATTCTTCGGAAGAAATGTCTAAGTGCGTGTTTTCCGGAAAGTTTAAATATATTAAAAATAGTGTATTTACCGAAGTTGGACATTGCTCATAAATAGTCACCCCATGAGAAAAGTCAACAACCTAAAAATAATTTTTTTGATTTCTTTTAAAAGATTTTTTCTCTTAATTACGTCATCCTCTGTCCCATGAATAACAAGCGTTGGACAAGAAACTCGTGGAATTTTTTCAATAGACGGAAAAGCATCGCAACACCAAGTTCGTTGAATGCCATGAAATGCTACACGCATACCAGAAAGTAGAGGAGAGTGTAATATAAGTGCAGCAACACGTGGGTTTTTACTGGCTAAGTCAACTGTGAAAAGGGGAATTTTTGGAAATTTTTTTAAATTAAAAAACCTGATGGCACAGTCCCAATACTTTGTCCATACAAAATTACACGTTCTGGCGGAATTTGGCATTTTGTCTCTAAGGCTTTCAAAGCTGCTGCAATGTCTGCATAAAGATTCTTTTCTGAAGGACGTCCTGTTGACTGGCCATAACCTTTAAAAAAAATTTTTTTTGAGAACGTTTATGGACATATTTGCGATGTCAAAAAAAGGAAATGTTCCAGCTAAGTTTCGGATTTCTAATCTTTGCCAGAAAAATATATTTTTCAAAATTCGCCTTACACTTAGTAACCCTACCTCACATCAGACTCGGTCCTTTTCTGGGAGGCTATTGTTGGGTCGTCCCTATATGTCACAGAGTTGAAGTCTCAGACTAACTTTCCCTTGGCTCCTGTACAAAAAACAGATGCAAAAAGAGAACGGAACGGACAAAAGGGGTTAAAAGACCGGTTTTACGTCCTTTTTTGCCCGTTCCAATCTTTTTTTGCACCGGTCTTGTGTACAGACTAACTTCCCCTTATATGCTTCCCATCCCCAACTCCCTAGACTTCTAGAAAAAAATATTTTTAAAAAATCCAAAACCAGAATAATCATAAGCGAAAACATTGCATCCAAGTCGATACCCCAACAAAACATAAAAAGAACACATTTGCCCAATATCAACAGCATTACCATGAGAGAACAAAATTGTAAAGCGTGTAGGTATAACTGGTTTAATAAACATACAAGCAATTTTATTTCTTCGAGAAGTTTTGGCAAAAAAGACGGTTATGTTTTTGAGTTCTTCTGAAAGTTTAGGGGTGAGTTTAGAAGAAATTTTGGGTCTACTACAGTTTATGAGTCCAATGGAACTTTATGAGTCCAATCAAAAAATGATTGGATTTTTTTGGTGTTGCAAAGTAGGAACCTGCCAACACCAAGAAAAATCCAATTATTTTTTGATTGGACTCATAAACTGTAGTAGAGCTGAGATTTTTTGTTTTAAAGAAAAACCTTGTCCATGTGGCCATTCAGAACCTGTTCGATTTTCAACTAGCTCCAAAGAAGTCCTTAAAAATACATGTTTTATTTGATTGGAGAAAGGGAGGGAATGGGAATTGGCTGAGTTCATGATAAGGATTCAAGGTTAAGGAGGTTGTCCGCAAAGAATATACGCAAAAATTCAGTTCGCAAAAATTTTTTTAATCGCAAAGCTTGAATGGTCTTCTAATAAGAAAAGGTTCGGTTGTCCGCAAAAAAGTTGCGGACAGAAAAATTTTTATCCGCAAAAAATTTTTTTACTTCCCAAAAGTTTAGAAGCCCCCAAAAGAAATTAAAAAATAAAAAAGCAAAAGAACAAACCTTCCAGTATCGCTAGTCAAAATCCGATAACTAGGTTCAGGTGGCATAAAAGCCAATTTAGCAACAATAGAAGAAGGAAATGGAGGGCAACAAAAAAGTGAACATAAATCTCTAAAAGTAGCACGTGGAGTAACTTGTGGTGCAGAAGTAGAAGTAGTCGAAACTGTTGTTGTAGCCATTCTAGTAGTTGAAGTTGGTTCGTTTGTTATCACAGTAGTGGTAGTTATATATTCATTAATTGGTCCGTTAGGTTTGCTAGTTGATTTTGTAGTTGATGTTTTTGTAGAATTCATACAAACAAATACATAAATTGATGTATTTTATAGAGTATACAAATATCTAATCGAAAAATAAAGAAAAAAAAGTTTTAAAAAAATTTTAGGAATTTTTGGGAAGAATAGAAAAATGCTTGGGATGACTGTTTGTTTAAAGGGTACATCCCGGCGCGCGTCCATAACGGCGCAAAGCCATAACTTGCTGGAAAATGTCTGGCCCTTGTCAATTTTGGTACCAATCTCTTTATCTCAATGAGAGGAATCGTTTGATACCAAATTTGGAAAGATTCGAACATTTTTAAGCAAGTTAGGGCTTAACGCCGTTATGGAAGCGCGCCGGTTTGGGCGTTTCTCAGTTAAACCGGAAATGTAATAGAAAAGTCATTTCGCCAAAAACTTTTGTTTGTGAGTAAGGTTAAAAAGGTTAAAAATAGATTAATAAATAAGGAGAGAGTAATAGGAATGAGAGAAATTAGAGTAAATTAAAAGGTTAGAATTTTGGTGAGAGATAACGTAAACTTTAAGTTATAGAAGAAAATGGAGAGAGATGTAGATTTGTTGAGAGAGACGCGACGTAAGAGAAGGAAAATAGTATAGATATTGGTGATTGGCAGCAAGTTTCTTGTTTTTCCGTATCTTCATATTTTGCCAATACCATATTTCGCCAATAAGGGTATATTCCCACACTTTGCCAATAAGCTTATTGACGAAACGTGAATTTCTAGCCTTATTGGCAAAATATGGAATTGGCAAAATGTGTTCATATGCAGTTTAGGTTTTTTCCTTGGTTTTTCTTATATTAAAAAAATTTTTTTGGGGGTTCCTTTTTTGTTTTTTTTATAATTTTTTCTTTAAGATGACTGAAGAACAATTATTTGATGCTTTAAAAAATATCTGGACAATACTTTGGATTTGGTTTTTAATGCCCAGTGGAATTTTTGCAGCAATTAGTGGAGGAGGAACTTCTACAAATTTTGGAAATAATAAAATGGATATTGAAATACGTGCTTATCGTTTACAACAATATGAAATTACTGCAAAAGTTTTTGGAAGTAAATCGTGGAAGGTTTGTAGGAGATTTTTTCTTTAAAAGTTGGGCCTAGTTTCCCTTTTTCTTTCCCCAGTGGGCTCATAATGGTCAGAATTACTTTGTCATTTGAAAAGTATGGCCTGTTTTACTGGAAATCTTTAGGATTCGCAAAAATGTCTTGGGGAAATCTGTACAGGAAAATACTAGATCTGGCCCCTAATTAAATTTCTAGTGAGTTTGGAGTGCTGGCCTGGATTCCGGGAAAATCCCGCAAGTCCAAAAATGGCTGGGTCTTTGTACAGGACAACCCAGGCGCTGGCCAAGCTCCAGCTCGTTCTCTAGTGGAATTCGGAGTATATACTGGTTTTTGTGTCGGGTCAGAGTTTGTGTTTTTTCTTTTCAGAAATTCTTATTAAAAATCGTTTTCCTCAAGGTTATGTACCAAGCTGTTGATATAAACGAATCTGCACTTCGCAAATGTGTTGTAATTAAATGGTGGGATTTAATTGGTGTTGATTTTGAAGACAAATTTTCGGCGGTCCTTGGTGCTGTTTTAATTATACTTCCAAAAGATGTTAATGAATTGACTAAACAGGAGTATCAGGTTTCTTTTATGTGTCGTTTCTTTGATTTTTTCGTTAAAATTTGAACGAAAATTTATTTAGTTTTAAAATGGTCAGTTCCCCAAAGTTTTCTCATTTCGTCACATATTTCTTTCTTTTAGTCTAGGTTCTTTGGAATTTATTTTTGCCCTGCTTTTTCTATTTTTTATTAAAATTTAGAAAAAAATTTTTTGTTGCAAAATGGTCAGTCCCCCCAATTTTTCTCATTTTGTCACACAATTTTTTTTCTTTTAGGCTTTTCTTTCAATTGAACAAAAATTTGCTTCATTAAAAACAGAATTGGCTGTATACTTCGCTCCAGACTCTTCAGACCTTCAATCTTTATTGACAAGTATTTCAACAAATTCGGGCCGTTCACCAACAGCATTTCAACAATTAATAAATTCTGTGGTGGCGGATAATTACCAAATAAGTTCAACTAATCCAGCAGTTGGAAATTTGGCTAATTCTAAAGTCTACAACGTTATTGTAATTTTTTGAAATTTTTTTTGTCCGCAAATGTCTGTCCGCAAAATTTTTTTGTCCGCAAAAATTTTTTTGTCCGACTTGGTGTCCGCAAATTTTCTACCCGACTGATTGTCCGCAAATGTCTGTCCGCAATAAACTTTTTTTGCTTTATCGTCTTTTCTTCTCTTCCCCTACTTCCGCAAAATTTCTTTTTTTTTCCTTCCTTCCTCCTCTCTTAAGAATTTTAAAACTAGAATATTACCAGTCCTTGATCATTTTTAATTTTTACGAGGGGAGGAAAAAAAGGAAGGAGAAGTAAGTAAAATTTGCGGACATGTGGGGGATAATAACAAAGTTTTTTTAATTAAAAATTATTTTTAGGCCCAATTAAATGCTCAAGAAAGAGGACTTCCTTATTTATTTATTGTGGCATATTATGATAATTATGGAGTTGTTCCGGTTTGTTTTTTAATTTTATAATCTGTGGAGCAGTTTGGTAATTATTTTTTGAGTTTTTCATTTTTAAAAGTTGACCTCAAGTTGGAGCAGTTCAAAATAAATTTTTTTAATTTCCTTCAAGTTGGAGCAGTTCAAAATTTTTTTAAGTATTCCTCAAGTTGAAGCAGTTCAAAATAATTTTTTTAAGTATTCCTCAAGTTGGAGCAGTTCAAAAATTTTTTTAAGTATTCCTCAAGTTGGAGCAGTTCAAAAATTTTTTTAAGTATTCCTCAAGTTGGAGCAGTTCAAAATAATTTTTTTAAGTATTCCTCAAGTTGGAGCAGTTCAAAATTTTTTTAAGTATTTCTCAAGTTGAAGGAGTACAAAAAAATTTTTTTAAGTATTCCTCAAGTTGGAGCAGTTCAAAATTTTTTTTAAGTATTTCTCAAGTTGAAGGAGTACAAAAAAATTTTTTTAAGTTGACCTCAAGTTGAAGCAGTTCAAAAAATTTTTTCTTTAAAGGGTTTAACAACAGGCTCAGATTCTAATGGAAGTGGAGTAGCTATACTTTTGGAATTACTTGCTATATTTTACCAATTATATTCTTTGCCGTCACATGGCGCTCGTTATAATTTGGTATTTGTATTGTCTGCAGCAGGAAAATTTAGTTTTCAAGGAAGTCGAAATTTTATTGATGATTTTAATGAAAAACATTCTGGTTTGTTTTTTTATTTTATTTTTTAATTAATATATCGGGTGGGTTAGGGCTTTTTTGGTTGTTTTTTACAAAAAGTCCACAAGTTTGTTTTCAATTTTTAAATTTATAAACTTACTAGGTATGGGTAAGGATCAAATTTTAGGGTCCTTCCATTCTTTCCTTTTTAAGATTTTTGGAAATTCAAAGTTAACCTCTGCTCTCTACATTATCTTGAAAGGTGCAGAGCATTTTAGGACGAATTCTTATTAATCCAGGTAGCTGAGAAAACGTTTTGGAGCTGATTGAGCTCTTTTACTGTAAAATTTCAAGTTTTAATGACCACTGAGGTCCATTTTTATTGAGCCAAAAGTGTTGTGCTTTTAGTTAAAAATTTTTTAAGAAACTTATTTTTGCTTAGAAAATCCGCAATTTTTATCCGCAAATTTAAAAATGTTTTAAATTTTATCAGAATTATTTTTATAAAAAAATTTTTTTTTAATTTTTTTCAGATGAAAAAATAGCTTTAGCAATATGTTTGGATGGTTTAGGAAGAAAATTGTCAACAACTTTAAAAGAAAATAGTCAACAACCATTATTTATTCATTTATCAAAAACACCCTCAACAACCTCTACAACTTCAAAATTTATTTCAACATTACAAAATTTTGGAATTAATAAAAAGAAAATAAATTTAGTTACTAAAAAAATTAATTTGGGAGCGGATAAATTGGTTTGGGAACATGAAATTTATAATATTAGAAGAATACATTCGTTGACTTTATCCAATTTTGAAAAATTTGATGATGGGGAAAGGTGAGGAGAAAAAAGATTTTTTTAATTTTAAAATTAATTTTGCTTCATAAACGCATTGCTTTACTTTTATGAAGCTTGTTTTGTTTATGAAGCAAAAATAAACTTTATTTTGTATTTTCCGGAAACTTAACTCAACTTTGTGTTTTCAGTAAAATTTGTGTTTTACTTGTGTTTTCCGGAAAAGTTCAATTATTGTTTTAACAACATTTTCTGTGTTTTTCCGGAATGTTTTTAAAAATAGAAAAACACAAGGTAAAACAAACAAACATTGTTTTTGTATTTTATTTTCCGTAAGAAGTTTGTTTGGAAATGTTTTTACAATTTGTAATTTTCCGGAATGTTTGGGACTTTTTGTTATTCTATACTTTCCGGAATATTATGGCGATGTTTTTCCGGAATGTTTTGCTTAGATATTTTGATGTTTTTAAAAACACATTCTATATGTTTTTCCGGAATGTTTTGTTTGTATATTCTGATGTTTTTAAAAACAGTTATTCTGATGTTTTTCCGGAATGTTTTATACTTTTCCGGAAAGTCTATCTAATATTTATATACTATCTTCAATTTCTTTTATTTTCAGAAATTCAATGTTGGATACCCCCAAACAATTAGATTATTCAATATTAGAATCAAATGCCCGTTTAATTTCAAGTTCATTAATTTCATTTGTGTTCAATTTGGATTCAAATTTATGTACAAATTTAAAAGAAACAAAAGAAGAATGTTCTCTTTTATTAAATGAATCAATTAATGTTGACAGGAAAAGATTGGCAGTTTGGATTAAATTATTTGGAAGTAAACCTAGACCTACAAATACATTACAATTACAATTAATTGCAAATTTACAACAAGTTGTAAAAAAGTTTTCGCATACTTCGTTAGTGTCTGAAGTTGTAATTAATGATTTTGTTTTGTATGAAATTGTTGGTAAGTTTGTTTATTTTAGAATTGTAGAAAAACAAGGATAAAA